AAGATTCTGGTGTAAAATGGTCTGAAAATAATATCATCAGTTCGTCAATGGAAACACCAATAATGATGATGGGATCATCATTGTCCAATATAAAAGAACCTTATGAAAAGCAAAATAAATGATATTGAAGCAAGAAATTTTCACTTCTTACATCACAAGTATTGTCCTTTCATTTCATGGTTTTCTTGTGCCTTTGACGCAAAACTAGGTGACCGGACGAAATGAAGGAAAGAAATGAAATATAATAGTTGATAAAGCAAATTATTTACTTTATTTCTTATAATATCAAAGAATATGAAACTTTTTTTCTCAACTTATTGTTCAATATTTTTCTTGATAAAAGTTAAACTTTCATTGATAAAAATAATGTTTTCTTGTTTTACTTTTTTTTTGTTTTTTACTCAGTTTATTGCAACATTTTACTTCAATTTATTGAGTTTTTCAGTTTCTCTCATCAACATTATCGATTTCCTTAAGCATGTCATTGAGAGAAGCTTTTACTACAGAAAATTTAGTTTAAAATAGTTCGTTTTACTTAAATATCTATTGACTAAAATGTTATTTTATTACAAATATTGCAATCAAATTATTAAATTCAATGTAAATCGTCAAAAAATGAAACTTTTCTTTCGATCGAAACATTTTGTCAGAAACCGATTGACTTATTTGAAAATGCATGGTGAAATTCAGGGAATGAAATATCAGCTTAGAGATTCATTTTGGGAAAATGGACGAAACGCGACGTAAAATCGAAACGTAAATCTGAACCAGAACAAACGGCAATTGGAGGCTCGATGAAGATTCTATAAAGTTCCAGTATTCCAAAAAATACATAAACGACTGGTAACACGATCTAGTTAATCATTACAAGCAATGTGCATGTAAAAACATTCGGCACGATGCTAAAACTGCCGTCGGAATGAGCTAGCCAGAGCATCGAGTTTCATCCTTATCGCTCGCTGCCAAGTGAAAACTTTCACTGCCACTGAAGTAAGTTCACTTCATTGAAGATTTGGGAAGACTTGGGAAGTGAGATGAACGAACACGGTCGACCAAAAGTTTTGAATGCTGATAATGCGTTCGTCTCAAGGCTGAACTTGCCATGCTTCATGTGTAGAATTCACTCTTTATGCAAATTGTTCAGAGAAATTCATAAGCCGAGTAGAAGTTTGACAAAAATCTGTAAATTAAACTTTTTGGCCGTTGTGAGCTTTATATTATGCTTATGAAACTGGTCTGAAACCAATCATGTGAGACGCTGAATTGATGATAATAAAATCGATATGAAATCACTCAACCTCTGATTTGCATCAATTAAAGTTGATCTTACATTTGAAATGATCTAATGTTTTTTACTAAAATAACTCTTACTATGTATTATAAAGATTATTTTGTTGCAACATTTTCTTTCGATTCCCTCTTTTTTTCTCATTCTTATATCATTTCATTTTCGTGATGCTCAATGAACCCGATTATTATTATTGTTATTATTATCATTATCATCATCATTATATGTTGCGATATTTTCCATAACATCATTATCGTTATCAGTGTTGCAATCATTTATACAAGAATATGGATAAACCATAAAAGTAAAACAAGACTGAGTTTATCATGGCACTGAGAGAGGAAAAAAAGAGTTGCTTCAGGGTTAAACTTTTTTCTTCTTTTAATTTAAACAAAATTAAATTTCACAGAAAAAAAGTTAACCCATGAAACCATCATGATGAGCAAATCAACCATTTCATAGCAAAAAAAGGTTAAACACAAAACGAATGCAAAATGAAAACTCAACTGGAAAAGACTCGAGACTGGGAATTGATAACAGGGAGTGAAAATGTCGTTGTTTGATAAATTGTAATGAATCATTTTCTGTATCATTTCAGTTTAAATGGGAAACCATGAAAGATGAAAGAATGAAAGAAATGAAAGAGAAAACAATTCGGACACTAAATTACTTATAGCAAGTAATGGCACAACGAACAATAAATTATGACCATGAAATTCGCCATTAAATTCAACATTAAGTTTCAAGAAGAGAAAAACTAAAAGTCGAAATAAATTTGGTCCAAATTATCGATTGAAGCTGTTATCGAATGTTGAAATCAAAAGTGTTTCATGTAAATTTCATCGCAAGATTATCGAAATGAAAACAAAACAATTTTCGCACTTTTCAACTTTTCTGTGAAATGATGATTCAATTTAGTGCAACATTAAGTTAGTAAATTGTTGGATGAATAAGGTGAAATGAAATATCATTATTCATTGAAAAAACCCTTTTATCTTTTCTCGCCCTTTCCAGAGGTTGGGAGGATGAGGAGAAAATTGGAATCTAAAAATGGTGATCAAAATTTGGAACAAACTGAATTGTATTCAATTTGGGTGCATTTAATGATTCAAAAGAGTTGCTCACAAGAGTTTGATTGAAAATTTATTTCATCTTTACTTCAACACAGTCATTTGACATCTTCACAAATGTAATCATTTTCTGTTCTCTTCCTCATCATCATCATCAGTCAATCCTGAACATTATCATCTCTTCTCCTCATGTATTTGGTTTCTCTTCAACTTCAATCCCAAAGGTTCCTTTGCTCTCTTCCCTTCATCATTTATCGTCCAATATTTCAGCCTTTTTTTGCTTCGAAACAGAAAAGGAAAGAAGAAGGGAGAGAAAAAAGTTCTGGCTTTTGATTCAGCTTATTTCAAATCTTTTCACTCTCAACAAAAGGATATGAAGGGTTTGACTTGAAGGTTTAACCTTTCATTGAATCTCTTTCTTTTTCTTTCGATATTTTTTTCTTCTCTCATGTCAATATCATTGCAGAGTTGAATCGGTTCACGCTTCATCTTGAAACCTATTAAACATGAGAGGGTAAATCAGGGAAGAAGAAGGAAAAAAAGTCTCTCAGATAAATAAACTGTGATGAAGATGAGGTTGAACATCTTCAGTGAAAAATGATGCAAACATTAGTTCAATTTAACAAACAATATAAAGCATATAACAAATGATATTTTATGTACAATTTTTTTCCTCTTCTCCTTCTTTTCCCTTCATCTTCATACACTTCAATATTTACTTTGGTAAAATGGCCATTTTTCCGTCAAACATTTAGTTCAACTTTCTCGTTATCTCAGAATTTCTATGAAACTCAACTTTACACCTTTCATAACTGGTTACCTTTTGAGCCTTTACATAATGTTTAACGTTCAACTTTCCAATCGAGTGAACTGATTTGCTTTTATTTACTCATTGATCCATTACATTTGGCGATACTTACATTAGTTTGTTCATTATTGATCATTATTAATTGCGATCGCCATCTTTTCCCTTCTCTTTTTACATTCAATTTTCATTATAATTTTCACTTTTAAATTGATTACATTTTTCATCTCTAAATTGCTATTTAACTGGCAACCATTTAGCTTCATTTTAGTTGGGAAAAAAATTAAATTAAATTAATATTCAACTCTTTTTTTACGGTCAATTGAGGTTCACTTTAAAGAGTTGACCTTTTTTTACTGTTTATTTATGTTCACTTCAACTCTACTTGAATTAAACCCTTTTTCAATGGTTAATTGTTGCTGTTAAATTGTTTAAATTAATTTTAATTTGTTAAAAGAAAGTTAATGAGAAAAGTTGAAAAGCTAAAAATGAAAAGACTTTTCGAGGCTCGGCAGGCTTTTAAAGCCATTAAAGTCCATTTATGCGATTAAACTAAACTTATTGTCGACAGATTTCGATCGCTTTTTGTACAGTTATGAGTTGAGCTCGAACAATAAGGTTTAGATTATTTCAATGGATGTTGATGCTTCTTCACTTTTAGTCGTTTAAGATCAAATGAATGACGCTCTTTCCAATGAGATTCAATGTCGATTTGATGCTAATTTAAGGTCGTTTTTTCGAAGATTCGAGATGAGATTCATTCATGGTAAAAATGTGGACTCATTGGTATGCAAAAAACGTTCGAGTTTGATCTTTGAATGCGATTTTATCTGTCGATCATAAAATTTTCAATTACATAAATGGACAATGTTGATGCAATCTTTACTCTTGAATGTAAAGGTTTTGTATTCACTTTTTGAGATTCAATTTTAGATTAGTTGAAAGGACAATTTGCTGGCTTAATAAGCATATTGAATCACTTTGATTAACTTGGTTAATGGTTTAAATGATAACAATGTTAACAATAAATCAAAATTTGCAGCCAATTCGGTTTCATGTAAAGTCAATCAATCATCATCAGCTGATTGAATTAGAGCCAAAAACTGTTCACATTTTTATTATCACACATTATCAAGTTAAATTACTTCCAGATGAGTTATTAGAGTATTAATCAATCTTTCAATTATTGTCAATTAAGGCATCAATCAAACATTTTGAATCGATTAATATTTCAAAATCAAAAGTTTCAAAATCCTTTTCAAATATTTGACTTTTTCCTGACTTTCAGCACTTCAATTTTTTTGCCAAAAACTCTTACAAATCAATATTTAAAATTGATTTTCAATCGAGCTTCTGATTCTTTCGTTGGTCATTTTTAGTGATTTATTAATTTTCCAGTTTATTCCAGAATTAAAAGTCTTCTCAACGAAAAATAATCGATATTAAAACATGCAATTAAAGGTTAAAAACTGAATCAAGGAATGTAAATGAGTGATTTGATTAGCAACTTGTATTTAAGTTCATTTCACTTTGGTTTCTTTAATTTGGTTTCATTCTTAATTGGTTTTATTTCTTCGAAGGTTTTGCATGGAAAAAACAAATTTCTAGTTCTAATTCAAGTCGAGAATCCAGAATCATCTGAGTGTTTAAAATACAAATAAAACGAAGTGTGTTGATGTGAATCAAATCAAATTAAAATTAAAAAACTGTTAGAAGAAGAAAAGGCGTGAGTGTTTTCCATGTGTTGCCATCTATTGGTTTGAACACCTATTCTGGTAGAGTTAATTTCATTTAAATTTTCAATCTCATTTTAGTCAATTACTGTTATTGAATTGAAATAATCTAAACTAATTCTGATTTAAATGTAGAAACATATCAAGATGTCAGATGAGTTGATCCAGGAAAATATCATCACAGAATTGATTTCTGGAATATTAATATCGATATTAATATTAATGTCTTAACATTTCGTCTTTTTATTAACTCTCTACTTCAACTGGTTTTCAGCACTATTTGTTGGGTAATTTGAATTCAGTACAAAATCATGAGTTATCCTGTGATGATTAGCTATTTTAAGACGAAATGGAAGTTCGTTTCAGGTTAAAAGCCTACTAAACTAATGCTAAGTAACCTAACTAAGAAAGTGCGTCTTAAATTAGATAACAACCCCTTCGCCCTGGCGTTGAGAAAAATTGTAACCTTTAACCGCCATTTACTGTTTACTCTTTGTTTTTACCTGCACAAAACGATTAACAATGTTAATTAATCAGAGTTGAAACCAATTAATGTTAAGTAAGTATTAACTATTGAAGCAAGAAAGTGAATAAATTATAAATCTACATTCATTCAGGCTTCTTTGCTGCAAATTAACTAATTTTGGATTTTTTGTCTCATTTTTTACTCTTTCAGCAGGCTTTTGAGATGTTTATTAGTCTCATTTATTGGTGCCAAGGAAATTGAAGATGAATGAATCAAATCAATATGGGTGGACATTATAATGTAAGTTGATTAATTGATAAGAATTATAACAATAATGATTACATATTAATATTAATAATAATAGGGATAGGAAGAAGGACAGTGTATCACCGGAGGCTCAATTTTGCGAATTATGGTTTGTGTAAGAGGATGGATGGTCCAATAAAGGAGGAGGACGGGGAGGTGGAGGAAGATGGAAGACGAGGATGACCAAACAAGAAGATGAAAGAGCAAGAAATTGACACAGTATCTTAATGGTTTCTCCTTTTTCTTCATCAGAAAAGCTAATGATTAATAAGTTTTCATGATCAATACTTTGTAAGTAAAACCTTGATAAATGAGTTTTACCCTTTTTTCCCTTTTTTTGCTTTTACTTTCAATCAGATTGATGATTCTAACCATTTAAATGATGACCTAAAACACATTTCATCCTCATCATCATCTTCTTCTTCATTTTCTAGTCTCATCTTCAGTCTTGCTCTTGTTCATGTCGCAGTAATTTGTCTTTTGTTTTTCAACATTTTCACCATTTTCAGGTCAACAAATTTTTATATTTGCTTTCAATATTAGTCTTGTTATTATTATATTTTCATTTTTATTATTATCATGATATAAACTTGTATTTGTCAGGCTATTGGTTATTGGTTATTTATTATTATAATCATTACAGATATTTTTTTCTCCTTTTGTTTTTCCATTTATTGAAGCAGAAATGTTGAAAACAAAAAGGCAAGCAAGATTTAAAGATGAGAAAGAAGTGATCATCGTCTCGATAATAACTGATCAAAGATTTTTTGTCTTTTCCATTCTAGGGAAGCAGGAAAAAAGATCTGTATACATTTCAAAGGAATCTATCTTTTATCTTCATGGATGGTGTCAAGAATGAAAAAGATAAGGAAAAGGGCGCAAAGCAGAGGAAAGGATAGAGAGGAAAAGTTCATTTGAGGAATGAATTTAATCGATATATCGATGGAGATGATGACGAAAAAAGAAGGAAAAGAGAAATGAGATTAATCTAGTTTGATTTTCCTTATAATCAGTATCATCTTAAAGATCTTTGGATATAAATGTTAACCATGGTTATATTTCCTTCTATTCAGACTGAATATATTTTCAACATTTGTCTGACGTCCAATCATCAACACCATCTTTTTCATCATCCGATTTCTGAACACATCATTACATTATCAACTTCATTGGTCACTTTATTGCTTTTTGCTCCAGTAATGTCAATAGGATTTTTTTGTCCTTTCTGATTCTCTTTTTTGCTGAATCAGGTGAATCAATGGACTACAACAATTTAGCCGATGGCAATTAAAGGCAGTTAAAAAGATTGAGTTAGATGTATTAATAATAGTCTGGAGGACACAAGAAGATGTGAGAATAGAATAAGATTAGAATGATTAGATTTTATTTGATTCCTTGCTGTGGCAAGTTGCTCAATAAATATAGATATAAAAATAAGATGAATGCTTGTTGATTGTGCATGTTGACAATGAAAGGAATGAGGATAAATGATTTTCTTCTTGAGCTTTCTCCTTCCAATCTATTAAAATACAAGCAATATCAACAAGGAATCACCATTTTTACTCTTTTTTTTCAATCCTGCTCTTCAATATCCAAGACCTACATATCCTGTAATTGGAACGGCAAAATTTAACAAAATTCAAAGAAAGCAGAGACGAGATGATGATAAGGAAAAGATAATGAAAATAAAATAGACGGAGATGAGAGGAGGAAGAGGATGAGGGGGAGAAAGGATAACCAAAGAAGGAGAAAAAAATTCTGAAAAGAAGCCAAAAAAAGGTTACATTGCAAATTGAAGTCAATCCGATGAACAATTTTCACCCTCCACAGTTTTCCATTGATCTTTTTTTTCCTAAATCTTTCTTATTCACAATTCAACTTCTTTTCTTCTTCTTTCTCATCATTATTATCATCATCTTCGTCTTCATCTTCGTCATCATCGTTTTTTCTCCTTTGACTTATTATATTTCTCTTCTCCTGCTTCATCACTTTTTTATCTCCTTTTTTGCTCCTCAATCGATTCCAGGTATCACCATTACCATCTTCCTCTCATCCTTTTTTTTAGCTTGCCTTTTGTGCAGAAAAAAAGTTGTAAAGGTAAAGAATCACTTTCAATAGATCACAACATCCTTTTATCCATTTAAGTGTTAAACTATTGCCACTCTGATAGTGAAGGAGAGCTTCGATAAAATGGTGTGTTGGTGTCAATTTATTTGGATTATTTTACTCCTTCTTTGGTAATAAAATAGGCCTGTTAAATTTGATTACTTGTAATTCCTTTACTTTTTTTTCTTTCTTGGTATTGAATGTATTTCTCAGGGAAAAAAGAGCAAAAAATTTAACAGTTAAGATACTTTTTTGCTTCTTCCCAACAACTTAATAGTAACATATATTTATGTATTGAACGGTGTAATCTTCTTGTTTTTTATGGTAAAAATGAAGAAGAAAATTGAATTTATAATAATCTTCTGATGCATTTACTTTAATTCACTGTTAATAGTCAATATCTTGAACGTTTCTTTTGAAAAACATCTAATTTCTCATTGGACTCATTTTCCTTCCTTTTCAGTGTATATATATCGATAATGTGATTAGTGAAAAGCGATAAATCATGAAAATGTAAACTAATAAGGTTTTCGATTAGTTCATCATGACGATGATTATAAGTGATGAGGTTTGTAGTCAGAAGAAAGGTTTAACTTGAATAGGTTCCTTGGACAATTACTTTAATCAATCTAATTCACTTTCTTGATCCCAAATTAATTATTTAGCCAACAGAAGTTTGATTAGTTAACAGCAGTGAACATCTTGTAACATATTATTGACTCGTCTCTTTGCTTTACATTTATTTATACACAACTGTAATCCAGGAAATTCAATTATCACAGCGGATGCTTTTCTTTGTTGAATGGATATAAATCTCTTATTAGTAAAATAATGATAACAATATGCTTTAAATTCAGTCATTTGTGTTAATTAAATATCACTTTGTATTAATTAACTCATAAAAATCTGATCCAATGATATCTATGAAGGTTGAAAATCAATGATGGACAGGAAAATATCAATAAACTTTCAATAAAAAAGTTAAATTTTCCTGTTGTCAATGATAAACACACTAAATTATTATGTTACACTATTTTTCCAATATTATCAATTAACACAATTAAATAAAATCTTTTCGAGCTTTGTCAATGATGTTTTTGATGAAAAATTCACCAGCTTTGTACGATGATCGAACCAATGGCCCACTTGCAACATAAAGGAATCCTAATTCTTTAGAATAATCTTCCCAAAATTTAAATTTATCCGGATCAACATGAGTAACTACTTTAATATGTCTCTTTGTGGGCTGCATATATTGACCAAAAGTCACCACATCAACGTCATTTTGCCGTAAATCATCCAAAACTGATTTAATTTCATCGTCGTTCTCTCCTAGACCCAACATTAAAGATGTTTTTGTAATGACTGGTTTGCCTGATTCAGCTCGAACCTTTAAAAACAAAGTAAATTAGATTAGAAAAATTTGAAAAATAATAAAATGAAAATAATTACCTTTTTAGCATGTTTAAGTACTGTCATTGATTGCTCATAATTAGCTCGATGATCTCGAACATGTCTTTGTAACTCTTTTACAGTTTCTAGATTATGTGCATAAACGTCCAGACCAGACAATGCAACTCGCCCGACTGCGTCGAGATCTCCACGAAAATCGGGAGTTAAACATTCAACATATAACGATGGCATCATTTGTTTAATCAACTTGACAGTTTCTGCAAAATGGTTTGATCCGCCATCGGTTAAATCATCACGATCGACTGAAGTTAACACTACATAGCTTAATGACCATTGTGAAATTGCTTTAGCTGTGTTAAAAGGTTCATTTGGATCAGGAGGAGGTGGTTTTCTTGATGTTTTCACTGAACAAAATCGACATCCTCGGGTACAAGTGTCACCAAGAAGCATAATTGTCGCTGTTGGTGTATTTTCTTTACCTCCACTCCAACATTCACCAATATTGGGACATTTTGCTTCTTCACAGACTGTATGCAAATTTAATGACCTCAAATTGTCCTTTAAACGATTGTAGTTATTTCCCATTGGAATATTTTGTTTCAACCATGACGGTAATCTTACATGGTTACGTTTCTTGGGTGGATTTGTTGAGGATAACTCTTCTGACTTCAATTGCTCCTTGAGCTTTTCCAAACGCGGATAAGAGGTTGATGCTGGTGTAGATTGAGTAGAAGATGAGCCATTCCTAACAGATTGTGATGTTTTCACTGTTATTGAGCGTAGTTTTTGTTCAACAATTAAATTTTGAAAACATTTCGATTTATTTTTTATCAATAACATAATTAATTGACTAAATTGTCACTGGGCAATTGAACACAAAAATATAATCCAAACAGCTGATCAAATCAACATCATGCGTAGTTGCTAAGTGATTACCGAGGCTAGACAACAAAATTTGCATTCAAATTCAATTAAATTTAGCTCAAAATAACGCTAAAGTTTTCGCTTTAGCGAATGCATCCATCAAGATCAATTAAAGCAACCAAAAAAATTAAAAAACAAACGATGGAGATCAAATACGAGCCTTAATTGTTGATTTACTGAAGCCTTTCAAATAAAGCTCAGTTATCTTATTGCCGTTTAAGTTTAATGAGTTAATGATTATCAATTAGAACCATGGATGTTCGTTGACTTGTTTATGAAACTATTAATTTATATTTAAAAGTAATTATAGCGTTTAATAGAAACAGATTAATTTAAAATATATTTTTGTTTCGTAAATTTGATTCAAGCTTGGCGGGTTTAGCTCTTTTCTTAGATTTGTAGATGGCGCTTAGTATGTTGCATGTTTTAGTCAATCTGGTTTCCGCTTCCTAAGTTATATTGGTTTAAGTTTGGTTTGGCTCTTAGTTTTTTAATTGTTAAAATTAATTTAATTTAATCATGGTTGTAAGTATTTTGTATCTTTGTTCTTTTATTCACAGTTTCTAATCTGTTCTTATTTGTCTTTTCATCTTCGATAGGTTACCAAAACCGCCACTAAGAAAACCTCAGGTAAATCTTCCACTGGTAAAGGTGGTAAGAAGAAGAGGGTCCACTGTAAATTCATCCTTGACTGTAGCCGGCCACAGGAAGACGGAATTCTCAATGCAACTGATTTCGTAAGTGTTCATTTTCTTATCGTTTCCCTTTTTATTGTAGATGAATAGAAGATCGAGAAAGGTGCTTTCTTAAGGTCTTCTTATACCCTTTGAATGCTATTACTTCTCGTAGATTAATTACTTCTGAACCATTCCATGCACTAGTATCTAGATCATTTACACTGGTGATCGGTTCAGGTACAAATAGAATGTGATTTTCATGTTATCCGCTCTTTTAGCTTTACTCGTTACCGTTACCTTTCACCGCATTTTATAATACCTTACACTCTGTCTAATTTTCATTCATTCTTCTCTATCTGTATACAGGAAAAATATTTACACGAAAGGATCAAAGTCAATGGTAAAACCGGTAACTTACAAAACAACGTGGTCATAGAAAGAAACAAGGCTAAAATTATTGTAACAACCGAGATACCATTTTCCAAGAGATATCTTAAGTATTTGTCAAAGAAATACTTGAAGAAGAATAACCTTAGAGATTGGTTGAGAGTAGTTTCTTCAGCTAAAGATTCATACGAACTCAAATACTTCCAGATCAATAATGAAGAGGATGAAGAAGAAGCATCTTGATTGGATTATACATCTTGTAATTGGTAATAAAAAGTAATTGACACTATCAAATGAATGTCCCTGCTTGTTATTTCATTTCTTAATACGGTTTAACTTAAAATGCAGGGTGTACATTTGAATTATCAATTATCTAACTCTAACTTACCCAAATAAGTTCGAGATTGCGAAAGTCCCATGATTTCTAAGTTTACCATTAGTTTATGTCTTACTATCGGATTGTGAGAAACTATTGTATTGTTCACACATGACTGTGACCGACTTATTTTATTCTTGAATCGTAATGTTATAGCTACCTCTTTAATCTATGAACATTCATTGTATTTTAAAATTCAATTATGTTACCGACTCATTGGCATTCAGCTGGTAACTTCGCCATTGTGATTCAAGTCAATTTTTTAGTAAATCAATATTTCATGTAATAATTGTGATCAAAACCTTGACTTAGAAATGCTAAATTTTATAATTTACACTTTTGTGTAATTTATTTTTCAAAAATTAATTTTAAAATATATTTATACATAAAAGTAGGGGAAATGTACACCTTTTGCAATTGCCTTTGGTTTTATTTTTTGCATATATTGCCGTCATTTATCGAGAAGCATGAACACAGTAGATCTTCATTAATCGTTGTTATCATTAGTTGCTACCAATAGTTATTTTAGAGTTTAGTTTTCAAAATCATTGGCTTATCTTGATGGTAATAAGTTAAATGGACAAATAAATAATCAAGTAATCCTAATGTACAGAAGGTTACTCATTGATGATTATCTTTTGATTCATGTACAGCACATTGAATCGAAGTATCCTGATTTCAAACATGCCAAATCATACAATGAAATGAAATCATTATTGGCTGTTGAAATTGTTCTGTACATTATTGTTTAAACTCTATTCATTGATTATTCCAATCAATCTGTTTCCTTGGTCCAATTTTATCAACACCTATGAGAGGCAAAACTAATGAAGCTTGAAAACCGATGCCAACGACTTTTGCTAGTTTTCATTGGTAAACTCGTTTTAACAGGTAAGACTCTTTTCGATGTTTCCTCTTCACTTGTGATTACTTTTTTACTTATTAACGTAACATCGGTTTCAACCTTTTCTGTTCTATTTATAGTTCGTCGAAATGATCGCCCCTTCACTTTGGTTTTTGTCGCATTCTGAACCATCCTCTGTAGTGATATGGATTCTTTAATTTTCATGATTATTTGAATAGTCGTTTGAGCCACCTCCTCTGGTGTTGCCTCTCGATCTTCCAACATTTTCCAATCACCTTGATCAACCACATGAGGTTTGTCAAAAACTTTCCTGGGAAGGTAATATTTACCGGATGCAGCACCACCTAATTGTGAAAAGATGGACAAATATTAGATTAGTAAACAACTGTAAAACCATATTTTACCAGATGATTGCATGTCTGTTTTAGCAACACATTTAATCACAACTAACCTGTGCTGCTTATTGGTATAACATAATGATCATTCCAGATAAATTCTTGTGCTTCACGAGCTGCTTCTGGTCCTCCTTCAATCAAAATACAAGTATCTAATAATCTGGCAATTGCGGTGTCTCTTTCCTTCATGGATTCGCCTAAAAACAATGTTTCACCATATGAAAGCGATTGAAATGATCCATCATCAAGCTGTTTACATTTGTCACTAAAGTCCTGGAAAATTAAAAGATAAAATCAAACATGTGAATTATAAGCAGATAGCAGAAAACGATTGTAAAGTGATTTCATAAATGGCTCCTTGCAGTTTATTCATTACTAATTCTTTCCTGGAAAATGATGAAATGAATCCAGAAAATATCACCATTTTATGATTCAACCAATTCATCAATTCAATGTAACAGAGATAAAATGAAAGGAAGCGAGATTTAATCAACACTAAAAAGTGATTGATTCATCAAAAAATGTCAAAACTGTAGCAAGTTGCACCCGTTATGATGTTTCTTCAATTATACTTACACTAGCATCTTTTAAGGGTAAAACATGAACAACTGAGGATTGAAACTGATTGGCATAAGCTTTACGATTCTTAGGAGCCTCTTGTTTGCTTTTTTCATCGAAAAAAGATTTAGCTAATAGATGACTGGCTCCATAGAAACCACAAGTGACCACCGTTAATCCATCTACTTTGGTCAATTCTTTACCAATTGCTTTACACAACAATTCAGTCCGTTGGCTTGTAACTGAAGTACTTCCAATTATGTAAACACAGGTATCTAAATCGGGTAAATTTTTCTTCATGTAGTTGAGAAGATATTGAATTTTGGCTTCTTGAAGTTCCCATGCATCAGTCTTGGCACAAGGATCTAAAATACGATTGATTCGTCCTTTAAGTACCTCCAAGAAACAAGGGCTATTAACATCCTAATTGGTAAACATTTAGAGAAAAGAGAAAGAAGATAAAAGACAATTAGAAAAGGTGTAATGTTAACATTTCAAGAGGGGTTTGTAAACACTTTGTTTTCTTGATTGATGTTTCAAAGCAATTTTTTCAGTTCAATTCTCTACTTCTCTCCCACTTCACCAGATAAAATCGGTTTCATACCTGGATAATAATAGTTCAACAATGTTGGGTAATAACAAATGTATTGGTCAAAAGAGGGAAAATTAACACTCGATCTAATCAAGGCAAAGATCTCTAAAGTTTTACATTTTTTACCAAGATCGATGAAACAGATTTAACTTTGATCTCTATTTCAATCAATTATGTCAAATTACAATTTTATTATCAAAACGGAAGATCAATTTGGTTTACTCAATCTTTCATACACTTTGTCACTTTGTACAGAGATGATCATCAGATAATTGCCACCTATGAATCAACACAATGTTATCTAGGATAGTCGACAATTCAGACTAAACAAATTTATCGTAAAATAAAAGGAACTCACACATTGGATCGGTGTGATTACATGATAGTTATAATAAACATTTCTGTTGCCTGAAAATTGTGATTAGCTTTTTTTTGTCGCAAAAGTCTCATGGTTAATGCTGCTTTTTTCTGATAAATTAAGCTTATCAAGACTATTAATTATAAGCAAAAGAATAAATTAGTAAATAAAAAAACTTGAACACTTGAATTTTCATCTGAATTGCACAGCTCATTTCAAAAAACTATTGAATATCACTTTTTGATGAAATTAAAATTGGAATAAATGAGTAAAAAAAGTTATATCAAAAAGCTGTGATAACCTGAATAAGATAATATTTCAAACATTGATGAATGATTAGACTAGCAAATCATATGATCATCATAGTTTTATTTATGTTACATAATTATACTGAATGAAAACGAATGAAAGTTCATATGAGCTGTACTGATAGAAAAAAATTGAGTCTGGATTTTATTTCTGAATTGACGTAAACTAATATGTTTTTTATGAGATAACTGATAAATTGGAGGAATAATTGTGGCGGCAAGAAAGATAAGCAATATAAAACTGTCTTTTCATGATAATTTGCCTTGAAACAATGTATTATTAAGGCTTAGGAAAGATTGACATCAATTTGATATGGAATCACCTAGAAACTAAGGTGAAATATGAATGGAAGGAAAGATGGCTGCTTCTTTGGCGAGAAACATAAAGAAAACAAAATCTTACCAGTGGAAGTTCATCTCTATGAAAATTACTAAACCACGGTGGAGGTGAAACATCTTCAGCTCGAACCAAAATCATTGGTTTCCTTTGTTCACAATAATAAACATGTTGCTGAGATGTTTTGGAATTGAAATAAGCTTTGGAAGCAATGATGATTACCGCTCCAGCATTGCGCACTTTGCTATGGAACTCTTTAAACTTTTCCAATTTTTCAGGTCCAATGGACTGTTGAGCTGAAACGGTTGAAGTTTGCCTTTGAACCGGCTTTTTTTTATGAGCAAAATCAATGTTGGGATCAACAGGCAATGAAACTGGACGCTTATTCCGTCCACCGTGAGTATTGTGTGTCCAAAGTCCTTCATTGAAACTTGACTCGTGAACACCTTCTTCAATGGTTGGTAAATAAGACGGTGTCATTGGTGTTAAATCACATTCCTCTGTGATCTCAATTGAAGTCCAAACATGAAGATCATGCTGTCCAAGAAAAGTCTTAATCTTGTTAACTAAGGCTGCTTGAGTAGGATGAGCTGAGATGGCAATTAATCGATGGTCTGTAGGTTCACAGGGTTTAAAGTTGGACTCAGTGTCTCGAGGTATCTCTTTACAAATCTCTTTGACCAATGCTTTTAACCATGGACGAGGCCAAACTTTACCGTCTTCAATTGAACTATTTCTTTCTGGTTCATAATCTACATCAACGGGCTTCCAAGGTTTACATTGCATTGTAGCAAATTGAATGGCTAAACATTCTGGTGGCCAATGGTCGAGAAAATTTATTGGAATAATCTTTTTATTTAACAAATCAGCCAATTTAACCTCTCGGTTGGTCCATTGAGTTCGCCCGTAAAGTTGCGTTATTAAGGGAATGAAAACTTCACAATTTTTAACAGCTTCATTCAAATCATCGGCCCAATCAGTTCCTGTTCGTATCTCATCTTTATCCAAATAAACCGAATACCCGTTTGATACCAATTCAGCTTTCAAATCAATCGCATACTGATAAGCCTCTTGGCGACAGTAGCTAATCATAATCGTTTTACCAGTGCTTTTATTTTTCTTGCTAACTTTCAATTCAATCATTGGTCGATTACGTCGGAATGTTGTTCTTCTCCTGAAATTAGATAAAAAAAGAAATTAGATTTCATGAAATAATAATTGACAATATGTGTGAACATCAACAAATTTCAATCAATGGAAAAAATAAGCTGATTTACCGATGAGATTGCTCAAGTTCCTATTGACATGGAATAACAAAACTACTTGAGATTAAGTTGCTCTGATTAGCTGGTCAAAATGATAATTAATCATTTCATTGAACTAAATCAAGTGACAAGTGCTATTTTCAATAATTTTACATCTATTTATAACTTAATTGTTTATTTGGATTGGTTCAAACCAGAGTAGTTTTAACATAATATGTTAACTTGATTACTACTTGCCAGTTGAATTATGGATTATATTGAAAGCTTGAATAGCTAAAAATGAACAAATTGGCGAACCAGTTTTATCTGGAGAATCATCCGGATAAATCTTAATTAGTTTTGGTTTAATTTCCATAAATGAATGGTTACTCAGAACAATAAAAAATGTATGAACCATTAGACAAAAGCTAATCAGTAGACAGTCTAAATGACGATGGGTAATTAAATTGTGACGAATCTTGAAAGAATTGCAAGATTCTTGATGAACCTCATAATTTAATGATTAATATCTTAACAACAGAATAACAATTTTTATGTGACTTTCAATAGGCATTCATCAAATCAATTGAATAACCGAAATTTTGAAACATTCAAAATGGTTAACCATTAAATCAAGATTAGTCTATTAATGTGGCAATTGTTTCCAATTTGATGAAGATTATTGGATTACTATTAAGATGCAAACTAAACAATCAAAGAGTAATCATTTTATGGATATTATCATCTTCGAGTCATCCTTTTTTGCTATTCAAGTATGATTGATAAAGCATAATTAGTTGATTTAGACCGCAATCAAAGCATGTAATCAATGTTGAATCTGAATTACTATGTTATTCAGGTAATTTTAACACAAATCTTTCAACAAGTACAAATTTGTACATTTGCTTGATGCATCTTCCGCTATTTTTCATGTAAATTGTCAAGGTTAATGATAATTCAAATAATCAAAACAAAGGATATGGAACTTGATTACAATTGAAACAAAAAAACCAATTGTTATCGTCATCAGCCGTCTCTACATTAGCATCATTACAATAATGACTGAAAAATCCAGAAGATAGCAATTGTTCTCGATCAATAACAATAAAGGACAATTTAACTATTGGCCTTTCCCATCGTCAGTGAATCGCTCATTGATTGTTGACTCTTGTTTCCATGTTAGTCTCAAAATTTCTTGTTAGGGCGAACCCGAATCTTGATAATAGTAATTATATTTGGTTACAACAATTATTGGCAACAAATGCTTCCGTAGGTGACTGGTTAAAATGCAATCACAGGTCGATGAGTTGATAATAATTTCAAGATGAGAGCTAATTTGCTTCTCTTAACTACTCATTTAAAATAAACATCTCTGGAAAGGTTAGCTCTTAATACTAGTCAGTAGACAATATCAACAACATCCTTAAAATGGTGTATCTGATAAATATGAATGTAATTCATCTGAATGATAAGATACACTGAATCAAAGGTATCAAGATCGGTAAAATGTGAAACTAAAAAGGTAAAGAATCGACAAATTCTAAGAAAAGGTATTGTTTGATTAAGGCACATTAATCTTGAAGGAAAGGTAATGCTGTGTGTTAGTGGAAGGAATGAGGCTGAAGATGATGGTGAATGAAGGTGAAGTAGATGATATATATTGATATTTCAAGGATGAAAGTGAGACGCTCTACTTAAAGGTAAATTAAAGACTTTCTTAAGGCATTTGAATTGTTGTTCCTAAACTCTGCAATATACTATTAACATACAAGTTATTTTATATTTTTTGATTGCCTTTTCAATAACTTGAAGTACAACCTGGTTATTGAACACTGAGTGTGAATAGCCTTAGGGTTGGTATCGGTAGAGAGTTATTGGGAAAGCTATTGATAGCTTTTCGGTTTACAGATAAATGTATCTGGCTGCGTAAATTGGGTAAATATGGAAGTCTTTTCAAATTCATTATCAGCAAAAAAAACTTTCAATCTGCTTTTTTCTCCTTCATTATCAACAATTTGAGTTTAGATTTCATATTCTGGAACGTTCAGGTTATATTAAAGGCTAACTCGTAAAACAGGAAACTCTTTCATCTCTCTTTTGATTCTATCAAAGATTGACAATCGTTATTACCGATTTTTTCATCAAAATCGTCATCGGTAAAACCCCGATGCAAGATTCAAGAGAAGAATTGAATTAAGACTTATTGCTCATTTCTTGATTTTTGTAGAGATTTTTTCTTTCTTTATAGTAACGTCAATCATCGTATTAACCGGAGTTGAATTAACTCTTTTTTGGGCAAACTTTCGCTCTTTCAAACATCAGGTTTAGTGGTTTTGGGTATGTACACAGGTTACTCTGGAATAAAGAAAAATACTTTTTACATGTATGTATTACAATCATCTTCATCAACTTCACTTTTTCCTTTTCCAAAGCATAATAATCATCGTTTTTTGATTAGTTGGTCTCTCTTTCATTCTTGTTTGATTGAAGATCTTTTGAGAAGTACTAACCAAGAAGAGTTGATTATTTATTACCATCATCATTGTTTGTGTGTAACATAGTTAACCTTGAATTTCCGGCTAACCTTGCTAAATTGATTGAGAGGGGTTGTTGGAGAGGAGTAATAGGGTTTTTTTGTATCTAGCAGAAGTCAAACAAAAGCGTGAAATGGGGAGGAAAAGAGGGAGTAGGTTCAATGGTGGCGGGTAATTTAGAAATAATTGACAGTCAAAAGTAGAGGCACGTGTAGAAGGTAAAAGCAAATGTAACACAATGAAGATGGACGATGAGAATGATGAGAGTGATGCTAATGGAGAGGGATTTGCACGACAAGGCCAGCTAAGGAGTTGAAATGGATATGTTGATGACGCTGATGAGATTTGATGGTTATCTTACATGATATTACGTTTTTTGGAGCTTCTACGCCATGTATCTACTTTCCAACTATCCATTCGATCATCTGTTGATGTTGGTGTGGTGACAACTTGTTTCCCTAGCGATGTCAATTTACCATCAATTTCAAGGCCAACATTGGAGTCTCCTCTGGCATCTTTAATGGCTGGACATGAAGATGTAAAAGAACCACTCAGGTTTGGTCTTAAGAGAATGTTTTGGTTAACTAGAATATCCAGCAAGGTTAACTGGTCCTCATGAGATCGAACAACTGGCCATTCATTGCGATCAATGAAACGGTAGTCCATAAATTTGGCTAATTTACTGCTGTTTTCCGAGTCGCGAAAAATGTCATCGAGAATTCGTCGGAGGTCACTTAAGGTACAATCATAGTTTGTGAAAATAGAGCCAAGATATTCGCCCGAATCAGTTAAAACCCCTATTCTGGGTTTATCTAGAATGTAAATAATGAAAAAATAAAATTATCAGTACATAAATGACAATCACAGATAAAATGTAAAGAGATGTGAATGCAACAGTGAGAGTGAAAAATAATAGTCGGTGCATTGGTTCAATACATTAACCAATTTGTTACATTTGCTGTACTTGAGTACTCAAAATAATTACAGAATACACACCAAACAAGAACCCTCAATGTAACAAATGGTCGTTTAACTAGTCTTCAAGCATGCTAGAGCTGATTTCCAATTGCGTAAGAATAGAAACACGATTGTTCTAATGACTGGTAATATTCACAAAAATTGCTGCTACTTTCACATTAATTCACATAATTATCATGGAAGAGACGAAAATTTAACTTACCATAAACTTTTCGGATACAAACAATGTTTCTTTTGTTCACCAGGTTACAAAACCTTAATTTACATTCCTGAGATTTAGTCAGAGGCCATCTAGTCAAGGGTTAAGATGGGATAAAAGGAGAGAATAGGAAAGGGAAAGAAAAAAAGCGTTAAAAACTGAGAAACACAGGAAAGGCTGATTGAATGTTTTGAAAAAACAGTTTGTTATCAGATCGGCATAAATATTATCATTATGTATCATTGGGCCAACAGTAGTTTATGTGAAATCATCTTATGCTTAACATGACTAAAGTGTTACTTTTTAATCTCTTTTATTTTCCCTAAATCAATTGCAAAGGGCATGGGAAAATAATAGAAAAGGCTAAAGTAAATTTCATGGAATGACAATGATCAAGTTTCAAATGATGTAAAAACTACAAGTTGGCTTAATGATAAATGGATTGACTCAATCAATGAACAAGAGCTAAAAAATAATGGCTGATGAACTTGTTCAACATGATCTGAAAGAAAAAAACAGAAATGATTTGCATCAACCAGACAACATAGTTTAACATTACATTTTTGTTTCATTAAATTGGCTTTTATGTAAACTGTAAATGATTCAGGAGATGTTGCTAAAAATGATTATCAACGTAAATCAAACATGAAGCTGCAAGTCTAGAGAATTTGGATTTTCTCTTAAGATTTGTTTTTTTTCTTCAATGAAAGTGAAATAAATAATTTAAAGTTACCTCAAGTACTACTAATAGCTTCAAGGGAAATACCTATTAACAAGAGGTGAATAGGTCGATGGTGAAGTTAACAATTTAGGTAAAAAGGAAAAAAAATGGTTGGCCTTAAAACAAATTGAGATAATAGCGGAACTGACGTTAGTGACATCGATTTAGGAGGGTTTGATGGAGATATTTGGAAAGTTTAAAATTTCCAGTTCAAAAATTTTTCAATCTTAACAACTGAGAAGAAGAAAATTGCCAATTACCCTTCTTTACTGAAGAATGCATAATTTTTAGGTAGATTTGATATTTGTTCGGCTATTATTCTCCTTAATTCATCAATAGACATTGATTCCTTGTCAACAACAATAGAACCCAAAAGGAGATGATTTTTGTACTCCAAATCAATCAGATCAGATGAACCACAAAGGTGACGAATTATCATTCTTTCATCAACTAAAATTACACCGAAAACTTTTCTACAGGAAAAAGAGTCACGAGAAACCACGATTGAACCCGGTACTGTAGAGGAGGCTGAAGGAGAGGTTAAAGTTGAATGGTGATGGTTAAATAAATTGATGATATGAGAAGGTGGCTTGTTGCTTTCAGAAACCACCATTTCGTTGTTATTGTTACTGGAATGATTGTTGTTATTAATACTTGTATTATTAGCACTATTACTAATACAATTGGTATTATTAACAATTGGTGAAGTAAGTTGCATTCCCGATATTTGATGAGTAAACCAAAATGAAGATGAAAGCGGTTGATATAAAAATACAATAATTAAATAATTACAAAGAAGAAACAATTGGAGTCACCAAGACAAGGTTGTAACTAATAACTGAATAAGAAAGTTGTCAAATAAGAGACTAAAACAAAGTAACAAAGTAAATTATTGACAGAGAAGACAATTATCAAATAGAGTGAGAAATGGAAGCAAAAAGTGGGAGAAATTCACAAGAAATTAAGATTATAATCAACTCTATTCGGTCATCCGTTTCACTATGACCAACAAAAAAAGAAACACTGGATGGGAAAAAATGATGCTAATGTCGATGACACAAATGATGATGATGATAAAATGATGAAGGTGATGATGATAGGTTCATGGTAATGTTGTTAGTGTTGACTATTACCATGAATGAAGGAGAGATCATGATAGAGGAGAGATGAATAAAGGGAAAAGAAGGAGAAAGAGAGAGAAACTGATTAGATGAGAGTTAATAGTTATTACTTATCGCCAAACATGTAACAAGTTGCTAGCTGAACAGTTAGCTTATAGCGCCATCTCATGTTGTTTATCGATCACAATTAATGTTTAAAAGATTAGCAAAGTCTAATTATTTGTTGAAATATTAATTTACAATCAATCAAAGAAGATTAGATGATTTAGTAATTTAAAATTATTCAATTTTACCTTTTACTGAACAATTCCATAGACAACATAATTGTGGTCCATCAAATTTCCGATTTTGATCCAATTGAGAATCTGATTCTGCTTCCACTTGAATTAGCAAAAATAATTGTTTGAAATATTTTATTCTGTTTAAATTTAATGATTGGAGATTCTTGAACATCTCAACCAATTAATAAATCATAAGGTTAAGGTTAACGATTTGGATTTTAATTTTAGCAACTTAAATTGTGATCAAATTGATTATTAAACACCAATTATCAGCTGGTTAAGGTTAATGTTAAAAGGATTTTAAGGTTTGGCAAAATTGATTGATATTTTATTAATTGATAATTCAGTTTGTTCAAACAAGAAATCAATTTGGTGAAACATAATTCTAAATTGTTCAACCTTTATGCTTTTCTTTTGAACCGATTTTTGATATTCATTGATATTGATTCTGAACAATTAAGGCAGCAAATTAGATTGAAATGGTTGTAAAATTGAATTTAAGATTCAACCGAAGCTTCTTGTTTTTAAGTTAGATTATTTGATTTGATTGATTATTCTGGATTTAAAAGCAATTCGATTTGTGGTTAAACTTATTAGTAAATTATTGAGTGATCGTGAGCAATAAAACCTATTACTTACAGGTAAGTTCATCATTGTTAATGTTATGATTCAATTGTAAGGAAATAGATGTTGGCTTTTCTATCACATTTAAAGCAATTCAAACAAGTTACCGGAACAAATTAATAAAAAAGCTCGTCAATTGATAATTTATACAATGAAATGAGTCAACCTGAAGTAGCAATTACAAGCATTAACTTGAAATGTTTAAGCATCTTCAAGATTTCTTTCATGATAAGCTGTTACGATTAATGCGTCAACTGTAACCGTCCATAAACATTTGTATTTTGCTTTTACTACATGAGAATTATTTCCAATCAAAATGTCGCTTGTTTCTGGGAAATCATAAATCACAATTTTGCTCACAATTGATTACGAATGAATCATAACTAGAAAATGTTATAATTGCATAGAAAAGCAAGTCAATTTTAATGTGACATTTAATTAGCTACTGTAATAATTGTTCTGGTCTTTGGTAAAATCACATTATGAAAACATTGAAATCTGAGTCAACCAAAGAGCCAACCGCGCTTTTCAAACAAGTCATCACTGTTGTCATCTTGTATCAAAAAACCAAATCAACTGCAAGGCCTTAATTGTTGAGCTATTGGTTCGGATAACAAAGATTTAATTTAATTTAACCAGCTCGCACTTTTCCATTTGGTTGGTCGGTATCTTCAATCTTTAAAGGTGCGTATAATCTTTTGTCCAGTTCAAGAATAGCTTGTCTGGCTCCTTCCCATGGGTTTGGACCATTGAGACGATATTGGTATGAAACACAAGGTTTTAATAGACAGTTGTACCAAAGAACTGGATCAGTTAATGCCAGTTTAGTCATGTTGGGTTTAGCGCCGATGAAAGAAGCGATTTCGTCCATGTAGGGTATCCAATGAACCTCAATTGTGTTTCTTGGGCTTGCATAGAAAAGTTTGTCTCGAGCTTCATTATCCATTTTCATGATTGATATCATCTTATCTTTTGGTGGAAGCTTGAACTGGCCTAATAAACACATAGTAAATAAAGGAATAGAAAGTTATAAAATTATGTCAGCAATTGGAGTCAACTTACCTTTCATTAAACCGGCAAACCAGCGACTCTGCATTTCTGATATGGGAAAGATAGCTCCTAAAGGTTGAATCAACCCAATGAAAGCTAAAGTATGAGGGTGCTCCAGGCGAGGGTTGAAAACATTTTTATACAGTTCAACCCGATTATCGACAATATCAATGATTGATGGATCAATAAATGGAAACCCAATTTTATATCCAGTTGCCAAAATAACTGTGTCACAAGCTATTTCTTCATTAGACCCTTCAAAGATGACTCCTTTTTCAGTGAAGCACTTGATATTTTTACGAACTAAAATACGTCCAGACATTATTGAATTGGCCAGTTCATCTTGAATTGCAGGATGTTGACCACAGAGACGATGTTTAGGTTTTAAACCGTATGCTTCATGGTCAAAATAAATGTCCAAAACTGTTTCCATAAGATAATTCCATGGACGAGAGAAATAACCAGCAATGGTGTTGATTAATCGAGAGTTGATACAAAAATCATATGGAAGGCCTTTTAAGAAAGTCCGATTGGCAACCCAAGTGCCTCGTCGAGTTGAAAGGTAAACCTTTGAAAAAAATTAACATCAACATTATTAATTAACAGTTTAAGCTTTTAACTCAATGGCGATCATATGATCCATTGTTTAAGATTATGCTTTTTATGCTTTTAGATCATTTTTGTTATGCGCTTTTTCAATTTTAATGCGCCATTGAATTGAAATGGCTAATTTTAACTCCATACAATTTTATTTGTTTATTTTAATAAAATGTGATTAATTATACCTGTGAAGCTATTCGTCCCAATTCAGTTGCGATATCTAATCCTGAATTACCAACACCGACCACAACAACTTTTTGATCCAAATATTTGTCTGCATTCTTGAAAGAATGGCTGTGGATTACTGTGCCTGTACAATATTGGGATAAAAATTGGAAAATGGTTATTTATAATTCTGAATATTTACACTGGTATCAATTTATTTACCTTGGAATTTATCTTGTCCGGGAAATTTTGGCTCATGTGGTGTTGCATGATGACCGGTGCAAATCATTACTCCATCAAATTGCTCCTCTATCTCATTGTCCTCATCGTCTACATACTTGACCAACCATCGACCAGTCTTTTCATAGTCGGATGACTTAGCAATCGCTTTAACTTCATGTTTATATTTAATATAATCGTTAAGATTAAATTTCTTAGCGTACATTTCGAAGTATTTCCACTGTAATGACAGAATGGTAAACAGATTATTGACTCTATTGGTCCCAACAGAGATTTGTTTTGGTGTGAAAAATCAAAGATTACATTGAGATGGACGGTTAAACTTACCATTAAACGATTGTGCATGAAATTTGGAAAATCATCTGGTGGTGGAAAATCAGAGAAGGCTGACAATTCCTTAGATGTGTTAATAATTGTGGTTTTAGTGACAGAAGCAACTCCATCAATATCGTCATCATGATATCTCCAAAGTCCACCAAAAATCTCTGTCCTTTCAAAACAAGTTACATTGAAACCATTTTCGACACATTGTTTGATTGCCGTTAGTCCACTTGCACCTGCACCAATCACAGCAATTGATTTAACATTGGCCATCTTAGACGTTTGAAGGAAACAAATTCTGGTTTCTAATCTGGTTAAAAGTGAGACGCAATTGAAGACACAAGACACTTGATCAACTAAACTCGAAAGGCTCAACTCTCTGACTGCTAATTAGGATTGCTATCCACGTAAAGACTTCTTATCATAAATCATATGCATCGACATGAAATAGGTTAAAATCCAAGAATGTTGTCAATGATCTTCGATTTTGATATGGATGCTTGAAAACACTTGAGCACTTTGATATAATTGATATAATACAAAAGTGGATTTCATTGAAGAGCTGTTCAAAATTTGCTTTCTATTGATTTGACTAAAAAGACGCGAAATCTCCAACTTATTCAGCCAACATTAATAATAACTATAATATCTGGACTGCTGATTATCTCAAACCTCTGATAGCAACAATCTGGTTTTACCTCAATTTAAACCTAAACCTATCCTGTACCTATGACTCGATTACATAATTCTTGTAAGATAAATTTCTTCTAATTGAATGTTCTAAAGGCATTATCTTTTGAATCGCTGGCCTTCGATAAATAATTCAATTTCAACTATTATTTCAATTTTTTCCTTGTTCAATATAATGGAAGGCATCTCAAGAAAACATGGAGACAAATTATCCTGTCAATCAGTCAAGGCTAAGATAATCATCTCATTCAAAATAACTAACTCAATGATTGATACAATGGTGATGTTTGAATGAATGGATGTAATTTCATTTTCCAACTCTTCTACTAATAATAAGAAAACACTTTACAGAATCGCATGTTTCATTGATTTAACTTGTACATTTAGGAATTTATAAGGTGAGTTAACGATGGAAATTTTTGTTGCCAAATCGGAAAAACAAAATTTAATAACAACATAAATATAAAGAGCATTAAGAGCTTATTCTTAGGGTAAAAGATATCTCATTAGACATTTTTGTTCATTAAAGATTGAATCATTTGAAGATGTTATCCATTTTTGTAATAAGATTATGTAGAGGTAAAGACTTGTTACAACAGATTAGTCTGGATGGCTCTGAAGAATCAACAACCATGAATTTAAGTTAATGTTTACAATTTAAATTCCAATGATTACAATTGAAGTGTCTTGATGTAAATAAAAAAAGTTAGCAAAATTAAAGTTACCTAAAGGTATCTCCATCTGCCGTTACTTTATATAACCATTTACCACGTTTCCGGATTTCCTAAGAATCCTGTCCTATTAAGACTGAAATTGTTTCATTTATAATCATCTCTTCTAGTTATTTATTAGTCTTTTAATCAAATAAACCTTTTCATCATGTATGTCCCAGAACGTGTTTGGATTGATCGAAGTCTTTATGTCGAAGCAGAGTCACGCTTTTTCTCTGGACAGGTAAGACAAATCTAAAATGATATTTATTCTTGTCTTTACATATTATTCTTAATGCTGCATCAACTTGAGTCGGTAAGCCGGGTTTGCCACATGAGATATTATGTTGATTCGGATCTGATGACTTTTACTCTTTGGTTATTTATTTGACACCTGGTCTTTCATTTTGTTATTAATGATAATGGTGTTGACTAATGTATCTCTGATTAGGCCGCTTTTTATTCAGTTTAGTTGGCATCTTTGCTGCTTTTTAATTTTGACAAATGCTCAGTCAGTTCTTTAAGTTTCTCATTGATAATTATGTAAACACCATGACCATTGAAAAAAAAGAGTCGACAGACTTTGGCTATATCAATGCTAAAACATTGTTTCTCTTGTAACAATCTTTTTCTTACTTGATTTGCCATTAATTTTTTAGTATGTGAGTTAAATCAACAAGCTTGTCTGTTGTGTTGTATAACTGTTCCTAGGGTAAAAAAGCAAGAGATGGCTCAGTATTAGCAAAACAGTCTACTACTTCTACTACCAGCAAGGAAGCAATTAACCAGCATCAAGAGAATCCTTTTATCAGTGAGATTAACAAAGTTCGACATTTTATTCAAAATTCTCTCAACTCTGTGAGTAACACTCCTTAATCACGTTATTCGCTAACCAACCAACCAACCAACCAACCATCCAAATATGACACTGGAATGTATCACTCAATCCATCAAATTTTATCAATCTACCTGCCTGATATATATTTTTCTTTCATTCATTTTCATATCAATTGCATGGAAAGTTGATCCTTGCTTCAATATAACCTTTTTCACCTTGATACTAATTTAATTTTTTCTAACCTGATCACCTGATTTAACAATTTTGTTGTTGCCACTAAACCTTTAAATCTTGCTGCCTATCTCTTACTTAATAAGTTAAAGATTCTTTTCTTGCTTATTTTTTACCACCAAAACTGCTTATTTCTTGACAAATTTTATTTTCTTAACCAATATTGTTTCTTTTCACTAATTATGATAAGCTTTTTGTTCCAATAGACTTATTCAGCTAGTGATGCTAAAAGCAATGCTTCTCAAAACGCTCTTGTCCAACGAATTGCTGACTTAGAAGTTGAAAATAGAGAGATTAAGAAAGGTAAATTATTACACTAAATCATTGTATCAATATCACTAATCATTTTATTTTCATTTTTACAGCCTTTGAAGACTTAGTTAAACGTGTAGCCTCGTTAGAAATTAAATGCAGTACTTGTGCACCAGCACCAGCTTCAGCACCAGCTAAGAGTAAAGCCGCCCCTGCCAAGTCAGCACCAGTTGCTGATGATGACGATGATGATTTAGATCTTTTCGGTGATGATGATGCACCAAAGAAACCCGTAGTAGCCCCAGTTAAAGTTGAGAAGAAGAAGAAAGGTAAATTTTGATCATACACGCTAATCCAACTAATTTTTATCTCAATGTTTAATAATTTCAATCTTATTACAGCTGAAGTAATCGCAAAATCATCCGTCGTATTGGATATTAAGCCTTGGGATGATGAAACAAACATGGAAGAAATGGAGAAAGCTGTCCGTTCCATTGAAAAAGACGGTCTTCTATGGGGATCTTGTAAGAATGTTTCCATATTCAGACTCTTATTATCCTTTCTTTCCTAACGTCTAACACTTTCTTTTTACCTTTTTAGCCAAATTGGTAACAATCGCTTATGGAGTAAAGAAATTACAAATTGTCTGTGTCGTGGAGGACGAAAAAGTCAGCATTGAAGAGCTTCAAGAACAAATCGAGGAATTTTCCGACTATGTTCAAAGTGTTGATATAGCAGCTTTCAATAAGATCTAAACGCACTCAATTATGTATCAATTGATTTTTATTGGTAATAAAGCAAATTAGGGTTAATTAAATTTTATTCCGAAAAAAAGTTAATTTATGTTTTGAAAATTTTTAATTATTCATTAAACTTGGTTCAAATTTAATCTTCGACGTATTCAAAAGGCTCTGGAGGTTCGGGTTCTTTTTCTTCTTCAACCTTAGGTCCACCAGCAGCAACAGGTTGAACTAATTCTACTGGTTCTTCACTTCTTACATCACGCATCATCACAATACCACCAATACTTAAGTCTTTAAGAGGCCTATAACGGGCATTTTCAGGTATAGAAATGACTTTCAATTGTTGCCTTATCACTCTTGCAGGGTTACTTAATATTTCAAAACTGGGCTCAGATTTTCTTTCTTCATCTTTACTCTTCTCCTTGGATTTTTCTTTACTCTTTTCAGTTTCCTTTTTATCCTTTTCTTTCTCCTTCTCTCTTATCCTGTCCTTTTCCTTCTCTTTCTCCTTTTCTTTTTCACCTTTATCTGAAGTTGATGCAGGGGTTGTGGTAGTGGTTGATGTGGATGTTATGCTTGATGATGTACCGGTTTTTTCATTTGGTTTCGTACTATCCTTTGATTCATCAACTTCCATTTTTTCTTCTTTTTCTTTTTCCTTGGCTTCCCTTTTCTTTGCGTGTTTAGCTGTCGTCGAAAGAACGGCGGTTGTTACCTTTTCTCTTTCTCGCTCTTTCTTCTCTTCTAAAGGTGGAGGATATGCGTAATGTGAAGGCCTTGCATTTGATTTAATCTCTAATTTGGGCATTTTAAGATCTGAGTTCAAGGCAATTATGCAGGTTGGAACAAAACTCAAAGACAGAAAATGTGTCAATGGGAACCAATACCAGAATTGTGTGAAAACTAGCATACCAACAACAGCTGGTACATTAGTGTGACCGGTTCGTGATTGTAATGATATTGTCATATTGCGGCCACCTCCATCAATAATACCTTGGGCTAGGATTGCGCCAAACTTGGCCATAACATCATCATGCTTGTCAGAGATGATTTTGGCGTATAAGTTTTTAAATTCTTTTACCTTTGGACACAATGATTCAGTTTGTTGAATCAAGATTAAAGCTGAAGCAATTAGGGCTCCTTGTCTAACATAATTAACTGGATCATTTACCATGGGTTCTAACAGACTGATAGCTTCCTTGTTACCTGAACCTGCACAGCAAATACCCAAGGCCATAGCAGCACCATAACGCACATGAGGATTATAACTTTCTGATAAAAGAGAGACAACACTAGGGCAGTTTTCTGGTGTTCGGAAAAGAAGAAAACCAATTGCTTCGACTGCAGCTCGACGAACGTCGTCATTGACATCACTAACAGCAATGTGAAGTAACTTTCTGATGGCTTCGTTATTACCCGTACCACAATAAGCCATGGCAATGGTGTGCATACCCGATCGACGAAGAAGAGGATCCTTGTCACGACACAAACTTTCGATGAGAGTGTCAGCTTCTTCTAACCTACCGAACATTGTCAAACTGATACCAATAGCAAGACCTCGGAGAATTTTTTCATGCTGAGTTTCTTGAGCATAGGCAACCATGTCTTCGATGGCGGAAGGAGATTTAGAGCCTAACATAACTAGACCCATAGCTATTCCAGCAGCTTCACCGGTAACTGCATCATCTTGATACAAGTTAAATTTGAGTTGTTCATAAACATCTTGACGGTTTGTACCCATTGCTGCTAACCCTAAACCGAGACAACCACCATGACGAGTAGCTTCATTTTGAGCATCCTTCAATTGGCTGAGAAGATAATCAGTGATGTTAGACCCGTGATTAGCGTGAATAAGACCTAAAGCATATAGACCACCACCTAAAAAGAAAAAAGTAGATTAATAAAATACGGTAAATTTGACTTCTGTATATCAACATACCTTCGATGTATCCACTACCAGGTCCAGAATCTTTAGGTAAATAAGCTTGCATTAAATGCAAGGCCTCCTTTTCGTGACCCTTATGGATAACTCCTAAGCTTGCAGTAGCTGTGAATTTAGCCCAGTTTACGGCCCTGGCTAGCCAATCGAGATTATCTCGCAAGAATTGGTCACTTGTAGTTCCACAATGCATGATTGAATTAGCAATAACAGTTGCAGTGTGACACACTGAATTTCTAACAGCATCTTTAGTGTGCTTTAAAATCAGCATGTCTGTATGATTGTTACGAATTAGAAATTGGAGTTCGAGTTCTATTGTGGTTTCACCACTTAAAATGACGGCTAGTTTCTCTAATCTTTCTTGACGCAAAGCATCACCTCCTTTGAGATCTTCTTTTTTGACCTTCTCAACTTCAGGTTCTTTGACAGGTTCTGCTGATGTTGACGCTTGATCTTTTTGGTCAACTTGATCAGTATCCATTTGCTCGGGTTCTTCTTTTTTAGATTCATCTTTATCATTTTTTGCTTTTTGTGGAGGTCCAACCAGTGATGGAATTGGAGCTGTTATCCTAATAGCTTGTAAAACTCGTGTGAGAAAATTCTGTGTTGCACTTTCGTAAAGATCAAAGGCTATCTGATAAGCCATAAGAGAGCTGGTTTCATCTTCTCTTACTAATTTATCTAAAACATCAGCGATGGATTGAGCATCATCTAAGAATATCAAACACTGACACATGTTGACGTAATCTGGAGTTTTCAAATTTTTGTATATTTTGACTAAAATCTTGAGAATATCATTTCGATAATGACGATTCTCAACCAATGACATAGTTATACGGAAGGCGTAATCTAACATAGCTGTAACATTGTCAGATTCTAGAATAGACCGTTCAAAAATATCCATTCGTCTTGTTTCCATAGCTATACCAATGGCTTGTTTGAACTGATTATCATCGAAACATCTTTTAAACATTCTGTTGACGATATCTTCAAGCCTTTGATCAATTTGCACTTTATCTCCATCACTTGTAGTAATCATTTTAATCCTCAATTTGGTATAATGATCAATTGATTTCGCAATAATAGTCGATACATATTCAGAATCATCATTGACATCAAAAAGATCTTCAGCTCCTAATGCGTAGGTAAGAGAATCTAAAATATGAGAAGAATGAGAGTTAGTCGTTTTTGAAACAATAACAAATTTACAAAGGAAAGCTGTGGGTTAAAACCATGAGAAACGTTTATATTAACCTTCAAAAGATCCTAAATGATAATAAACTTTGGAAGCGACTAAAGATGCCAATTTTCTTTTATTGAAGCTCTCGTCTTCATAGAGTACTTCGATTTTCGCAATCACTTCAGAAATCTCAGCCCAAAACTCATCAACAATATCATTGAGCTTGGAAAGGGCGAAACTTTTGAGTTCAGGTCGGTCCTCTTCCAAAAGTGAAATAATTCCAGAAGCAGAGGTAATTTTCATCTTGGGGTGCATGGTGAGAGCCATGATTGATTAACTTCAACAGACTTCTTGTTTAGACCACAGAATTGGAACCGAGAAAAAATGAAACAGGTTAATTAGTACGAGATTAACAAAAATGTGATAATATACACCAAGCCGGTGGAGAAATATCAAAGAAAGAAATGAGAAGCAACCGGGAGAAAAAAAACACTCAAGGAAAGTTAAGGTTTAATGAAGGCAGGAAAGAAAGGGATTCTTCCATAACACTAGGAGTAAACTAGAATCAATGGCAACAATGACCTACCTGAAAATCAAAGTGACAATTGTTGATGTTGTTAATTAACGGATCAGATGATAAAATTATAAAACTAAACAATTCAAACAATCAAAATTATTAACGACAATTAATTGATCATGTAAGATGAATGAAAGATGTTTTATAAAAAGCTGATCTCTCATAAAACCAAATGACAAAGCAAGAAATTTTAGTTCAATAGATGGCGACAGGGAAAAGAAACCCAAAACAACTCTCTTTAAAAGCTCGCAATTTAAAGCGCATTTATTGAAGACAGAAAAATTGTTTTAAAATTATAAACTAATCACAATTAAACTGGACAGAAATCTCAATCAATTCAAATAAAGAATTTAAATTAAAATAAATTTTCCCTCTAAACCAATCAAACGACTCTTTCCAAATGATTTCAGAGTAAAATCAAAGACAAAATCAAGTTAAATAATCACTTAACCAATTCAACTAATAACCATAATTATTAACATTTTGTCCAATCAGCTTTCCACCTTGACCACAATGAGATGGACAAATGATGAGGTAAAATGTTATAAGTTAAACTAGATAATGAGAAAGCGCATGATCTTTCATGAACAAGAAAAAAATGTTGAATCAATTGTGGAAACTATTCAGTATGAACTTTCCATTCATTGAAATAACTACAAACATCGCAAACAATAAAGTAACAACAAAAACGCAAATGATTTACATTGACCGATATAACCAAATATAAATTAAATGTTTACAAATGTTGAACCGTAAAAATCAATAGTTATGTGATAAAGAATCAAATTGCAACCAAAAAAACAATTTTATACTCAACTTGTTGATCTTCATCCATATTGTCAACTGTTCAATGTCCAACTTTTGATTACCCAAAATTACCATGAAACCAGAATAACCAAAATCGTAAAACCAAAAGCTTCTGGAAACCTTTACCAGAAACCAACAGCAAAACCAGAGTAACCAATATTTCCAACAAAATCATAAAGAGTACCAAAATTTTACCCAAAAAATCAAAATCTTCACATTTAAAGGAAACGCTTCAACAAAAACATCTTTAACCCAATTTAAAGGAAACGCTTCAACAAAAACATCTTTAACCCAAAATTTGCTCCATAAATCAACAGTCTATTTGATCCACTTTGTGACTGTCAATACATAATTTGATGTAATTTATCACATGTTTAATATATTTGTCTTTAATAATATTTGTCATCTTTGAACATTTAATGAAATGAAAATAGTGATTAAGTGAACATCTCAAGTGACCATTTTTACTGATTAAACTGGATCTTATACCTTGACCAACCATCAACATGTTGATGTTGTTCATAATTAGCAATATAAATGGAAGCATATTTTCCATTAGTGACTGTTATTACCACAAATTATTGTCTAATTGTATAATCATTTGTTAACCTTTGACTCTCTGTGATTCTCATTAATATCTTATTATTAAATCTGAAGCAAGTTGATTGTTGATTAATAATTTGCTGTGCTTTTTGTGCTGTCAACAGCAAATTCAAGCTTCAAGCTGTTGTCCAACTTCACATGTGTTTATGTTAAATTATGTTTTACTCATCACTCTTGTTAAACTATTTTCTTGCCTCTTTAATCAACCCAATTGTTTCATTAAATTGCTCAACAACCTCAGATCAATATTTAATAACATCATTAACCTCACCATCAACACCATCAACAACAAGCCAAGGAACAACAGCAACAGCATTAGTTGAAGATGCTTCAATGATCAACCCAATGGAAAGTGAATTTGATACAAATAATGAAACAATTTGTCTTTCGGGTGAATTCAGATGTAATGATCTTTGTATTGAAGATGTGCTTCGATGTGATACCAAAAGTGACTGCTCTAATGGTCAAGATGAGCTAAACTGTGGTAAGTAAACCATTAATCAACCTTTTAACAGTCAATCAACTGTTGATTAACCGATAATCTAGAGAAAAGAAAATATTTTTCGCCTGAAAATTGAAAAGCTTTTTTTGCATCTCAAAAAGGTTTTTACTTTTGTTGACCTTTTACTTCACTGAAACTCAATTGGATATAAACTGAATGTCCATTCATTTTGAATGTTGGACAAAGACTGTTACACTTAAAATCCTTAAATGGACCTGAATCATCATTTTTTAATGCCATTTGGACATTATGCAAAGTGGAAAATGGTTTTCGAAATTTTTGTTCCTCTTTTTTTCCCTTCTTTTTTCACTCTACTTTCAACTTGAAGAGATTCAGATAATCGCTCGATTCTCAATATTAATCATTAATCCAACCGATCAATCAAGATGTTATTTGATATCGACTTTGACGAAATTGTAATTCAATTCTTTCTTTTTTCCGATTGAAAATTCCAACAGAAAGTTACATTTGCCCATCGAATCACATTAAGTGTGATAACCATTTTTGCATTTCCATCGATCGAGTTTGCGATTTCGTCGACGATTGTGGCGATGGAAGTGATGAACAAAATTGCAGTAAGTAATCAAGTAATAAGTAATCTTAAGTCAAATGGAAATGAAACAAAAAAGTTCTTCAGAAGAAAACTTTGTTCAATTTTGGTGAAAATTATTCAATGAGAAGAACTTTTTTTTGTCGAATTTCCATTTTTATATTTTGCATGGAAAATGATTAAATTATTTTCCATGTTTTCCTGTTGATTAAAAAGGAATCTTAAAGAGAATAATGTTTTTAAATTGTTCAGAGTTGATCAACATTAGAGTTTAAAGATAAAATGCTAATTTTAATGCTAAAAATAAATCACTAAAAATGTTAACCAAAAGAGTTTGATTTGCATAAATTGTTCTCGGAGAAACAATCAACTTGAGGTTGATATTAATTGGGAAATGGTGAAAATTGATTAACATTTTTTTCTCCTTCGATTAACAGCTTTTCGTCAATGTTGGTATCAAGAGTTCAGATGTAAAAACGAGCAATGCATTCAAGGGTATCGTGTTTGTGATGGCAAAGTTGATTGTGTTGATGGATCAGATGAAGCCTATTGTGATGAGAAGAGTAAGTTTAATCAATTGATTTTCACCTAATTGACGAAAGTTAATTGTTCATTTGGCTTTGATTTACATTTGGATTGAAGCTGAAAATTTAAATTGGGAAACATTTCAAATTCAATGTTAAACCTTTCAACTTGTTTAGTCAACAGAAGCTATCAAAAGTTATCTGCGGGAGTGAAGGTAAAGCTGAATAAAATGACGTTTTTTCAACTTTAAATCAATTTTTCATCACAATCGAATCAACTTTAGCAATCAAAAACACATTTGCAACAGCTTTTTTCATGTTTCATTGATTTATTGTAACAATGATGATGTAAAGTAACTCACGAAATCTTGCAATCTGAGGTTGAGAAACATCGAAAATTGTAAAGAAGTGTCATCTAAATATACAAAATTAAAACAGTCTATTGTTGTCTCTTCAATTTACAGTAAATCACTCGGAAGACGAAATGAACTGTTTATTAGTGTGACTAGAGTGGGAGTTATCAGCATGAACTAGAGTTGATGGTATGGCACTTTGAGATTCAGTTAGGGTTAAATGATTCCACTCAATGTAAAGAGTTTAAAGTTGAATTGTCAAGTGATTTGCTGAGTTTAAGATTCTAATCATATTCATGAGAGGATCCTGAGAATCTCATCGGATCTTTAGATGGTCAGAAGTCAGACCATTTCAATTTAAAGGTCGAAATAAGGTTAAGACACAAGTCTGTGAAAGGACTGGCGACAATCAAGTATCCAATCCTCGTCATTAAAATCGAGTCAACTTCAGTCATCGAAATTATGATTAATATTTGATGAATAAATCAACTTGGTTTCTTGACAATTTATAGTTGATAAAATGTGGATCCTTTGAATACTTTCTTTATTAAACTAAAATCGAACTTTGGATTACCCATTTGATTCATCAACATTTCCATGAGTAATTTGCAAAACATGTCAGAATCGCTTTCTTGTGAGAAACCATTTTCTTGTGATTCTTGACCTTTTCCATTTCTTACAATTCTTTGCCATTTCGAGTTTACAATTAATGGATGAGCGAAAGTGCGACTCTGATGAAGATCATGAAGTTTACTATTTATAAGTGCTAATCGAAGTCCTTAGTTGGGTTCAACTAGAGGGGAACCTTGAAGGTGTCTTTAACCTAAGAAGATGCAGGCCTTTGGGATCAGCTACTAACTCTTGTATAGCTATTACGGACTCAATCCAGTCAAGTGTTGAGGATAAAATGAGTTGTAAAAGAGACAGAAAAGGTTAAGAAAAACACAAATTTTCTGTTTTTTTATTCCAATTGTTTTCCAATGTAAAAATAGGTTGTTCATTACAATATAATCAACTTTACTCATCAAGTTAATCATTATTTGGATCAATAGTTTTAAGCAATTTACATTGAAACCAATAATGCAAACTAAACTAACAGTCAATAAGTTAAACTCCAAGACAATCGATAGCAAATACGAACAGAAATAAATATCATTTAATCAATGAAAATAAATATTAATCTAAATTGTGTCACATTAAAATCGATTAATTTTATAAATATTAACATCAACTTTAATCTTTTGCCATTCAAATAAACTCTGATCAGATTGAGTTTAGACAAGTGATTGGAAGGTATTTTAATAGCAATTGTTTAGTGTAAATAACCCAAGTTGGAGTTACAATGAATGACAATTTTTTGTGGATAAACACGTCAGAATTGGCAGAAAGTTCAGGTAATATCCAGAAGCATAAATATTGTATTACCTTTGATATTAATCTTTAATAAAGCCTATCATGATTAACATGAAAAGAGAATGAATTAGCGAGAATAAAAAGGAAAAAATTTTCGTTTCGTTTCTTTGCATACATTGATTGACATTGTTTTCACTGGCAATTAAAATCTGAAATGGATGATGAAAATGTTTTATTCATGATTATTCATTTGATATTACTTTTCATCTGCTTTCCAGTTAATCTCACAAATAATCTGATATTATCTCATTCAATAAACGCAAACTTTTCAACTAATCTTGTTTCACTTCTCGAGTTTCATTCAATTGATTAATGACGGAAACAAATGATTATCAATATCTTGAGAGACAAAAAGTAAACCTTTTTTGTTTCTTTTCACACAAATCCAAAGCTAATCCTTTGTTGACACACTCATTGAGAATCAATTGTTCAACACTTTTGCTAATCCAAAACTGGAACCAACAACTGATCTAATTACAGTCCTAAATGGATGCGTTTCATCAGCTTAACTCAGTTCAGAATCGATTTGTAAAAATTTCTATTTTCGTTTTTCCATTCAAAGGTCACTTCAAGGATTGTGGCGATGGCAATCGAGCTCACAAGTCAGTTTGGTGCGATGGTTACGTCAACTGTCCGAAGAACCATGCCGATGAATTGAATTGTATGTAATCGAGTTTATCTCAGCCTCGAATTAATTTTTCTATCCTTTTCAGGCAGAAATTGTTCTTCCGATGAATTTAGCTGTTCAAATACTCGATGCATTCCCAGTTCAAGTGTTTGTAATACAATTTGTGATTGTGTCGATAATTGTGAAGATGAAGTTGATTGCAAACAATTTTATCATCAAGTAAATGGTAAGTCATTTTTTATTCATTTTTCGAGTTTACACATTTCTGTTTTGTAAGATTGTTCAGGTTCAGGTGACAATTTGGTTGAACAAAAGTTCGATAAGAGATTGATTGATTGGAAAACTTGGACAGTTTTGTTTTTCAATTTCAAAGCTGTTAGCCTTTCAGGTAGAATTGATTTTAGTCATGAATTATGTAAAAATGAGTTTTTCCAAAAAATCGAAAAAAATTCAACTTTAGGTTTAACTCAGTGACAACTATTGGTTTTCAATAACTTTGTTTTCATCAATTTTTTAGAAAAATATTTCCATTAAATGAATTTTGGTTCATCAAGATTAATATTTTTGGTAAATCGCTTTTCACCGTTCATTTAGTTCCTTGTAAGGTCATTAGAATAGAGTCTTATTAGCATGAATAATGAATTGTCTGAAAGGAATTCCTGTGAGACTTGACTCTGAATTTTTCACTTATGACTTAATTCATTAAAAAAGGGAAAATGATTTATCAGATAAAATCAATGATCCAGTCTTCTGTAAACATTGTAACGATTTCACTGCGAAAATAATAGTTTCTTTAATCGTTTTGTTTATTACAAAGTGAACTGTGACTTTCACTTTACAGAAACAGCAGATCTTTAAAACTGTGTTTGATTGATAATGTGATATGATAGTTCGTAGTAGGATGGAGTAAAATCTGGTTCGATTTCATCATAAGTATTTTCAAGGATAAAGAATTGAATGCTGATTCCAATGATAAATTTTTTTCCAAAAAATGTAGTTTCGAGTTTACTATCAAACTAATGAAACCAGACGACAATATTGACCAATAGTCCAAGGGAAAGCCATTCAATCGAATGATTCAATTATATGATTTCGATCTGATAACCGACAAAATGGGTTAATCTGCGAGCAAAGGTGTTCATTGGGATTCGTTGAGCAGAACCTTTCTTGTTGCTTTTTCACTGGTTTCACTGTGGCTTTATAATAGCTTATATTGTAGTTAAAGATCAATCACCAAAGTGAAACCACAATATTGTGATTTCATTAGATATAAATGTATATTGCAATTTTGCTTTTAATAAAATAGTTAATTCTTGAGAGGCAAAAGATTTATCAACTCGATTGAGATTCAAGTCATATTGGTGAGTTTACCATTCAGTCTCAACATGTGACCAACTGGATTCTCTTTATATCAAGAATGTATCAACGATCTTATTCCAAGTCAATGCTTCCTTGGATCGAAGAATGAGAATGTCTAATACCGAAGATTTTAAGACAGTCCAATCGAAACTCAACTGATTTTAGTTAGCAACTCGAATCAATCGCAGTCTTTAACTGTCCATATTATAATCGTAAAAATAAGGTTTTTCGTAACAGTTATATGTTGGAGTTGGAGTTGGAGTGTTGCAGCACTCCAACAAGAATAACTCAAACTCTTTCAGTCGAAACAGGAAATTGCACGAAAATATGAATAATTGATAATCTATTAATATATAATAAATCGTTTATCATTCATTCATCAAGAATCTCTTTCAATCATTTTGATTGAGGTTTCAAGGTAAAGATATTTAATGTATAACCATAAAAATTTACCTTAAAGCATGAAATTGCAACACAAAAATTTTGTTGTATTTCTATCGAGCAAGATAAATATAGATTTTGTAAACTTGATTCTTTCGTCGATCATGTAAATTTATATCTTCAAGCATGTTGATAGTAACAGTATACTTGAATATACCTGCTATCAAGTTTGATGAACTAAAAGTGTTACAGATTGCAAATGAACTGAATGCTTATACTCAATAGCATTTATAACTTCATTTAATCTCATCAAATCTAAAGCTGGATCAAGCAATAATCTACTGCAATTCAACAAATCTTTCAAACTCTCATCTACCATCAATGACAAACATGAACTTTTCAATGTCGATCTCAAAGCTAGTAAAGCTAATAAATCTCTCATTTGATTCGATTATGAACTCGTTATTCACAATATCGACACAATATTTCTGCCTAGAAAATTATTGATTGAGCGAAACAATTGAGCTGCTAATCGACCAAAAAGCCAACGAATTAATTTATGTTTTCCGTTCTGCTGTCGCCATTTGACTAGTTGTTGTCATTTGTTTGAAGGAGGAATAAGTTAAGTTGAATACTTGATCGAGTATTGGATCCCCTGTAAAGCCAATGAGTGATCTTTCAGACCGAAATTGACTTGTAAAAGTAACTTTGTTTCAACCGATAAAACTTAATATTCAGCATTTGTTTATCACCAATCAATCACTTGAACACATATGCATAATTGATGGCAATGAAAAGCATCTTTTCTTATTGATCTGATTTGGTTACAAGACGATTTTGAAAACACGTTAACATGATACAACAACAATCTATATCAAATTCACATTTGAATATAAAATTGAATTGAAGCGAATAAAAAATGAGCAAAAAGACCAAACAGATTATAAAGAAACTGATAGACGAAAACAATTTCATCTACAGATAACTGTTATTATCTTGAGTAAGGATAACCCTTGAGGCTTTCACCAAATAGATTATTCATTCTTATTTCAGTGAAATAATGATGCATCCAACAAAATGAAACTCAGCAATCGTGAATTCTCATGTTTCCCTTTCAATGTTTCATCAGAAAAATTAAATTCATCTGTTTCACATTTCAAAGCTCAAGACATTATTTAGTTAAACAATTGAGTCAAGAGAAAAAGTTGACAGAAAAAATGTTTCAAAATTAATAATAAAAAAAGGAAAGAAAATAATGAAACTAAAAGATAATATTCTTATTAAGATATTCTTGCAAGTGAATAAAAATGGAAATGTGATCAACTGAACAACATGGAGAATTCATTATAAAAACAAAAGAACTTGAATTTTGTGCCAAAAACGAGAAACGAAAAAAAAGAAGAGACGAAAAGTTATTGATAATGAAAATAATTATCTTTGAATCAATCATGATTATTCATATAAATGTATATTAGTTTACTCATTACAATTGCTTTTGACGTTTCAAGCAAAATCTATTATCAATTCCCAGATGAGAATCGAAATGATAGTTTCAACTCCCAGTTGAAGGCAATTTGATAATAATGATAAATCAAGGAAAACTCAATAAACCATTCGAAATGAGTTATTAATATTATTCGATAATCTGTTAATCTTATTGAAACTATTTTCTCCAAACATGGAAATTCCTTTCAACGGAAAAAACTAAATATTTTGTAAACTGAAACGAAACAATATATTGAATAAAATGAATCTTTTTGTTTTTCCAATTGAAATGCTTTTCCTTTGATAATCTTTTCCAATACAACAATTGGCTTCACTCATCACATGCAAACATCTTTTTCCACTTTATCTTGAAAACTTGATTCTCTTCATCATCTACCTTTAAAGCTTCCATTATCTTCATTCTTATCCTTTTAGAAATTCAAAATTCTTATCCTGAAACAAAAAGGAAAACTTGACATTTTAATGTTTTACGCTTGTTTACCCGTTCCATTGTTAATCTGCTTCTCCGAGTAACTCACCCAAACGATGGAAATGTTTACGCTTTTATGTTGAAATGTTCAATTGTTTAAACTTGTTCTTGTTTTGCGAATCAATCACTGAATTATGTCTGGAAAAGGTGATTAAATTGAGAAGGAAAATGAATCTTTTTAAAGTTTGCGAAATTTTCTATGGAATCGAGTTTTCATGAAAAGTTAATTTTGAAACTTGAACAGTTGAAGCGACAGAATCTTTATCTGTTAAGGTTGAACAGAGTCTGGATGAAATTGAAGGGAAAAGGAAATATCAGTTGAAATTGGCTGACTAACAATGGACTTTACCTTTTAGCATAAAGTAAAGGAAAATGTCTTTTAAGGAAACTTTGTAAATTCAATTTTGCCATTTCGCTTTCACTTTTTTCTCATTATTACTTTCACGAACCAGAATTACTTTATCATTTTTACCATAAATAGCTTGCAACAAATCGTTATTTTTAACCAAATCCTTGATCATTGTTGGCATCAAAAGAAGGTAATTTATTTACAATGTTTAACAGTTCACCAAGTGTGAAAGGAAATGTTTATCAGGATCGAACTAATTTCAATACGAAACTTTACGATCGATTTGGCACTAAAATGCTAAAATGGATTGACCTTTAAACATAAAATTAAATTTATTATCTTAAACTGAAACATCAAATCTCAGTGTAACCATGAAAGTTATCATAAAATCGGTTAAACTGATGCCAAGGAAAAAAGATCTTTTATTAATCATTACATTGAAAGTCGATTTGCAATAACTTTCGATTCGAAAAATTGTCCACAAAATGCTTGTTCTTAGACAGTTAAGATATGTGTCGATATGAAATTGTGAGATCAAAAGCATTCGATGAAGAATTCAAAGTACTTCGAGAGATTAAACTTTGTATCGAAAAAGTTTCGATTTATTGTTATTTGTGTTTCGATTGTTTTGGTTCGAGTTTTTGGATCTTTTAGCATTAATTGGCTTCCATTTTGCTTTTAAATCGAAGATAATTGTCGTTAAATTGTTTCAAAATAATTGCCATGAGAATGGTTGGAAAGGGAAAAGTTAATCTTTGATTGTATCACTAACTCATTGGTTGAAGTTTTTAAAGTTTCTATTATTTTAGTTTAGGTTTAGGTAATAGATGAAGTTCAATGTTTGATGCAATCAATGAGTGAGTTTTCATGAGCAACCTTTCCAATGGAATCATCCTTCTCTTCATCATCGCCATCCATTCCTAATCCGATGACCAAAATTGATGGCACAAACTGTAATTGACAGAGATTATCTTGACTCCAAATATCTTGAAACTTCTTTGACCTGTCTTATGATATTGCTTCATCTTCTTCATCTTCTTCTTTCTAATAAGAACCTTGAATCTAATTCTTTCTCTTCTCTCCTGTTTCCTGTTAAGTTAACAAACTCATCTTCAGATGATTCTGTTCTCTGTACTTGAAAGAAGTCTGAGAGAAGAAAGAAGAAGAAGAAGAAAAAACTAATATTCACTGAAACATCTTGTTCATTTAGACTTTTGTTCATCAAGTAGATTCCCTGTTCCTTCATATCTTTTCATTTTCATGCTTGTCAATTCACAGTTGCAACACAAACACACATATTATTTACGAATGATATTCAAAAGGAAAACGAATCTTCCAAACTCAGAGATTTCATTTCACGTTTAAACTCTAAAACACTTTACTCACTAAAAGCTTAAAATTCAACTAATTTGTCTTTATAAATGCTCTTACAATTAAGATGGACACTGAAGAATTGCATTGTCAAGTTGTCTAAAGTTCAATCTCAATCATCGAGTTGTTTCGTTGCGAGTTAATTGCAAGAAAATGGCTTGTTTTGGTTGTAATGAAAGTTAAAGAAATTATTAATAGTTCTGAATGAACCAGCCCAACCACAAGTTATGGATAAGCTTTGTAACAATCATTTTGAAGTCTTTTAAGCTGCTATTAAGAATCATTTTCTGCAAAATCTTTAGTTTGACCAACTTTTCAAGCAAACCTGTGCAACCTTCATCAACCTTCGAACCAATTAGCATCTAAAGTAAAGAGTTTGTTGAAACAAATACATGCAAAGTATCCATGAAGGCATTGATTTAAAATAAAATATATTGAGTTCCACATCCAAATGCAACAGTTTAGTTCCATACTCATGATAATCTTCTTAATTTGCTTAAAACAGAGCAAAAGAAAAGGCTAATTACAAATGAATTAACTTTGCTATTGAAGCCATCGATTATACAGAAAAAATATCTCAAGTTCTGCAAGAAATAGATCGAATAAAAAAGGATAAAAGTTGATTATATAATTAGAAAAGTGTTTGAGAGCGCAAGAATGAATCGCTTTTGTAACTCCAATAGATTAAACTCGATCTCTGCTCGATCTTGATCTCCAAATATCGAGCTTTATATAACTATTAGAAGATCATTTGACTCTGAAAAGCGCCTCAAAATTAACTTGGAAATTTCCAATTCCATTTCAGTGTAATGTGAATCCTGGAAGACCATGAATAAGCAATAATTGTGCAATAAATTTTTCCCTTTTGTTCCAAGTAAATGAATATTTTTATAATGAAAAGATGAAATGTTTATTCGGAACAAAAGGTTGATCCATTCACCACCAAACCTTCAATAAAAACCTTATACCTTGTTTTACTTCCCACGTTTGTTTGTAAACCCATTGAAGCTTTACTTTGTACACACTCTTATTGCCATTTTACTCATGCTTATGATTTTTATTATTATTGCATTATGTGCCTTAAGACTTCTGTAAATATGAAAAGATATTTATTCTTGCTATTCATTAATTACTCTTTACATGAGGTTATAATGCATTCCCAACCGGAAGAAAGCAAAAACTTGCAACTCAAAGAAACGAAAGCAAGTAAAACATTGTCATTATAAACGATGTAAAAGGTAAAAATGAGACGATGAGGATGATCATCGATTCCCTTTACGTCTTCAAAACCAAACAATGTTTCCAAAATTCCTTTCATCATTTTTCCAATAACTAAACATATTTACAATCAATTGATTGGAGTTATTAACACAAAATGGATTGTCTGATGAACATCCTTTTATCATTATTGTTGTAAAGGAATTTCATCATTAAATATTGTTACATTGACAAAGTGATCAAAATCACTCCCAAAGTGAACATCAGTTTACACTTTAACCTTAAATTTTGATCAAATTTTGTCTCAAGTCTGTCAAAGTGGCTCATTGAAGGTGATAATGATGAGCATTAAAAGGCTTTTTTATGATTTACTTCAAAACCATTTCCATGGTTAATCAATTTGTTTGATGAACCATTCAATTTGAACAATCTTACTTTTCCTCCTTTTATTGTTATTGATTAGTTTCATCACGCTTTATCTAACAAATTATCCATTCCCTGTTCAGTTGTTTTGTCGAACCCGAAGCACGCAATTAATATTTGTTTTCACTTTCATCTTCGATTTACAGGTCTCAAGTTTTGCAATACAAATGTTACCTTCGCTTGTCCATGGGATGGTCCATGTGTTACAATTGACAGCATTTGTAACAACATTTCCAACTGTCCATATGATGATGCATATTCTGGTGCACTTGATGAATACGGATGTGGTGAGTTTCGACATGAATTTCCGTTTGTCAATCAGAAATTTCCATTTAGTTTTGGATAATTTGACTTCGATGTGAAATTGAAAAGAAAAGCTGATGGAAAGATTGATAAGATTCTTTGTAAAGTTAACCAGAAATTCATTGAGCTTTTCTCAGTCAAAAGTCATCTTCTCCTTCATTTTCCTGGTGAGAAACTTTCAATGCAAATTCGCATAAATTATTCATGCATGTAACTTTGATGAAAGACTAGACTTCAATTAACTTGCAATTGTGTAAAGAGCATTTTGGTTATTCAATAAAACCAGCAATTATAAAATTTAAGGTTGAAACAAAATTTTAAACGTCAGAGTAAAATTGAATTGAATCAAAGTCACTTTTGCTAACTTATTCAGTCTTTTTATATTCTCCATGTTCCATCAATTTCCTGTTAACAGTTCTTTTCATGGCTATTCACAGTTCCATCACTGACAACTGTTTACACAATTGCGTTCATTTAAATTCTCAACACTTTTCCTTTTCCAGGAATAACCAAAGAGAAATGTGAAACTTTTGGAAATGGCTTTTGGTGTCCTGAGGAACGGTGCATTTCAGCTTCATTAAAGTGTAACTTTATTCCTGAATGTTTAAACGGTGAAGATGAACTTGATTGCTGTAAGTAAACTCAGAATTGCATTCAACTTTCGAAAAGTTTGTTAACAATTTTTCTTTTCATGATCTTCTCCAGTCTCTGAACCTTGTGATAAATTTCAGTGCAAGAATGGACAGTGTATTGATTTCGATAAGCGTTGTGATTCAAAGATTGATTGCTTTGACAAATCGGATGAACTGGATTGTCGTAAGTTTTTGGTTTACTTTGCTTTGTTTCGCATTTTAATTGATTTGCATTTACCAGAAAATTATCCTTGTCCTGATGATTGGGTTCAATGTGCATCAGGTCAATGCGTTAAACGCAGCTTTTGGTGTGATTATACTGAGGACTGTTTGGATGGGTCTGATGAAGCTTACTGTGATTATAAGTCGAATCCACCTGAATGTGATCCATTAACTGAATACACCTGTAAAAATGGTCAATGCATTAAGCTACTTAATCGTTGTTTGGTCACTCAAGACAGACGAGATTCTTGTTCAGATGGATCTCATTTGGTTAATTGTTCCGATTACATTTGTCCAACTAATTCAATTAAATGTGCCAACTCATTTTGTGTTCATTCATCTTTGGTCTGTGATAAAAAGATTGATTGTCTTCGCAGTTGGACAGACGAAGAAGGTTGTCGTAAGTAAATTGCATTCAATTAATCATTCAATCCAATCAAATCAAGTAAACAAGTTGTTTATTAAACGATCAACAATTTTATTCCAATGCAAACAAAACCAAATCAACTAAAACTTTGCATAAAAGCATCTATTCGAAGACACAATCCAATGAAAATATCAAACATCTTCAGATTCTTTAATAACAATTTGACTTTTTTTAATTGAAATTCATGTTCTTCTCTTTTAATTTTACCTTTTATTCAATCACTTTATTCAATTTGAAGGCAAGCACTTTATCAATCAAAGACCATTGCAGAAGCTTTTATTGTTCAGAGAATTGAAATGGATCGTTAATGGAAACAATTGATAAAAGCGCAATTTAAATTCAATTGTTGATTGCCATTATTATTTTTCTGTGAAAACATTTGTCTTTATTAACCCGGGATCAGCAGTAATAACTGAATATTTTGCTGTAATAAGAATATTATTTGTTTCCATATCAAATTGGATGGTAAAATTATCTTGGGAATGTAAATTGAAAGTTTCAATTCTCAATCTAGATTCTCATGTTCTTCTTTCAGCAAAATTTCATTCTCTTTTCGTTATATTTTGCAATAAATTAACTCGAGCTATTTTGAGAAAATGAAAGATTCTTTAGACAGCAATCAACTAATTGCAATTCAAGAAATTCATGCAATCTGAAGCTCTTTTAAAACATTGACTTTGCTAATTGAAACTAAACTATCGACTTCCCAATGAAAGTTAAAGACTTGATTCTAGACTTGTTATGACAATTGAAATGTTTTCAGTTTATTTATACTTTTCATACAAATTAATGTTTGAGTTGTTTGTGCTTTTGAATAGATTGATGAACAATCCTAGTTTTAGTTAATTTTATGGTTTCATTTAAAGCATAATTTATAAATTTAATGCAACAATTGAACCTTTTTTTCTCGTTTTTCCCACTAATTACAATTGCTTAATCTTTCAATTGAAAAACATGTAAAGTTACTCGTTGAATCCCATGGCTTTGTGTTTATCATTAAACGTTATGCTATTTAAACTTGTAAAGTCCATTTCAACTAATGAATGACAATGAACATGAAACTCTTTTCAGAAGCTTTTCTCTGACCATTATCATCCCATTTTGGTTTAGTCTTTTCTTCTTGCTTCCAAAATGATTTACAACGAGATTTACTGCAAAATTTAAATGAATAATGTTTTTCATTTATTAATGATGATTAAACTACTTCTTGAGATGAAAGATTCACTTTTGACTAATTCATTTGGAAAACAAAAACTGCTTTTAAAATGAAAAGCAATTGCGTTTTGGAAAAGATTCAAAAGACAAATATATTCATATTTCAATCTGAGACTTAATTATGTTAAACAGTCAACATTGAATCAATTTTCGTTTCTTTTCAGCTTTCGTTTGTTCGTCAACTTTATGTCCTTGCATTGATATCGTCATAAATTGCACCAATTTTGGCATCAATTATATTCCAGACGACATTGAAACGGGAATCTCGAGAATGTAAGTTTAATGTTGACCTAAGTTGATTAAAATTGGGTTCACTTTTTGTTCGGTTCTGGTGGTTATGTGAGTTAAAATTTAACAATTGCATGAAAGTGAATGATGCTAACAGGGAATGACTTATTCGTGTTTGGAGGATTGTTTTGAAAGGGAAAAGGATAAACATTGATAACAATTGTGACAGTAAATATCACTGGAAGTAAGTTTTGTTTGCCGAGAAAATAAGTCAAGTTAAAGATGATGAGCAAGAGGAAAGGTAAATAAAGACTAAAGTAACTCTAATGAGCTCAATCAATCAGAACTGAACAACTTCTCAACAATCTTTTCCTTCCTTTTCCTTCTTCGGTGCTTTGTTTTCACCTTCTTTCCTCATTCCTTCCAGGCTACTAAAGTTTAATTTTAACCAAATTTAACTTGTAAATTGGTTTAAATGTAGCAAAGACGAAGACACTTATCAACAGTTATTAATGTCGAAACTTTTCTTTTCTCAGCATCATGAGAGGCAACAATTTAGGGTCCAATTTAACCCAATCAACATTCGCCAAACTTGACACCAAAATGGTCTACATTGACCTGAGTAACTGTTCGATCCAAAGACTGGAATCTGGAGTTTTTCAAAGCCTTAATCTTCTCAAAGTTTTGTAAGTCAACAGAAACTTTTAATTTCTTATTAAAACTCGATAATGAAATGGAATTTTCTGAAATAATTTTATTAAAATTCCGAAAATTAAAACATTGAGCTTGAGTGAACCAGTTCTGATTGTTAAAAGTCGCTGTTGTGGAACAATTGAACTGAATTTAAATAGAAGAAAAATTTTGGGCAAAACTTGTTTCATGTTTAAATCAATTGAATTAAACGATTTTACCATGAAATTGTTATGATCGATTAACTCTTCAGTCTTTTAGGGTGAACCTAATTCATTTAATATCTTTATTCAGCTGGTTAAGCTGATTCGAGAGAGAAAATGAAAATGGAATGAAATGAGAGAAAAAATTAGATTCTAATTGATTAGAAGATGAATTATAGCTCAATTCAATTGTATTTTAATCTTTATTCAAGGTAAATCATGATTTGAGAAGAGCAATTGATTCTCACACTTTTTGAATATTCATCGAGTTGAACTTACAAAGCAAGTGAAATCACTCTAATCAGTTCAATTAAACAATAAACTGTTCACTCAGGTAGACTCGGGTTAATCTATTAAACGAAAAAAACTAACCTCAATTTCATTATTTACAGAGTTCTGAGTGACAATCAAATCACTGAACTTACAAATGAAAATATATTCGCCGGATTGATAAGTCTAAGAACAATGTAAGTAAAACAAAAGACTTGAAAAATTCACTCACAATTAACAACAATTTAGTTTTTTAGATGGCAATGGAATCAAAATGATTGCTTCTTATGCATTCAAAGGACTTTCAGGAATCAAATCCCTGTAAGTACAACAGTTAATCAGAGTGAATAACATTCACTCCCAGTCAATCCCTGTGCTAACTCGATCTTCTTCATTTCCAGAGATTTGGCTAATCAACAATTGACGATAATAAAGCGCAATACATTTAATGGAATGCGTTCTCTGGTTACTCTGTGAGTTTCAACCATTCAATTCTTGTTATTCAAATTCTTATTGATTATGTTTTCCTTTTTTCAGCGATTTATCAAACAATCAATTGTTCTACCTCGAAGAAGGATCCTTTACTGGTTTGATTAAATTAACATCATTGTAAGTCAAAGTTTAAAGAATCATTTTATTACAAACTTTCCAATTTGTCTTCGAGTTTACTTTGCATTCAAAGTATCATGATAATGTTTTCATTGACACTCATTGTTTTGTGTCTTGAATATTAATTGAATGTTGAATTTAAACATTTTAATATTGAACCATGAAATGTCGCCTTTGAGCAAATATTTACAGTTGAATGTAAATCTGTAATGAAACAGCATTCCCATGATAATTGTTACAGTAAAAGTTATTAACGTTGCGAACGAATTGTAACGAATATTGTAAAACTCGAATTTGGACATTCTGAGCAAATTAACAATCAAATGCTTTCATAAATATTACATGTTCAAATGTTTACAAAATGGAGTTTCTTCAATTATCTTTATCAAGATCTTTTCAGAATCAATGAGAAATATTTCAAACTTTTTTTACTCGAATATTGTTCTCAGAACGAGCAAAATTGTAAACAAAAAGTTGAAATTCAATTGAAACTGATGTAACTGAAGCATTGATAAAGGCTTGAAAATGAAAAGTCGAGTCAATTAGAAACGTAAAGAATGACGAGAATTTGAAATGAGAAATTATTTCTTCTATTAGTCTTTATGTAACGATAATTTTGCAATCGAAAAGGTTCGAAGGTTCAAGATTTTTCTTCAAAATCATTCCATTAACAGTCTTTGAATCAATGGAACTTCAATGAAATACTTTTCCATGAAACAAACCTTTACCGATGTTTACTTTATTTGATTACAATCGCTTCAGGCTTTACTCTTTGACCTTTCAGATTCATTTTTCACTTTTTCAGATTCTAACATTTTCTCATCCAAATCATGCCAATGATTGAATCTCGTTAAACATCTTTGATCTTCATCTTGATTCTCATGATTGTCTTTCAAATTGCATTCTCATTGTTAACCACAACAATCATGATTAAGGTTGAATAATCTGATTGCTTTCTTCAATTGAATACATTTCTTTTGTCGATTCTTATTGATCTGAAGTTTGTCAAAGTAGACAAAATGATAACATTTGACGAAATTCAAGTTCAATTTTGAGCACTTTTCCTTTTTCTATCAGAAAATGAATTTTGGCAAAAAAATGAGCTCAGCTTGTGGATGATACAATTGATTGTCATTCAATAATAGTTTATTGAGAAGGAAGGAAAAGAGACGAAATCAAATGAAATCTTTATCATGTTCATGGTGAGACTAAACGATAATCAAAAATATTAAAGTGAAAAGTGAAAAGTATCTTTTGTCGAACTTTTCAAATTTCGTTTTCAATCTCATTTGTTATTTCTCTCCAGAATAGTTTCAATCGATAACATTGAAAGTTTACAAATAACATTTAACATGAAACAATTTTTCTGCTGAATTTTGATGAGAAAAGCGTGAATTGCTCATTCAAATTGCAGACATGGAAAGGAAAGAACGGAATCTTATTGAGGAAATCTGAATTGTGAGACTGACCAATGTGATTGATGACAATATTGAGACATTTTTGTCAACAGATATTTTCTCGAAACTCAACTGAAATGGACAGAAATGAATTAACTATTTGTTAACTGATCTTGCAATTATGACTCTCTAACTTTACATTAATTTGAGTTTTTAAATTGAATCTCAATTGAATCAATTTTGCTCGACTGAGTAATTTATTTAATTCAGAGGTTGTTTACATTTTATGCATTCGATTAATGCAAATGTAACATTTAATTCCTTGTTCTGGTTGCAAATAAATCATTACTTCAATTGCTTCTTCACTTCGTGCTTGGTTGAATCTTCCAGGTTCGAGTTTATTTTTAACTCTTTTTCTGTTTCCATTTTTAGACTCAATTTAAATCATAACTTTCTTAATCGTCATCTTCCATTCAAATCAAGGATTGTGATATCGAACAGGTAGAGCAAGGACATCGCAACTTTCGAAATGCAGTTCACTCAATTTTCTTACAATTATCAGTCAATATTTATTTAGATTCGTTCATTATTTAAATTGAACATATTGGATCAGTGCAACACAGATCAAATCAAAACAGATGAGATGAAAATAAGGAATCTTACTTGAATTGTCTCTGCACTTGCAATTGATCGCTCGATTTTCCCTCAATTTCCTTTCCTTTTTCAAATATTTTGTCTCATTATTTCAATAAATGTTATTTACTTCTTTAATGGTAACTATGATCGTCTACTTTTCACCCTTTTTGTGGTCACTTTAATTGAGCTTAAATTGAATAAGGTTCTTCATCTATTTAGCGATTTATTGATGTTAGTATCTTATGTCAGTTGTTAAAACCAGACTTTTTGATGCATTATAGCCTCTCATCACATTAACAATTAACAGAGTTATTTAGCCTTTAACTTGTAAGTACAGCTCTTCATATCAATCCTTGTTTTATTCATTTTACAGTATAAAGATGTTGATGTTACTTATTGGTTCTAGTTTACAGTATTGAACTTGATTCAGTCTAGACTAGATATGTAACAGATTGTATCAATTGAATTTTGTCATTCAATAATATTTATTTCAAATGTTCTGTTAGAAGCACTTGAAGCAAACAAGTAACATTTCCAGCCTTTTCTTACAGTTGTAACTAATGTCGATTTATGCACGAGTTTAAAGAGTTTAGACTTCTAGGACTGAATGTATTGATTTAGACTTTCATTTCTTAAACTGTTTGCTTTGTAGTCTACAATTTAGCAATATTGTATCCAAATGGATCCAAAATTAATTTCGTAGTCATAAAAATGGATTTTGAATTTTAATTCAAACATCTTCAGACTATCAATTTGCGCAGTAAAACATCGAACTGAATCAATTATATTGTAGTCCCAGTCTCTTAGAAAGCGAAGTACTGAGTTACATTTTAATGACATTTGCATCAGACAGATATTTATGGGTAATTAATGAACTTAAGTTAACTTCCCTTAACTGATTCTAACAAATTAATAAGTAATAAGAATTAAACCATTAAATAATAAGAGGTAATTAATGAGGTTGATCGGCATATTCAATGTTGCATAAGATTGTATTTCTGATGTCCTCATACTTGAGGAGTGTACTAATGTGGCTGATTGCTGGTCAATATGTTTGTCAACTAAGCATTTAATATTGGTAAGCAAATACAAAGACCAAAGTACAACAAATAAGATTGTTATGAAAAACGTATTCTGTGGTTCAATCAAACTGTTTGCTGTATCAGCACTCCTCCATGTGTCCGTACAACTGGACTGTTACTTAATAATCCAAACCATCTGACGATTCCTGACTTGATGAGTTTATTATTATAACAAAATATGATATTTCAATGGATAGTCTGAAGTAGCTTCCCAAGTCTTCCAAATTATTACGAAACTTGCGAGTAATGAAAACATTTGAAAGCATAAATGGATTTGAAGTATTTGAAAAGCATAAGTTGAATGTATTGTTGAATGGAAATAACTCTGAACATGAAATCTGAAAAAATGAATTTCACCATCATTATCCATTACAAGTAGTGGTTATTAAAGAATGATGGACATTTTGACCTGAATCTTTGGAAAGTTAGAAGGCTCATTAGAGTATCGACCATTGAATATCAATATTTTTCTAAATGATGTTTCATAACATGGTGACTGTTTACCCTTCTGAGTATTCATTGAGTACATCAATGTTTACTCTTTTCAACCGAACCTTTTCATTCGAAAAATTTTCATCTCAAAGAAGATTCTACCAAATTCGATAACATTTCAAAGTTCATTTCAGCCTTAAGAACGATTTTCTCAAACTTCTATCAGAATTTCTTTTCGATTCCTCAACCTTGTAAACTGACCATTTGCTTTACATCAAAATTTAAATAAACAACAACTTGGACTGAAAAGATTTACATTTTTATTTGGGAAAAATGACAATAAAAAGTCTAAATTTACATATTCTTTACATGGAAACATTATCATGAACAAAAGACTGGAATGTTTTCTCAATGAAATTATGAACAGTTGACGAACTGTGAAAAGACAGTTGAGTTGAGCGTTAAATGAGTCTGAAAAGTTAAAGCATTGATTAGCCTTTAAAGTGTCTAATTATTTCTCAATCAACCAGATTGATTTCATATTACATGATGTTTATATAATCAGTTAAAGTAACATGTTTTCTTTCATCCTTTTCCACCTTCCATCCTGTAATCATCTTTACCCTTTTCATCATTTCCATCGCCATTATCATAATTTCTGGCAACTCATTGATCTTCAGAGATTTGACTGGAAACAAGTTCAGTGAAATGGGAACCCAAGTGTTCACTGGTTTAACCAATCTTAAAAAATTGTAAGTTAAAGCGATTTTTTGTTTTCTTTCCTCATTTCTGGTTCAACTTTAATTATCATCATTATCCTGATTTATCTTGATCAATGTTTCTTCTTGCAAGTTGAAACTTTGAAACTCTTTTTCTTCTTCATTTTCACTCCTTCTTTTCCTTCCCTGTTGCCTGATAAATTATTAATCTTTACCTTTTCGCAACTTGAAACTTATCAAATAACACTTACTCAAGATGCTTATTGAGTTGTATAACAAGTTTAACCTCTTTTTTCAACACTTTTCACGCTCATCAGATGATTCATGAATATTGAATCGCTTCAATGATGAACATATTTCATGATCAGTTTAATAGACTGATTTATCATCATCATTATCGAATCATTTGTTGTCAGTGAAATTCATTGAAAATTTTGATATAAAACAAAAATTGTTGTTCCAAATTGAATCAAGTTACAGTGAAAAGTTTCATTAAACTGATAGATCAATTGATGGATGACATTGATCAATAAAAGCAATTTATTCAACTAATGAAATGTTTCAATTAAATGACTAAATGAAGAAGACATCCAATTCAATGAAACTCATTTTCCACCGAGTATGAATTTTTAATGAATAGAATAATTGAAATCGGAAAATTCTATCAACTATTAGAATGTTAAAGTTGAAATTTATTTTCAGTAACATTTTTGACCATTTACTAGTTCATTTAATTTCCAATAAAAAGTATTCCAAAGAGATAAAACAAGAATAGGCTTGGAAATTCAATTTTGACTAAACATTCAAATTCAACAGAATTTTATTAGAAACTTTGGCTCTAAAATCATCAGAGTTTTGATATTGAGTTCCAAATGTTATGTTAGATAATAAAAGTCTGTTCATTTTCAGCATTTTTACTCGAATCGCGAGAACACATATTGATACAAAAGATGATTTGCTGCTGAATGCCTTTTGTCTTGCCTTTCAACTGGACAATAGACTTTAATGTCAATTGCAGTGTTTTGATGAAAAAATCTGATCATTTCTATGAACATCCATTAGTATATTATTTTGATAACAAAATGAGAAAGCGATATCGATTGCCTAAAGCAGTTGGTTGAACTGCATTTTCGAACTGTCCGATGTTTTTTACAAATAACTTCCAATACTCATCTTGATTGTCTTTTCAAAATGGCTAATCATATTATTATTATATTTCCACTCATGTTGGAATTGCATTTAGTGATTGACTTTGCTCCTAAAAGCGTTACAAGTTTGATGGGCTTTCATCATTCGTCTGGCTTTTGTTTTCTTTGAGATCAAGGCTTCGAAGTCACAAAGTCATAGCTTTACTCGGGCGATTGTCTCTTGTCGAAGATTCAGACAGTTTGAAGACAGTTTAATGATATTTTAGTTAACTTGATTTTAATTAATAACATTATTCTCAACTTAGTTTGTCTTAAAAAAGGTGATTTAGCTAATATTCAATTTATTGAACTTGTTGTGCCATCAAATGTAAGGTTATTAGCACCAATCAACAGAAATGATGAAAACATTTTTATGTTGATTAACACCGCAATTCAAATGCATGTTAGCTTCAGAAAAGTTAATCTTTTTCTTGTAACTCTTTTTGTGTTCATCTTGTAACCTTGTTTGTAGCATTAACAAAATGGTAAAAGGGTGACTTTTTCATTAACTCAATGACATGCTCATGATAACGCATAATTGACATGAGTTTCATTCTCAGTAAGGCAAGCTTGAATATCATTACTGTAACCTTAATTTGATAACAATCTTGGTCAATTTCGGTCAGCTTTTCTCCTCTTCCATCAACATTATCCATTCTGCCATTTGTAAGACAAATTCATCTGCATATCAACTTGTTACCATTCAATGTCAGAATAATTTATCAATTTTTCCCATTCTATTCATTTCAACTCGTATTCATTCATCAAATTTTCGAGCCTTTCTCAAGCGAACCTTCCATTTCAGCTCATTATAAATCATATTCAATCCAATTCGATTTAATTCACTAGAAACAAATGATGAGAATAGCAATTGTAAGTTGATCTATTAGGTTAGTTGAAGGGCGACCAGTTCCCTTGTCCTTTAACCTTATCTTGAAACAATAAGAAATGATGAAAACTCCTTGCCTGTGGAAGATTCAACCTTAGATCTGCTTAAAGCTTAAGTTGGACGAAAACTGAAACACTCTGAATGGGGAAAATTGTAAATGTATTTGATCGATATTATTCTGTAAAAGATGTTGAGTTTGAACGTTTCTTTGATGGTCAATCTCAACCTAATCTAGAAGAGCATCACATAAATTAAGTGGATTAATGTGTATTATAAGTGATGAGTTAATCCAAGTGAGAAATTTGCTCAACTCTAACCATTCTGAGAAAAGTTCAACTTACCATTATGAAAGATTCTTATTGCTCGAAACTCTCGTCTTTCAATGAAAACTTGTCCTTCACTTAAATGGATGAAATTCATGAAATCTCAACATTTCATTTATGAAAATGCATTTCCATACTTTCCCATTGATTAAATTAGATCTTAAATTAAATTATTTTCTCATTTTCTGTTTACATCAAGTTTGGCCCATTTTCCTGGTTACAAGTTTTCCTCTTCTCAAATTACCGTTTAGTTGAAAATCAAAATTTTTTCATTTCAATTTTTCTTTTGATGAAACGATAATCCTTCTTTAAAACTGAGAGCAAACTAATTTTGGGAAGAAACTTATTTTTATAACAAAACAGAAAACCATTTGAAAAGATTAAATTGTGAAAGTCAATTGTAATTGTAAACTTTTAACCCTGAAACAGCTTTTAGATAACAGATTATTGCTGCATAATGGCTCAAGGAAATCATTAGAAGCGGAAAATGGTTACTTTTTTAGGCACAATGACCAACTTTAATGATGCTTGGTTAGTGCAGAAGCACAGAATAACAAAAAGGTCAGATTCGACAGCAATGAGCATAAGCTTTTCCAAAACTATTCAGAATAATCCTGAACTTCCATCTTACGAATCATACCTTCAGTGCATTGCAACATTTAGGAATCTCGCTTTGGACTTGGTTAGTTGAAAGCTAATCAAGTCGCTTTGGGCTCCAAACAACAAAAGACAAAATAGCAAATGCAAATGAGCAAAACAACAAGCAAAAAGTTAATGCCAATTAAATTCACACTTTTCATTTCATCGATATTAATTTTGAGAGTCGATTTGTTGTTTCGACCCATTATCTAATCAAGTCTCATAGATTTATTTTGCATTATTATTGAGGAAAGAAATTGACTCAGAAAATTTTCCGAAGTTTATCACATTAACCAACTAAAGCCAAATAGAGTTGTAAACTTTTCCTTACAGATTAACCATTCTGTCCTTTTACAACCTTGTTATTCAACTAGAAAATATTTTTTCTGAATTCATGACAGAACTGAAATTCACTTGCAAGACTATTTCTCAGATTATCGTCTCTCATTTAGATAAATATTTGTATGTTTTATGATGTATTATCTATGCTTTACTTTGAGCTTCAACAAGCACTTCCATGATTACACGATCCATACAATGCTTAACATTATTTATTGACCTTTACAGGAATAAACAATTTTACTGTGTTTACGAAGAAATCGAAAAGTTTCGCGATTAAACTCGCAAGAAATGCACAAGAATCTAAATGCATTTTCAAAAAGTTTTGACTTGAAATCCATTTCAACTTTATTTGACTTGAAAGATCAGTAAACCTTTGAAATGGCTTCCATTGTATCCTTGATTTTTGCACAAAACATTTCGCTTCTAAAACAACTGACTCACTTGTTGATTTGGTGTAATAAAACATTTCAAGTTATTGAAATGATTTCCTAAAATAACTCAATAAGATTTGGAATCGCTTTCCAAACCCATTTCCAATCTACTTTTCTTCGCTACTTGAATATCTCATTGTGCTGAGTACATCTGAATACATACGTATAACAACAATAAAATTGTGTCACAAGCAATAATAATAATAATATCCAAATGTACAAAAGATACTCAACTCTGTTCCTTTTACTCTTATCATTACCATTTATTCATACATATTTATACAGCAATGGATATCATTTTTATCTTGCACTTTTTATTCAAACATTTGATTTATATTTTGTTTTTTTCTTCTACTTCTTCTTTCATCCATTCCATCATTTTCAATAAAATTTGCATGGAATCAAAGACTCTGAATAACAGCTTTTGTTTTTCATTCTAATTCTTTCCACTTTTTACTTCATCATTTATAACATTTGCATTGTCAATCCTTGTAAACCAAAGGAAAAGTTATCAACTACTGGGAGTGAATTTCGATAAAATCGATAGCGAAACAATTTTCAAGAACATAATCAATTATCTTGAAACAAAACAAGTTGATTATTTAAATGAAAATGAAAACAATTTCCAATTCAAATAGCAATGCAATAAAAGAAAATTCATATTTTTTCACTTTTCTTTTCAAATCAGATGCACTTTCACTATTAATTTGAATAAATTAACATTCATTATAACAGTTAACTTATTCAACTAAATGATTGACTATTGTGCACCATTTCAGTTCATCAATGACCAATAATCTTATTGCAGGTAAAGAATTGTGTTTTCAACCTTTTTATTGATTTACTTGTTTCACTCTAATTGTAACTTCATTTACAGCCATCATTAGTTTTGTGCCTCGAGCTACTTTCGATGCTGATTTCGGATCTTTGACATTTTATTTGCCGTTTCATTCACAACTTGCAATGGAAGAATCTCTTTTTTTTGTATTGAAAGCTAATAATGAGGAAAAAATCTTAGAATTCTTTCATGCTAAAACAAGTTCCAGGTTCACTATACTTACGGGAATTTTGTGAGCAATTTTAGTGCAAAAACATGTGAATTTTGATTTCTGAGTAACGACAAAAATAATGTAAATTTTAGTCATCAAAATATGAATTTAGAAAGTGAAAAGTGTGAATAGTTCAATCTTGTAAACAAAATTTGAAAAGCAAATTTGATTTACCTTTCCAATACGAAAATTATTGTAATTTGAAGGTTCCAGGTAATCTGATTAAGTAATTTACGTTGAATTGGAAAGTTTTCTTGGTTAAAGTCAGATAAAGTCAATACATGTAAATTTTGGCACTTTTCAAAGCAATATTAATCCAGTTTATTTGGAGTTGCTTTTAGAGTAAATCTAGATAGATTAAAATAAATGAAAATTTTCATCGGATCTTTGATCATAACGAGAAAAACGCAAATATTATTTTGTTAACACCTTCGAAACAGTGAAGCCATTTTTATGTTCACTTTTCTGACCCTTTTCTGACTTTTCTGAACTTTAATCCTTTGAATGTAAATTGAGTTACAACTATTCCAATGGTAATCACCTGAGTTATAAGCACATCTTGTTGAGTCCGCAAGTAATTGTCATTGAGATATTCGACACCATATATCCTTGACACTCGTTTGTACTAATAAATTTTGACCAAGAGGTCAGATCTTGATCTTTGGTCAGTATAATTCCCAAAATTGAAGACCCAGAGATTCTCAAGATTTTCAAGGAAATCAAAGATAATTCAGTTATTTTACCTTCAAATGTCATTAGTAGGTCATTGGTGTTTATATTGATCTGGACAAAAGAACTTGTCTTCTCTTTAAATTTCCAATTTCTTTGGCTGCTTTACTAGTTGGCGACTTGATTCTAGGTTTGATGTATATATAGTAGCACATATGGAATATTTAGGTAATCACCATGATGATATGATCTTACTCAATAGTTGGCGGTAAACAATTAAACAAGTCAATTTATTTTCAGATTTTGATCTTTTATTTAATTAGTTGCCATTTACAAATCGAATCCAAAATAAGAATTGACGCGCACGATACCTGATAAAACAAAATACTTCTAATTCTCGCGTGGCGATTGAGAAGTCAATTGAGAACTAATTTTCAAGTCGTTAACTCATATATAATGAATATATGGTAATTCTGAAATCTTCTTGTTTCCACTTAAATGTTTGGCGGCATTTCAAGGATTCTATGAGTATCAAGCCACTCCAAAATTTGCGAGTGAGTTCTTGGAGTCCGCTCGTAACGATCATATTCGATAATTATTTGGTTTGCCCGAATTCTTTTCTCAGTCATCCTGTTCAAACCATCAAAATGTCGTTTTTCTAAGTTTGGCTCAGTGAGCATCTAATGATATTGCTTGTAACTCTTCCGCCAGTATTTTCGATATTTCTGACATTCGAACTATGAGTTTCTGCAAATTGAAGGGTCATTTCTTCGAAACCTCAAGTTCATTCAAGGTCACTTCATCATTTGACCTCTAAATGACATTTCAAGGTCATTTTTTAAATTTTTTCAGATTGTTTGATGTTTGTTAAATGTTTCATAATTCCTGCTTATCAAATTATCAGTTTTTTCATACCGTTCAATACATTGAGTTAGCTGAAAAATGGTAACTGATATTGAATTTGCATAGTTATCTGATATCTGCTGAAGAACTATGTTTGCATACAATTGAGATGCATGCAATAAATTTAGGCGTAATTGGCGTATCTTTGTTGTCATTAACCTACTCTGATGTTCTTTTTTCTGAAACCCAAGTTCACAAATTCGAAATTCATAAAATTTGTACAGTAAATTGTCAGATAATGAAGATGCAAAATAATGAGAACTAAATATAATTCGAATTCGGTGATTTTTCTATTTTTGTACATTTTAATGTTACATTTAAGTAATTTTATTCTTGCCAAATGTTGGAACCATGATCTTGAATCGATTATTCAATGATATTAACATTTTCAGTTATCATGGTAACATTACATTCGCTCCGAACACATTTCCAATCGAATCTAAAGTACATCGAGTGAGTAAAGCATCTCATAAATCAAATTCTTACTATTACGTTTATCTATTATTTATCCATGTTTGAAATATTTGAAACAAAACATCAAAGTGATCAAACCTAATAAGTTTGATTCAAGCCTGAAAATTGGTTAAACTAATTAAATTTGGAAGCTGAATTAGCCCCTCAAGTGTATTGAAACGTAAAGGATTAAAGGATTGGTCAAGCAGGAAAGGACCCTTTGATACCGGTCTCAAACTGAGAAAGGTTGTGTCATAATCCAATAGAAGGACTAAAAGCTATTTAAACTTCCATTATTATCCTTAGTTATTGCATTTCTAGAGCAACTAAAGTGGTTTAAACTAATAATCAGTCTCTTAATGGAGAACTCATGTTTAGAAACTTTTCCAGATTAGAAACAATATCATGAGATATGTCAAAAACTGGACCCAAAGAATCACTCCTAATTTAGTAATTTAATTGATCTTTACTTTTATCTTATAATTGTCCTTCTGGACACATTCATCTAACATTTCAAGTCATTTCTTCCTGAATGATACAAACCCGTTGACAAGTCTATAAACACAAATTACTCATGATAATGTTTACAATGAAAAATACAATTCTGTTGATCGAATGTAAAAAACATCTCAAAATGCAAATACTTAATGTATTCAAGTTTACTTATCGATATAAAATTATTCAAAGTTAATGTTGAATTGATTAAAATGGCTTGAAAGTAGTTGAACAATCAACTCTCAACCCAAAGCAATATCGAGTTATTAAAAGCTATTTAAAATTGAAATGTCAGTTTACTCAATCAAATTGAAAGTTAAACTTGCAACAAATTTCCAATAACATCATTAATATCGACTGTTACCTGACAATTTTCAATTTTTTAGATTCCAATAAACGATGAAACTCAACAAAAAAGTGACAATAAATCTCAATAGCTTATCACAAGCATCATTATTATCATTGATATTGTTTCGACTTTTCAATCGACTTGAAGCATTCCCATAAACCCAAGAGTAACTCGATACTCTTAAAAATAAAGTTTAAGCTTATTTACAAAACAATTTCAACTGATAAACTTGAACTTGTCCAGTTAAACAGGGAATGAGAAACTCCAAGTAAACCGTTTGATTTACAACCAAATGACATTCCCTCAAGCATTCCAAGTAAACTGGTTGAATAAACGTTCACTCATTATCATTACAATTATATATTGTTTAAGTCATCCAATTGTGAATTTGATTCCTTCCCTTTGACATGATGTTGTTCCTGTTATTGTTTTCCTCTGAATCATCAGAAATTATCATCCAGTAAACAGTAAGAATGACAAAGAAAAAGGTCAAATAAGGAAACAAACAAACAGTTGGAATAAAAAAAGGACAAGTTAAACAGTCCAAGTGAAGGAAGGAAAAAAGAGATTCTCATGAAAAGAACAATGATTCTGGTTATTTTGTTCCACTTTTCTTCTCCTCTTTTCTTCCTTCTCCATCTCTTAATGATAACAAACCATTTTTTGGTAAACGCAAAAAACACATTCCCTTGTACCTTTCATCGTACATTGACCATCTTCCTATTTATCTGGTCATTCAGGTTCAACTGTTTAACTTGCTTTGATAACAATATTATTATCATCATTATTGATTCCCTCAACTATTTACAAGTTTAATGGCAAATAATGACCATAATACAATGTAATATTAACGAAAACAGATTGACTCCTTTGTCTGGTTAAGGTTTATAACGTATTTATAATATTCAGATAAACTTGGTCAATGTTTTCCCTCTTTTGGTTCAAACTTATTCATTTATCGTTCATCATGATCATTGTTAACCTTTAAATGTTGTTGTAAACATCCATTTGGATTGTTTATTTCAATTTTGGGTCAATCCATTTTCATCCATTCCATTCAATTGGATAGCAAATAAACAAAGAAAAACAAAGGAAAAACAGATTGGTCAACATTGAGGCCAGAATCAATTTTACTCAACTGGAATTTTCAGATTCAAGTTAAAATGACAACTTTTAACTCCAACTCAATCTCCAGATTGAAACCAATTAAGAACAGAATCAGTTCTAAACTCGAAATCTGACAACTCCGTTCAACAAGTACAAAAAGTTGATAAAAGTTGGAAAAGTTTGTAAGCAGAAATTCATTCAAAACTCATATTTCGAGTTTGAATCTGACTAGAATTTATAATGAAAAAAATTCTCTGTCAAATGAATTGAATTTAGAAATAAATTTTGCTTATTTTTTCGAACTCAAATTGTTCTGTAAAGTGATGAAAATGTTCAATTTTTAAATCAATGGATTCGATCTTGTAACTTTCTTGTAATCAATGATAAATGCTTGATAAACATTTTTACAAAAGTGAGGATTTTGCTTTCGAAATGATGATGGAATCGATAATTTCAATTTCAATTCAAGATTTACTTTTTATCCCTTTTATCCCATGTTATGAGACCAGAAAATGATTATTCATTTGAAATGATTGTTTCCATTTCAACATTTCCACTGAAAATGATGATTAATGTTTGAACCTTATTCTTGTAAAATATTTCAATGAAAGTAATTTTACTTTTCAATTTCAGATCGACCGACGAATTTAGATTTTGCTGTTTAGCTCGTCATGTACAGAACTGTCTTCCCGAACCCGATGAATTTTCTTCGTGTGAAGATTTACTTTCCAACCTGGTTTTGCGAATTTGCATCTGGATCTTGGGCGTTCTATCGATTGTCGGCAATTGCATGGTCATATTTTGGCGAACAATGCATCGCTACCGAGCAGCCGTCTCTTCCTTTTTAATCGCCAACCTGGCCATTGGCGACCTTCTTATGGGCGTCTATTTGATCATTATTGGAACAGTCGACTTTACTTATCGAGGAAAATACTTCATCCATGATGCTCACTGGCGTTCATCGAAAATGTGCCAATTAGCCGGCTTCATATCAACACTTTCCTCTGAACTTTCCGTCTTCACCTTGACCGTAATCACTATTGACCGTTTCCTTAGGATAACCTTTCCATTGAGATTCCATCGTTTCAAGATGACCAATGCTCGCCTTGTTATACTGGCCACTTGGGTGTTCACTGTGATACTTGCTGGAGTGCCTTTACTTGATATTAAATATTTTGACAACTTTTATGGTCGATCGGGCGTTTGTTTGTCCCTTCACATAACCAACCAAAGACCAAATGGTTGGGAATATTCAGTTTTTGTTTTTTTGGTCCTCAATTTTATCTCTTTCACAACCATTGCCATTGCCTACATTTGGATGTTTACTGTTGCCAAGAACACTCGAAGTGCTTTAAAATCGTCCGACATTCGGCTTAGCTCCACCATGGCAAAGCGCATCATGCTCATTGTCATGACTGACTTTTGGTGTTGGATGCCAATCATTGCTCTTGGAGTTATTTCACTGAATGGTGTAAAGCTTCCTCCTCAAGTAAGTAACCCCAAATAACTATTTAACATAAAAGGTGATTCGTTGTGTCAATTGTCAATCTATTAATATATTAATATATTTGAAACTCTAGAAGTCATTACTTTTGCGCTTTCAACTCCTGTCAATGTGACAATCAGGTTGAAGATGCGTTTTATTGTAGTTTAACTTTCTATTTTTTACACTTCATTCATTCCAAACATTTACACATTTAATTTGAGATCAATTGGTTTCTGTGTTTGAGCAAAACAAACGTTTTAATTGCTATTTTTAGTCGAGTTAAAAAGGAATTCAATACAAATATTGAATGTCATCAATTCGAACCCATGAGATGATAGAATCGATATAATCCATGTTTTCCCGAAATGTAATCCTTCATTTGATTAGTTTTTTTGATAGTCTAGAGTCACTAATTAGTTAAATCTTCATCTGTTTGTTTCAGCTTTGAGTTTCTATTAATAATGGTGATGAACTTTAATGAATTGCTTTTTATCGAGATGAAGTCGAGAAAACATTTACTTCATTATTTTGACTTTGCATGGAGATTGTTCCCCGTTCTCCACGAGTTTCTCTATTACTTTGTAATTCTCTATCGAGGCTTAAAATTGGTAAAAAGTAAAAATCTGTAAATCGAATCAAATTTATTCTTGATTTCATGAGTGCTGTAAGAAATGGAGGACAAAATTGCCAAGAAATCAGATTCTCATTAGAATAAGATTCAAAATTTTATGCTAATTTCAAAGATTCATTTTTACTTTCTACGAAAATATGAAAATCATTGAAATGTATGAAGATACTGAAGTAATGAAAGTGAACGAAACAATCGGAATGGAAAGTATTCAAGTTGACATTTATGCTTTAAAATCTAACGAAACGGTTTCATTTTATCAGGCTATTCGGTTGTTTAGTACAAATTGTATTAATAGATGTTTAACCACCATTCATGGGGGTGCATCTAAACCTCGAAATGTGAAAATCCATTTCCAAAATCGATTCATTTAACATAAAATTTCTAATCAAACGCCAAGGAAAATGGTTTCTACGCTTTATCCTATTCTTTTGGTCTTACATTCATTTTCATCTCACATTACTCTGGTCACTTGCAACTGATGTCAAAGGCCTTTGACTTTTTGCTAATTCAAGTTCAACTCAGCAATTGACGCAAACCGAATACCTAGTTAACTTGGCATTAAAAAAAGTGGCTTACACAGTCGATCCTGTCTAAGATAAGTTTCTTTGCCTTTCGAGTAATCACAAGTAAAAAGGCAATGAATAATCCAAGTATCAAAATGCTGAGAGAACCAGAGAAATGACCAAAAAGCAGGAAAAAACTAGCACCAAATGTCTTTCATCTATTCGTTGTGTTCAGTTTAGTCGTCCAGTTTACTGCAGCTCAACACATTGAGTTGATTTTATCGGAGTAAACATTTGACTAATTGTTACTTGAATGGTATGAATGAAGCAAATGATTGATTGCTTTGAGTTTGTTGATTAAATAATTGACATTTATTGCCATATCGAGCTGTCAATTGTTTATTAATATTGATTTGGTTTGCCATGTTCCTTTCACAGCTTTCTTTATCAACACTGACCAAAATTAACTGATAATAAGGTAAATGACAATCAGATAAATTGCAATTCAATTAGAGCTTTTTGTTTGTGTTCATTTCAAAGGTTAATTATCTTTACTTGTTCTCAGTTAATTGACTTATTTTTGGCGATAATATTATAAACAATATATTAAGGTACAAACAATGAAAAGAACGGCCATTATAAGAAGATTTCGTGACTTATCTTGTTATTGAACAGAGTGACCATTGATCAATGATGGACTTCATTATCTAAAGCTAACTTAATAAGCTTCAACAAACCAATTGACATTAAATCTTGACTAAAATACTAACAGAGAAAAGGTTTAACTTGTTTTTTTAGGTTCACTTTTCTGGTTAACTGAAAAGGTATTTCATTGTTTTCTGGTTTTATTAGGTTTAACAAGTTAATGGTCAAATCAAATTGCTGGTAACATTTATCAATAAGAAAATTATTCTCAACTCATTAAATGGTTACGATAATGAATTTAATAAGATAATCAATGATTCTCCTTTTGTTGAATGTGAAACAATTAAGGAAATTAAGTTTACAATTACCATAATATTTACAATAAAAACAAGTATTAAAGCGCTTCTATTTGGTTTACTCGATTCATTGTCTTACTTTTATTGTTATTACAATGTTAATCATCTTCTGTACAACAATTCATTACGCCTGTAATAATGAGTAAAACTAATTTCTTGCCTGCAATTAATCATCTTAGACCATTGAATAGATGATGGTTTCTTGGAATGAAATTAACTTTTCCGTTTCATGTTAATCGTTTACCTTTCACTTTAGTTTGAAACATTCAAAGTTAATCATTTTTATCTTCATCATTCATAATTACCAAACAGTTTGAACATAATTCAACGCGAGGAGATCGACAAAGCTTGCCAAATCGAGAAACGCCAAGAGTTCTAGTGCAAGTCAAAATCGAACTGATTTCTGTGTCCTTAATTTACGTTATTTTGAATACCTTTTTGTAACAAGCTTGATTAAAATGAAAATTTTGACAGAAATCTGAATGACTCTCAAAGAGCGAAATTTTTTTGAATTTCGTAAATTCGTTTTCTGTCATTAGATGGAAATATTGATCACACCTGAGTCCTTCGCCTACTCTTTATCGACCGTTTCTTAATACCAATACTGAGACCAATTACTCGATCAATGAAATACAATTTGACAATAAAATAGATTTATGATACGAAATGTCAATTTTGCGAAAGACTAAATCCTCTGAAGTAAAAGGTCATAGAGAAAGAATGGGTCAGAGAAATCGAAGCTTAGGCTTGAGTATTTCAAATTTGCGTGGATTTGACTCACAGTGTCAATAGTTTCTCTGACAGTTGGTATCAACATTAGTTTAGGAATTGTCAAGACTTGAAGATCTCAACTCAACTTGCCTTATGATATAAAATATCAGCCTAAGTACATGTGAATGTGTCTTTTGAGGAAAAGGTTAAAGTGTCTCAATGATTTTACATACAATCTAATTATCGCTTCTCATAATGGCCATTACTCATTGACCTGGTACCTAGACTGTTTCAGGGATTAAGTTAGCCAAAAACTGACTTCATGGATATTGATGAATCCAAATAGTATCAGTTTGAAGCTTAAAGCTTTGAGTATTCCTGCGTCTCCAGCAATACATTGGACATTGGAGGACGAATCAGGTTATAGAGACTTAAGTTCGTAGTCAAAACGTTTCCATGAGCTATTCAAGTCTGAAATTAAAATTGGGTTATGAATTGGAGGCTAAACTGGTCCATGAGCATGTTTTTCATTGCATCCAGAATTTCGTCCATATGAGAAACATTTAGAGATATTTTGAGCCACAATTTCCGATAAAGCTTCAATTGACTAAAAATTGATCAAGAAATGACCTTTTTAACCATTTTTGTCATAAAGTTGACTAATACTGATCAAAATTGACGATGAAAATGTAATTGATAATGTCAAGCCTACCAGTTGCTAGTTACATAAAAGACTGCAAGTGTTTCTAATTTTATATCAAAAATTGAAAATTATTCATTCTAGTGAGTCAAATGTAAATGTGATTAGTTGATTGAGTCAAAATCAGTCAACATCAATTGTGTTTATTGTCGTTAAACCTGTCGATGATGTCTATTAAATTGTGAGTCAAACCTCTACTCCGATAGCTCTGAACCAGAATGAAAAAGACATCCAAATTGACAAAAATTAATCGTTAAAAATGAGATTCTATTTTAAAATTAAATGTTTATCAGAATCAAATCAAGCTTAATGTGACAATAATAATGTAAAACAGACTGATGAGGGTTTAAAATTAAAGCAATTCATCAGACAATTGATTAATCATCCAAACCTTTGAGCCAATAATATATTTTACCGGTTACTTTAATTTTCAATTTTAACCTTTAACTTGTTATTGTCATCATTGCTATTAACTTTGGGTTTTACAATCAAATGGTTATCAATTAAAACCAGAAGATAAACCAGAACCCAAATGTTTGTCCAATGATAAGGAAAACAAAATTATTAGATGAATCAATCTTGTCAAATGAAATTAATTGTGGTTAATGGTTCAAGATTGTTTAACCTTTTTATTTGATTAGACGTAATTAAGATAAATCTTACGCATAAAGAATTGAATTATTAAACTAAATACAGCAATTAATAAATGACCATTTTAAGGGAACAAAAATTTTGACCAAAAATAAATTGCATCAATTTAGCTTTATAATTACATTCACTGTCAACTGCAAAGGTTATGAGGAAAAGGCGATTAAAGTCAACCTTTTTGTCCATTTTTGTCTCAACATTGAAACAATTTATCAACCAACTTATCGTCCAGTTTATGGAGCATTCATTTTAACTATTAAACTCAGCTTTAAAAGCCAATTAAATCGCTAAATCATCAACTATTGGAGAGACAATTAAACTGGACGTTTATTAGAATAGATTGCTGGACATTTGTTAAATGTCATTTGCAGACTTTTCATTTTGTAATGTTTTACCCTCTTAAAAACTCTCCTCTAGTGTGAGATCATTTTACTCAAAACGTAATAGTTATTGATTAACACTAAGATTAACGTGATTAAGGATTAATCAAGGATTAATTTAGAAAAGATGTTTAATATTGTTTCCTTTCAGTCAAGTTCACTTTTTTAATTTTTCTGGTTCGGAGGATTGAACTTGACCAACACTTTCTCTGATCAGGTTTAACATCTGCCCACTTAACATGTAAGATATTTGATATTATTGGTTAGGCCTGAGTTTATCCACATTTTGCCTTGATAATTTTCACCTTTTTTCACCAAAATTCAATTTTCTAACTCATTTTTCACTAATCCGATTAGATTGTGATTCAAACAAGCCGCTCAACTTAGCTTGATAATAAGATACTGATAAATAGATATTAATCGTACTCGGACTCAAAGATAACATGTGTTGAATTAACACTGTTAATGCCGTTAAATGTTGTTTCTACTTTATCTATTTCTTTCGTATATCAACAATTTAAGGTAAGATAATTGTTTGAAAGCAGTTTCAATCCAATCTAATTGAAATTAATTTGATTCATAATTATCTTGAACGTTGTTTTCGTTCTTTTGCTGGTTCACAAAGCTTAGGCTGTAGTTGAATAGCCATTTTTGTCATTGTTTAATCACTTTCTTGTTCAATTGTTCCTGATTTATGGGTTGCCGATTTGATGTGTAACCAACAATCAGCTGTTGTCTAGCAATTGAAATGCTGTTGAATGATCTAAACTTGCTTTCAAGTGGTTCAAATAAGATATTGTTTTCCCATTGCTCAGAATGCAAGTAAATTGCTGTTTTGTTTTGTTTTTAGATCAATGATTAATTTTTGTCTCATGTTTTACTGATTAGGTAATAACTCTCAATTTTACTGATGCTTATTTTGGTCTTGGTGCATCCAAGCGATCGATATCAATTATTAAGGCTAACAAGTGTAATATCATTACGGTTATCAACAGCAGAGGAAAAATAGGCCAAAATTTTAAATCAACTGATTTAATCGTTTATTTAAATCAATGATAGTATTAAGTGTTAGCTGATTCACACTGGAAATATTGATGGTGAAAAATATGATCGTTTGGCTGGTCTGGCTTCCTTGAAAGTATCAAAAGATGAGATTATATTGACTGCAGCTAGATCTGTATTACCATATCATTTGAAATGTTGGATGTCCAGAGGTTTTTGCAGGAATCAAGGGATAATCTGATCATGACCATGATTCTTCATTGTTTTATCATCAATGACCTCATCTTTGGTTTGGATAGATGAAAGATGAAGAAGATGAAGGCCATAAAGAAGATGAAGATGACAGTAAAGCGTAAAGGAAAGCAAAAGTAACTCATACAAATGAGTTAATATTCCATAAAATGAAGATGATTATGATAATCAATCAACATCAATTACAGGTAACTTACTGACAGGAAAACAAATAGACAAAGAATAGTGAACAATATTGAAACATACGATCAACAGGCCTGATCCATCATCTTTAACATGAGTGTCATCGTCAGATAACCCAATTAGGCGTTCAAGATATTGTGACTTAAACTAAATTAATTCAGCTTTCACAATCTTGGAACAAGTTAAACCATGGAAGTTAAATGTGATTAATCATTAATTATAAGCTATTCAACTCTGATAATCAAAAAATTTAATCCAATCTTGGCCAATCTTGAATCTATATCCTGAATCAAGTTCAACCGCACTTGGCCAACACTTGTCCGTACCAAATGTGGTCAAACGAAAAGAGTTATCCATTGATATGTAAATCTGTTTGTGTTAATATATTAATACAATAACCTTTTAACCGCAGACAGACAACATTTTGCTGATTAAATTACTATTAATATATGGAGCCAAATTTATGGATATATTTGTCAATTCAAATCAGTCAATTGCCAAATATTGCTAATTGCATTCACATTCGCCTCGCCAGTTTACCAGACAATCTTGACCAGGAGTATCTGCCTTTATTAGGAAATACTGAGTATTGACACCAAAAAGAGGATAATTTATTGTTTGTCCATTGTGATATTATTGTATATCCAAGTATTATTCATCTTCATTATTCTTAAGGCACAACAATTTCAAGTCTAATCTTGTTACCTTTAACAGGTTGAAACTCACTTTTAGGTTCATTTGTATCCACATGTATTGAGATGTTTCAGATGAAATTGCAATGGATAAAGATGAATGCAACTGTTCCCAAAAAGGCTAAAAAAGCAACAAAAATAAACAAGATTATTTGATTAATTTCAACTTTATTAGATAAAGAATTAACAAGTTTGTGTGAAATGATTTACACAATTTACCAATTTCCAAACATGATATTATTCTGAGCCTCAAACAATGATGGCCTTTGGGCTAAACATGTAAATTGATGTGGATTATTTTAGATTATTGACAAATTGCTATCAACAAATTGCTATTACTTCAAACTGAATCCTTTGACCAACCAAAGTTGATATTCCTGAAAAAAATGACCAAAAGCAAGTTTAGCTTCACTGAGGCAAAAATTATAATCGTCCATTGATAGAGAAATAATCACAATTTTCACGTCCTCGAGTTCCAACCAATTTAACCTGAACAACAGTTTTTATTAATTAATTATTGTCTAGTGAATCTTTTATCCACCATTTAAGCAAACTTAATCAACAGTTGGTCCAGTTAACTTGGTTTTCGGTCAAGAAAATGTTTAAAAATTTCTTAATACCAAGTGATGATAACATTAGATTAACAGCTGATCATTTCCAACATTACAACCCAAACTTCAAATTTTTACAAAAAAATGTTGATTTGATCAAAATGAAGAACCAAATTTTGTATCTTTTAATGTTTATGAATGTAAAATTAAATCTGTTTCATTGTAAGATTCAAGATACAATTTCAGTCGAGTCTTCGTTAAATATTGTAGTCCATTTCACTTGATTAAACTGTTCAATTGCTGCAAGGCAAAGGGTCAACAATTGAGTTACTTTCACAGACATTTTAAGAGACAGCTTACTCTAAGACATTAACAATTGAAACCTTTTCTGTTAAGTTAACTTTAAATTTACGACAATAGACTAATTCAATATAATTTAATCTCTTCACAGGTATTTGCTTGGGTTGCTGTATTTGTGTTGCCTTTGAATGCAGCCATGAACCCAATACTTTATACAATCTCAACTTTACCCTTTTTTAAACGAACGTATAGTCGAAGTGCTCAGGAATCAAAGAGCTCAGTTGTATTAAAGAATGGTTAGTCCAAAGTATTCACCAAAACATTTACTAATCATTGTCTCTTTTAATTACAGGTCGATCAAAGTCAGTGATTCAACGGAAAAATTATCGAGCCAAACATCATTACTTTTTCAACAGCAAGTGTAACGCAAATGTACACACAAATAACAGTATAATTGTAAATGATGCCAATAACAACGCCAATAATATCAATAATCCGAGTCACCAATCAATCCGAAATCAAAACAGTTTGAATGGAAGCTTTTGCCATCGAAACAATTCAATTAACCAACGTAAAAATACTTATGCCTTGCGGAGGCAACAATCTTCTGTATCTTCTTCGTCTTCATTGGCTTTGACTCCAGTGGCACCATTGACTCCGCGAATGTCACGTAAATCATCCAAAAGTATTTACTTCGAGCCTAACCAGTGCAATTAAATGAAAAACAAATTGTAAATTAAATAAAAATTGAAATTCGTTAAATTTTCTTTCTTACATTTTCCATTGTATTACATGTACATATCGATACACTTGAGGTTTCCAAGTTTTCCTGGTTAAAGCTATTTTTCACTCAACTATGTATTTAAATCATAATTAAACAAATTTTATCCATTAATTTTTCTCATATTAAAAGCATCATTTAAATAGCAACTATTCAAATTGCCTTTTCCCATCGAAACGAAAGTCTTATGATCTTTCAACTTATTACAGGATTGAAACGGATTGAAAGTCAAATGGATTTGGGTTTTTCTTGAGTTGAGGCGAAATTGTCCCGTTCCTTATTTATACTGAACTTGCAACTCAATTCTGTGTCTTCCATGTAATTCAGAGGTTTTTGATCGCTCATTGATGGATTTCAAGACCGGTATGATTCAACGAGAGTTTATTTGCTTAACTAGGTTTAAACCATTGAGAAATTAGGACTTCCATCGATGACTTGATTAGATTGTATTTGATTTTACTTTCTCTTATTAATTGGTTAAGCATTCGAGAGTATTTATTCCCGATATCTAACAGTTTTCCTAATCTTAATAGTTTTAACACCAAGAAATGAAACATTTATTCCTTTATTTTAAACCGATTTTGTATTAAACCTTTTAAAAGACTCGTATGAATTTTAAAAGCCAATTTGCTATTTAAAACCATAAACGCCGACGAGATCAGGAATGTGGGCTTACCAATGGATCAGTGAGTATTACTCAGTAAGAAGATTGAATTTAAAAGATAACCTCAGGTGAAGGTAATTCCAGAAATATGGTAATAAATAATGTTATCTGCTTAGGTAGATCTAGACGTTTAAACAAAACGGATTTACAAGTCCATTTGTAAGTGGATTTACTCGTGATTTTTATTCAAGTTGAAGCGACTCAGGTTTGTATTATATTTTGATTGTTTTGTGCTTCATTTTTGACCAGAGCACTCAAAGGTAGATTAAAAGCAAAATCAAAATCAAAATCAATGTAATTTAAATGCAATTTAAAGACAAATCTCAACATTTCAAGTTAAGTCGAGATCCAGTGGCGAGCTCTATTAGTAAGGAAAGTCACTGTTTTTCATGTGTTACCATAAAGATGTTTATGTAACGTGTCCATAGATCAATGAACCTATCTTGAGATTTAAATTGCTTCAAATCTACTTTATTGGATTTCAAAATTGCAACGATTTTCACCTTATTACATAATAAGATGATCTTTCATTTAACCTTACATGTCTTCATTTGACCTTTACTACTTGCCACTTTGACCAATGGATGAAAATTGAACAATGACATTACTCTGTTTGGTTGTAACCCTTACCAAAAATTAGAGTTAATCTATTTATGGTTGTGAGATATTGATTCCCTGGTTTCAATGGAGATTACTCATCTAATTGAGATCATTTGGCTAGCGATTATTATTGCACTGATAGAGTGAAATGATTGGGTTGCCAATTACTGATTAATCAGTCACTTGAATGAGAAAAAACATCTTTTCTGTAAATTTGAAATAACTGGTAACATCACTTGTAAAATTAAACTGCGATCAAACGGATTTATTGCTACTTGCCTTGTAAGAATGGAAATCAATTCAGGTAACTTTAGATTGTCAGTAATCATTGACTAATTGGATAAATTGCCATCATTAGAAAATTTAGTCCACTGAAAGCTCCATGTAAAGGATTCTTTCTTTGTCAAAGATTATTTTCAAATGATCACTTTTACCTCGGTAAATGGCAATTAAACAATTTAAAGTCGCATAATTATGGTAGTTATTGAAACTGGATAACAGTAGTTTTATATTGAAATCATAAATTGCCAAAGATAATGAAGAAATCATGTTAAACATACTGATTGAAAATAAGATTAACATGAGTAATATCTAACCTTGCAAGAGTTACACCCAGAAATCTTATGATGATTGAGGTACTCAAAAAACACATTGATATTTATTATATGTTGTCGTTTGAACCGGATGAAGCTTATTTTATTTGATATGGTCAAGAAAATTAGTTGATTACAAGCAATAAATTGAGTAAATTGAGCCGTTTAAAAGGTATATGGAAAGAGTTTGTTAGATGAAACAGCAATTTGGTTATGATAAGTATAACAGTAATATTGGTAAATATGCTACATCTCTATAAGGGTGTGAATAAATTGTGTGTGTTTAATCAAATATGAATATTAAAATTTTGAAACAATGATTAAACACTGAGAGTTACGCCTAAAGTAATGGAAAGATGATGGACTGAAAATTAACCAGAATCCTGTAACCAAATTTACAGAAAATTTAAGCTACTTCAGTGCTTTATCTTCATGTGACCCATTGATTGTTAATTACTGGGTGATTAATTAAAAGGATTGATATGCTTAGTAGCTAGTTAATTTGTAATGTTTATCACTATTACTCGATTGCCCACGTTTAACCATATTAAGTGTACAGGTTTATTCGTGTTTGGTTTCCCTTTGAAATTGCAAAAAATATTGAGATAATCGTATTTCCTTTCACAAGCTTTCATTCAAAAGCCTTTTTCCTGAATAAAGTAACATTTTTGATTCATTTGACAGGAAATCCCAACAATAATCATGATAATTAACACCGAGACAATCAAATATTCAGCTGATGTGTCATTAAGCGCTGTTAACAAGATAGCTTGATTCAACCAGCATTTTGTGCTTCCAATAGTTCATCAATATGGCGTCAATTTTTCTCATCCTTTGCTTTCCACTCAATTTGTTGATGTTTGGTCTAATCAATTTAAATTAATGGCCAATTTTGATCGACAATCCTTACAATTTAAAGGTAATCAAATCTAAATAATGAGGAGAAACAATAATAATGAAAATTGAGACTAAAATTGAGACTAATCTATTGATCCATTGAAATTTACTCTTGAACTTGAAGCTTTCAAGAATGATTATAAAGTATCAGTCAAGTATGTAAATTGTAATCAAGATTAGGTAAATAATGATTAATGAAAAATTAAGCTTGGAAGATGATTAAATTTTTCAACTCACTAAACATGGCCAAATCACTAATCGAGCTGTCGTCGTGAAGCCAACCTGAAAAGATGAATTAGTGAAAGAAAGTTGAGACAAAAATTACTTTAATTATTTTGAATGATTTTAATTATAATTATAGCTGTTATTAGTAAAATAAACAATTGTTGAGGTTAATATTTCGCTCTTTAAAATGGTTTTTGTTTACCAAAAACCATTCACGCTCTGTTTATGAATAATCATTGACACCCAACCCCTTCAACTCCTCTTTTCACACCTTTAACATCTTTATCATTCTCATCGTCTTCTTATGCTTTGCCATTGACATTACATTAATAATAATAATAATAGTAATAACAATCATAATCATTATCATCTTTAGTTTCAAAAATTCATTCAACACGTTCATGTTTCAGTCTGCTAAAAAGCTACCAATACTAATACAACATCTAATAATAGCTCGAGACACACTCCTTATTCATTAAATTTCAACTTGATTGTGGATAGTTAGTTGACAAAAGTAAGCGTTAATTACAATTAAATATGTCTGCATAAATTGTATGATAAATATTTGGTAACAATTTAAGAATATAAACATTTTATAATCAACTTTCTAGACACGATTCATTAGGCTTGTATCAAGGTTGATTCTAGATTGGATTTATGAATTTATATTTAGTTTTTGATTTCGCGGTTTTGTTTGAAATTAAAACGAATCAATGTTTTTATCTAAGAAGCAATTAATTTTATTTCAATTAATTGGACCTTCTCTAGTGGTGAGGAGATAAAATATTCAAAGATGTCATGAAGAAGCGTTACAAAATTCTTTCATTGTAGAGGAAGAAAAGAAATGTGGGAGGAATAAACGTACAAGCTTGAGATTCTTGCAAGTTAAACTGATGAAAAAATATAAGATTAACTGAAAGAAAACAGAAAAACTCGGAATGGATAGTACTAGAAAAGGAATGAAGTTTAAAGATATTTTGTTTAACGTATCCTCATCAAAAAAGAAGGAATGATTGGGATTTTGGCAACAGCTATCAAGCTTAGAAACATTTTCTGTGGACAATTGATGGTCCTGATTCATCATATTCTTGCTTGGAGATCCACATTTGTTGGAAAGTGGAAAGTGATGCTAAGATTGAACCTCCGATCCAGACGGAATATTTACGTTCAGGTGGGGCAATTATTTTGATTTTCATGGTGCTGGGAGCTAAAGCGGTGATTTCCTTTTGCATTCTGTCAGCAATACCTGTGTAAATGAAAGAAAAGAGACATTAATATTAAGCTCCAAACTATACCAATAATATCTAAAATTTGCAAATGAATGGAAGGTTTGACCTTCCTAGAGAAGAAGGTTGAAGACTGATTGAAAAGGATTACATACCTGGATACATAGTAGTTCCTCCAGATAGAACAGTGTTAGCGTAAAGATCCTTACGAATATCAACATCACATTTCATGATTGAATTGTAAGTGGTTTCATGAATACCACAAGATTCCATACCAAGGAATGATGGTTGGAAGAGAGCTTCTGGGCATCGGAATCGTTCATTACCGATAGTAATAACTTGACCGTCAGGGAGTTCATATGACTTTTCAATTGAAGATGAGCTGGCAGCTGTGGCCATTTCTTGCTCAAAGTCAAGAGCAACATAGCAAAGTTTTTCCTTAATGTCTCGAACAATTTCTCTTTCAGCAGTGGTAGTGAAAGAGTAACCTCTTTCAGTTAAGATCTTCATCAAATAATCAGTAAGATCTCTACCAGCCAAATCTAAACGAAGAATAGCATGGGGTAAAGCATAACCTTCATAAATGGGTACAGTGTGAGAAACACCATCACCAGAATCCAAAACAATACCGGTGGTACGACCGGAGGCGTACAAACTAAGAACAGCTTGGATGGCTACATACATAGCTGGAGTGTTGAAGGTTTCAAACATGATTTGGGTCATTTTTTCACGGTTAGCCTTTGGGTTAAGAGGGGCTTCAGTTAAAAGAACTGGATGTTCTTCAGGGGCAACTCTCAATTCATTGTAGAAGGTGTGATGCCAGATTTTTTCCATGTCATCCCAATTGGTGACAATACCGTGTTCAATTGGATATTTAAGAGTAAGGATTCCTCTTTTGGATTGGGCTTCATCTCCTACATAAGAATCCTTTTGGCCCATACCGACCATTACTCCTTGATGTCTTGGTCGCCCAACAATAGATGGGAATACAGCTCTTGGGGCATCATCACCGGCAAAACCGGCTTTACACATACTAGATCCATTATCAACAACAAGAGCGGCTACTTCGTCGTCACACATTTTGATTTAATTTTTTTTATAAGTATTAACTAAAGTGAATAGAAAAACAAAAAATAATAATTTAATAAATTGAAAATGAGAATCACAAATGAGAATAAAGGTGGATTACTAAGAGACAGTAAAACAACGATTTATGACAAGGCTTTTGAAATGTTAAACGGTTAAATGTGAGAACAAATGGTGACTCGGTTAAACCAGACAACTAGTTTAAATAGTAACTTTTGATTAAGGCTGGGAGGGCAAACGAAATCAAAGTGTCAATTCTTACCCGAAATAGGTAATGTTTTTAGAAGATGATTTCACAAAATTTGATCAAATTTAATCTTGATTAGTTCAAGAGTAATAACTTTTAAACAAGGCAAACTGAAGAGAGACAGGGAGAGCAACGTTGGGAGAGACAAAAGTAACAGTCAGACAGACAAATAGACAGGAGAAAAGAAAAGACCAAGTAAGGTGAAGTGGAAGAGAGAAAGAAGTTTGGGGGAAACATTGAATCAAAATGGGTGTGGTTAGGGGTGAAAATATTTCCTTTTATGGTAAAAGAATGGTTACCAGGGATCTCATTGGTTGGATACTCTTATTAAAAGTCACTACAGGGTAGTAAAAAAGTTTCTGGTTTCGGGGGGAGGATTTCAAGTGCGCAAAGATCAAAAGACAATTGTGAAGTGAAAACATCGCACAAAATGAGTCTTACTGCGCCTTAAAAGGGGCTGCCTTCCCCTTTGCACAAACTTTAGCACGACCCTGTACTAAACTAGTTGTCTGGTTTAAGAGAGTCACCATTTGTTCTCATATTTAACCGTTTAACATTTCTAAAGCCCTGTCATAACTAAAGATTTTACTGCCTTTTAGTAAATAATCCACCTCAATTCTCATTTGTGATCAATAGTTTTAAATTATTTTTTGTTTTCTATTCATTTAGTTAATACTTATAAAAAAAATTAAATCAAAATGTGTGACGACGAAGTAGCCGCTCTTGTTGTTGATAATGGATCTGGTATGTGTAAAGCCGGTTTTGCCGGTGATGATGCCCCAAGAGCTGTATTCCCATCTATTGTTGGGCGACCAAGACATCAAGGAGTAATGGTCGGTATGGGCCAAAAGGACTCATATGTTGGAGATGAAGCCCAATCTAAAAGAGGAATCCTTACTCTTAAATATCCAATTGAACACGGTATTGTCACCAATTGGGATGACATGGAGAAAATCTGGCATCACACCTTCTACAATGAATTGAGAGTTGCCCCTGAAGAACATCCAGTTCTTTTAACTGAAGCCCCTCTTAACCCAAAGGCTAACCGTGAAAAAATGACCCAAATCATGTTTGAAACCTTCAACACTCCAGCTATGTATGTAGCCATCCAAGCTGTTCTTAGTTTGTACGCCTCCGGTCGTACCACCGGTATTGTTTTGGATTCTGGTGATGGTGTTTCTCACACTGTACCCATTTATGAAGGTTATGCTTTACCCCATGCTATTCTTCGTTTAGATTTGGCTGGTAGAGATCTTACTGATTATTTGATGAAGATCTTAACTGAAAGAGGTTACTCTTTCACTACCACTGCTGAAAGAGAAATTGTTCGAGACATTAAGGAAAAACTTTGCTATGTTGCTCTTGACTTTGAGCAAGAAATGGCCACAGCTGCCAGCTCATCTTCAATTGAAAAGTCATATGAACTCCCTGACGGTCAAGTTATTACTATCGGTAATGAACGATTCCGATGCCCAGAAGCTCTCTTCCAACCATCATTCCTTGGTATGGAATCTTCTGGAATCCATGAAACCACTTATAATTCTATTATGAAGTGTGATGTTGATATTCGTAAGGATCTTTACGCTAACACTGTTCTATCCGGAGGAACTACTATGTATCCAGGTATGTACTTTACAATTTTGTCCTGTTAGGTTACTTTTGCCATGCTCGATGTTTTCTTTGTTACATCTTGTTTTATCATATTACATGATTGTTAACCATCGATCAAGTATATGTCACAGCTTTATCATGATTTATTTCTTTATGCTATTTACAAGTTAAATCATTTACAATCTATAAAACTAATTTTTGTTTTATTATTTTCATTAACAGGTATTGCTGACAGAATGCAAAAAGAAATCACCGCTCTAGCTCCCAGTACCATGAAAATCAAAATAATTGCCCCACCTGAACGTAAATATTCCGTCTGGATCGGAGGTTCAATCTTAGCATCACTTTCCACTTTCCAACAAATGTGGATCTCCAAGCAAGAATATGATGAATCAGGACCATCAATTGTCCACAGAAAATGTTTCTAAGCTTCAAGCTGTTGCCAAATCGCTTTACATTCCTTCAATTCCATTTTTCTAGCCCTTATTTCTTCTACCACCATCAACATTTTTAGCTCTTATATTCCTATTGATTCCAAGAAACCTTAATTCCACATTTTTTTTCCACACACATATACCTATCAGTCTATCGGGCTAAAGGCGTGAAACAGACTGTCTTAAATGATCTATTTCTCTTGTATTTTGACATTAATCTATTAGCTTAAAAGCTCAACAGGCTGGTAGGATATGCCTTCACCCTATCAACTATCGAAATAAACTAAATTTCTCTTAGTTAAAAACTTGAAAGTATCTTTATTTAATTTTATTAACCCATGTTTTTTTTGCACTTTGAAACATGGAATATCATTTCAATATCAACTCTTTTATGGCTAACCTTGATACAAGCTTAATGAATCGTGTCTAGAAAGTTGATTATAAAATGTTTATATTCTTAAATTGTTACCAAATATTTATCATACAATTAATGCAGACATATTTAATTGTAATTAACGCTTACTTTTGTCAACTAACTATCCACAATCAAGTTGAAATTTAATGAATAAGGAGTGTGTCTCGAGCTATTATTAGATGTTGTATTAGTATTGGTAGCTTTTTAGCAGACTGAAACATGAACGTGTTGAATGAATTTTTGAAACTAAAGATGATTATGATTATGATTGTTATTACTATTATTATTATTAATGTAATGTCAATGGCAAAGCATAAGAAGACGATGAGAATGATAAAGATGTTAAAGGTGTGAAAAGAGGAGTTTAAGGGGTTGGGTGTCAATGATTATTCATAAACAGAGCGTGAATGGTTTTTGGTAAACAAAAACCATTTTAAAGAGCGAAATATTAACCTCAACAATTGTTTATAATATTAAAATTAAGAAGATGGTTTTACTGTCGTCTTAATAACAACCTGTTCTTGCAACTTTCGCCACTTTTTTTAGACTAACGACTTGGCAAGAGTGTTGATCTTGATCACAATCTGCATACTTGAATGAAGCAATCTCAAGACATATAACTCTTTAGACTCAAGTGTAAAATTAATTTGAAAGGATCAATGAATCAAGTTAATTATTCAAGCTAGCTAAATTTACAACTTTGTATATTTGTTTGTGGTAAAGGGAAAAGGTTATTGATCATTAAATAACTACAACAATTGGACCAATTTAAAAACAAAACAAACGACCGCCTGACCAGTAAAGATGAAACAAAATATCAACATGTAAATATACTTGGATAAGAATTTCCATTTGCCAGAATAATTATCATTTACAAGAGCAAATTGTTATCAACTGTTGATAATCTGTTCTTTTATGTATTTCCTGTTGAAACTGAAACGGCTTTTCTGATGCCATTACAATCATTAAATTGTATCCAAAATTGCAAAGGATGATGTTGAACGGAAACTTGACTTGAACGGAAGGAAGAAGCTACTAGAGATGAAAAAGATGATCATTTTGGTAGATGTTGATCTTTACTGTTGATTGAAATTAACGCCGACATTAATCACTTTCAGATAACTCTTGGAGGCCAGATATCATCCAAAAATGGTGATTGGAAAAATTAATGTTGTCTGAAAAAAAGAAATGGTGAAAATTGGAATGATTAACATTGTAATTAGTAACTCAATACTTGAACTTGCCAAAGGTGGTACAACAAAAAAGGTAAATCAAGTTTCACCTCTTTAACCTTATTCATAATTATCATGATTATACAAATACGGTGATAAATCCATGGGTACAGAAATGACAATAATGTACTTAATTGCCCAACATCCTTTAACAACACCGTTGGGTGTTACTAATGTTCACTATCTCGATTAATCATTAAATTGTTTCAACGTTTTTTCTTCTCACTTTTCGCATTATTTTATTATAACCATATTATATTTATAACTCTACTGTTATCGATAAATTGTCTCCTCTATCAATAATTAATCATAGCAATTAATTGGAACAATTGAATAGAAAAGTGAAAAAATTTGAATCTTTTCAATTCTCTCTGGTTTTCCCATTGGTAAATCTTTTACACCTTGTTGGTTATATTTTCATTTTTTTGCTTCCAACAAACCATTAAAAGATTTAACCACAATCTGACTTTGTCACTTTACCTTGATTCAGATTATTCAGGTAAAACCTTTGATTGTATAACATATTGTTTATCTAATGATTATGATGAAAATGAAAACCACTCATTTACAGTTAACTTCACTTGACATAATTTTCCCTGGCAAGAGTCTACTTTATAGTCAACTGTTCAATACGTCTAGGTTGCACTGGAAGGATTGAGAGCACAAGAAACAAACAAAATTAAACCTTTCTAATCAGTAGATTAAATCCAATACAAACAGCCATCACAATTGTAAACATTAGTCAATGTTAACTGTAAACCCAAAAATGTAAACCAGAATCTAACCCAAAATAATGGACAAAATAATTCATTAATCAATAATTTACACAGAAGGAAAAAAAAGATTTGTCTAAAAAGACTAAAACAATAGTGAAAATAGCCTCAAGTATGACTTGGCTAAAAAAACTGGTAACACAAACTATGTAAATGTTGATTAGTGCTTACAATTTGAGTTGTCAATCTTTATCAATTGTGATTATTGGTGTAATTTTACCATAGATTGTTGCTTAAGGAAGACCAATAAGTAAACAGTAAAAATATGAGATATGTTCATGAAACTGGAAATGTACATAAATCACTCAAAAATCAGTCAACCTTGATGTGATCATTAAAGCTTCGTAAGATGACAAAGTTGTTATAATCAAGATATCATCATCAACGTAATCTTCCTTTCTCTATTCACCATCACCAGCATGATCAACAGCATCATGTTCATAACCAACACATGAACAAAACCAGCAACTGATTATTTATTTCTTACTTTTCAAGACTATGTTATTCCTATGTAAAAGCAAGGGCAACAACAAACATTATCTTGTTAACCATTTTGTCAATTATTGACTTTCTAGTGTATTTATTGGCTTTTCAATTTCAACTCTTACATTGGCAAGATGATCGTAATCATGAAGAGTAGGAAGAAGATAAGAAGAACGATGAAGATAAAAAAATGACTGTTGAGTTATCAGTTGATCTTGAAACAGAAATGTTGTTCAAAGCATTCTTCTGGAAATGATAACACGTTCAGTGTTAAGAACGAAGAAGCCAAATTGATGAGCAGAATGGTGATGATAGTGATAAAAATGGCAACAATTCATGTGAATGTACCTTTAGTTTGGGTTGACTTTTTCACGTACCTTTTGCTATTCTTGATTGAAAAGAAAGCTCATTTATCATTGAAAATAGATGAAGTCTGTTTATTGATGTTGTTCAGTTGTACTTGTGTGTGTGTGTCTCAGATAATTTTAATTGTATAACCGATAAGTATAATTAATGTCGATAAGTTGACAGTGTATGATGTTAATGAAGACGAAAAGTCAATCAAGATTGTTAATGGTTTACACTGAACATGTATGAAGCATTTGTTCATCATCTTCAATCATTGAGGCCATCTTGGTGAACAAGATTAATTAGTCGATACATGTAATTTTTAGGTGTAAGTTGGACAAGTGAATCGGAAATGGCAATTAATTTAATCTCTTAAACTTTGATATATTGATCTTGTTTCAATAATTGCCATCGATACATTGATTTCTTGAACTTTGATTTCACTTTACATGTGATTACCCAAATTGACCATATTGTAAATAACCACAAATGCTTAAGGTTAATTTTAATTCACTGTTAATTTATTTTCATCCTTTACCTGGGTTATTGTAATCAGTTAAACATTATTTACAGATCCTGTTAACTTTAATTGAAGTGTAATTGTGTCTCAATGTAATTAAAGAAAATTAATAATAATGTTAACTCGGCAAGAAAACAAAAAGAGTAGCTGGTTACCTAAGCAAAGTTACAGCAGCCAACAGCAGCAACAGCTTACAACATTTTAACCCCTTCTGGCTATTAAAATGATCCTAATCAGGTAAAGTATAATGGTGAAGATGATGGTGATTATGATGTGTTTAAGTTGAAAGGAAATTGTTGTAAACAGGCTTACCCTAAATTAGCAAGACTCAAGTCTTTGTAAATCAAGAGGTTGAAAAAAAGAGATGAAGTAAGATTTAGAGTAAAAATGACCTCGCAAAAAACAGGTTTTTCAGTGGAGATGATGATGCGTGCCTGATCATGAAGCCCTCATCATTATCATCATCATCAACATCATAATCATCATCTCTTCTTCACATTGACCTGTCTTGTTTCAACTTTATTTGTAGCAAAGAGTTTCAAAGTAAAATATGTGCTACTCTCACAGCATCAACTAGCCCAATTATCTTATCATCCTGATCTTCACCATCTTGGCCATCTTCATCCTCCTCATCATCTCCATCATCGGTGTATATTAAGGTTATAGACCCACAGTTCCCAGGTCCATTACTTGATTATATCATCTCATCTTAGATGGTTCGGCTACAACAATCAACCTCATGATATAACGTAAAGTTATACTCAACATGCGTCATTGAAACTTGACTGGTTAAAGCATTGGAAGAGAGCAAAAAAGATACAATTTTTTGGCGACCAAATTTTTCTTTGGGTTCCTATCTTCACTTTCCCATAAGTTCAACTATTATCATCAACATGATGATTATCAACTAATACATGTTTCAAGAAAACATAAATAAGACTTCAAACACACAGCAAGCAAGCAAGCAAAAGATGGTTCCTGAAGCAACAACATACAAAGCCTAAAACGCCCAGAAACCTTGACTTTCAATGAAAGTTAATCATAAGTCTTTTTTTCTCGCAAATTTATGCCTTTTCCAGCCATTTTTTAAAATATATTGAAGGTCAACTTTCATTTTGATATCATTATTGTTACTGGTGATTACTATTGTTGATGTTAATATTATCATGATTAACCATTGATCGTTTCTAGTAATCATTGTAATCACAATGATTCCGCTCCCAAGCAAATTACTTGCGTCCGTTCATTGGACTTGTCCCATTAGGTTGTTACAAAAAGATACATGTGAATGAAATGGGAAAAGGTCAATGAATGCTCATAATTCACCTGTAACACACCAACAATCAACATAACCTTGTTAATGCTAATCTCAATTTTGCAGCTATTAATAAGTGTAAACTCAAGTAATCTAACCCCTCATGATTAACAGATTTCACCTTTAATTAGTAATAACTTTCCCATTGTAAATAACTTGGACTTTTAATGGACTCAATGCAATGTTGGAATTCACAATCAACCTTACCTTATTAAGCATTGATTACAAATTGACAGTTTAATTCCTAATAAAGTAATCCATCGGGAAATCACATGAGAATGAAAAATGAGTTTCCTTTGATAACCTTTTATGTTGATTATTTCAATTTTTAAGCAATTAAGGTCAACTATGAACATTTTGATGGTGCCTTTTGATGATGAGTTGTACAATTAGTAAACCTTTCAACAATCAAATCAAGTCAAGGGTAAGTTTACCTTCCATTGGCTATGCTTTCAACAATTAACACACACAATTGTATGCTTATATGAAAGTAAATTCAACAATAACAATGGCAACAGCTACAATTATGGTCAGTAGATGTTGTCAACAAATGGATTACAATTAGCTTACATAATATAATCACCTATTAACCTGTTTAACTAATTAACATTTGTATTTCTATGTAAATGCCTAACAAAGCTGTAATCATTGTGTTAATGATGAAAAGGGAAAAGTTGAAGCCTAAGTGTGTTGGTAAATAAAACATATTTAATCTGTAAATCTATTCGTAAATCGTGTTAGAAGCAAATTAGCTTATCCATTGTAAACAGCAATTATAATTACAATTAGAATCTAAAATTGGTTGCAAAAATACATCGGAATATGAAGGTTCCTTGGAGATTGAATTGAAAATTTTACCCAATTTTTAGTCATTTTTGTTTGCAGTTGAATTGGCTTTTGATTGTTACTTCTTGAAATGTTTAACATTTTATTTTAAACTTGGAAATATTAAAATGCTTTTGACAGTTACAAGCTTTTTTATCACACAAATGACATCATTATTAAATCATGATAATAATTATAATTACCATCTTCTTATTGCTCAAGATGAAGTTAATTCATTTAACTCTCTTCAATTACAACAACTTTGCAATTGAGTTTTTTTCCCGTTCACTTTTGCTTTGTTTTTTGCTCGCCTTCCCATGAATCAAATGATTGAATGAGAAAAGGCAATATTTTGTTGGATAATCAATGTTGCTTGTTGATCAACTATTTTCATGATGATTCAATTTATTCATCTCTTGATAGTATCAAAAAACATCTTGAAATGTTTACTTCCACTAATCAAGAGTCAAGAGTGACTTTGAATCACTGAAAGCTCATCCCAGTCACCTTAGGTGCCATGGAACACGGTTGAAGGAAATTCTGTAAATTGATTCGAACCAAAAGGTTCAGCAAAACATAAAATACCTTCGAATCTTTGTCTCTTATAAAAGATCAGTTGATCAGCTTTTCAACCAATTTTCTGGATTAATTTCAATGGTTAAGCTGCTTACATTGGAGGAGAGAGTTGAGTGTTAAATTGTTCATTTAACTGTTTTAAGGTGAGAAAATTTAGAGTTGATTAACATGGAATGATCCGGATTTCCGTCTAAATCTGAAGACGAAGGTTAGACTCAAAGGATGCAGAAATGATATCAATGAGGTTAACATCCTAACCTAGTGAATTGAAGATTAAACTGAATAAACTCTGAAGATCATAACCACAAAGAAACCATTGATGGTTAAATCCGGTCAATGACAATTTAAATCAATAATTTTCAACCAAAAGCTTGGATTGAGATGCAAAGTAACAAAATGACTCTCAATCATAACAATCAATTCTGATTGACGATTGATTTCAACTCTTATTGAGACCAAAGATCGATTAATATCAAGACAATATCAAGATTGCTTGAGATGATAAAACATTTAACCCAATTTCAACCAGAATTTACTCTTATCCTTAAAACCCAAAGACTTAACATGGAAACCAGAGATTAACCCAAAATTGAAAGCAACTGTTAATGTTAACTGTTTAACCTTTAGTTGATTAAAGATCAACTTTCTCTAATAAAGCAATTAATCCAATTGAGTACAATTTAGATTAGATTTACTCTGGAAATTCACTTTCAATGTTATTCCGTAATGATAATCATAACTCATTAAAGTCTTGAATCTTGGAAATTATTTTTGCATTGGATTTTTGATTTAAACTTGAACTTGAATTGAACTTTGAAAGGTTTAATCAATCTGAATTAATTAGATGGAAAATGATTACAATTAACTTTAGTTTTGTGCAATTGAAGGGGAAAAGTGAAGATTAATTTAAAGAGTAATTTGTTTCTTTTCACAATTAGTATTTAACTATTAAGATTGACTAACGTGATTGTTTTACCTTGATTAGGTATTAATACCTTTAAATGGTATTTTATTGATAAAACTCACGAACTCGGTCAGAACTGAATCACAATTGAACGACAATTAAAAAGACACACAACAAATGATCGTCTTTTCTATTCTTTTGTTTCTCTTTTTGTCAAATTAAATCAACTTAAATTGTAAATGATGAAAAGAGAAGCCGTTAAATTGTCGCTTTCATGGACTATTAGCGACCATTGATGCATTCACTATTGATTGGTAATTTAAATTGTCAATAAAAGATTAGATTAACAAATTTAGTCAAAACTAAAATTCATAATTCATTGAAAAACGATATTTATTGTGAAATGTATTTCAAGTCTGTCAAGTTGATCGTAAATCTAATGAGAAATGAAACCAAATTTGAGTCAAAATTTTAAATCAATCACAATTAGCTTTTGCCTTTTAATCATTCAAAGTCTCATCTTTCAGATTAAACTGACAATTTGATATTTTAATTTCAAATTAAGATTTAGTCTTTCATTTACTTTTACTTTTAGCTCATGTATTGGCTTGTGTTTTGAAGGAATCTGGTTTTCTGGTTTATTTTGGGTAACTCTGGTTTAGAGTTGAATTTGGGTTTTGTTTTATCTTTTTGTATCGATTTCATGTTTTTGATTCGATTAGTTGATTGTCTTAATTTGAGACTACAATTTGAATGGTTAATCTGATTTAAATCTTGATCGTCTTGGATGTGTTTTAATCTAACCCGGAATTGAGCTTTTCAGTGATGAACGTCAAGTTTGACTTGAAACATTATCTTATAATTAACTTTGATTTAGTTTAAGGATAACAAACTAATTGTTAATCACTTCTCATCCTTTTTCATCAGTTAACTGAGCAACTAATTATTGCATTTGATTAAAATTGAAATCATGTTTATCTCGTCTTTACACAATTGAATGTTAAATTCTTGGTTACTGTTACTCCCCTTAAAATTAACAAAGATACTTTGCTTTCAGAAGGAAATACCATTGAAGATGTTTGATAAACTGGAACAATTATAATCAAGTTTAAGTTCAATTTTAATTGTTCATTCATTTCTCTTTAACCTCATTACAGGTCAGAGAATAGCCAAAATCCCAACGGAAAATAGTCAATGTAAAGAGCAAATGAAACATTCAAAGTTGCTTTGAAACGGAAAATGGTTAGAGTTGAGACTCAAAAAGTGAATTTAGATGTTGATAGAGTTTAAAAGAGAAACAGATTTTAACCATTTAGAGAATTAAATTTTATATTATTGATTAGATCCAATTACACCAAATTGCTTTTCTCTTAGTTTATGGCCTTATTTTTTCCTAATTGCTTGATTCCCGGTTGAGTTTCTCCGTATTCAGTTTTTAACTTAAATTCCGGGTCTTGAGTCAGCAACTCAAGTTTAATTCATGAGAAAATTTTCAGGATAGTCAGCAACTTGCAAGTTCCTTATGATTTAATATACTCAGATTTAGTATACAAAATATATCATCATCTTAGGTAGGTTTATTCATTTAAAAGGTATAATCTCAGAAAAAGTGATTTGTATTTTTTGCCCTTTCTGGTTGTATTTTGTTCATTGATTTTTGTATTGATTGTCTGAATAGCTTCACTCGCTTCAATTTTCTGTTGGAAGTTCTGTTCAGTTGATTGATGAAATTACCAGATGTCTAAGGTTCAAATTTTACTTTAAACACAGTCAAAGAAAATTAGTTGATTCCAATTGATTGAATCAAATTAGTAACACTATTAAGAGAGCAAAATTAGTGATTATATAACTTATCCTACCATCTATCGGTTATTTTTCAACCCATTGTTTTAAAAAATAAAAGCTGATTCATTTTTGATTTGTAACGTCTTTTTTAAATTAGCTTTGCAATCTTAATGCATGTAATTACTATTCATCCGTGTTAATTAATTCATTACTGAATATTTAATAATTACTGGATTTACTTATCAATCTGTGTCTTTTTTGAGTTGAGATATTTTACTTGGTGTTTTGAGACCTTTGAAAGTTTGATATTTACTCATAAGTTGTTTCATTGAGTAAGATTTGTTTCCGAAAAATCTTCATTTCTACAAAGAGGTTTGGTTTAAAGATATTTTCCCTTGGTGTTTTTATTCGATTACTCATTCAAATATTTCAGTAATATTTACACTCCCTCCCAAAGGGCAACTGTTGGTCAGATGAGGATTGTTGACCGGTAAAAAGGAGAGGCTGGATAAAGAGAGGAGGAAAAGCCAGTAGAGTACACTTATCGTTCAATCTTGTATTTGATTAAAATTTGGTTTGTTTTACCCCATTTGGATATACTTTTGGAGATGAAAGTAGGAAAAAGATAAACTTAAAAGCCAGACAGAGGAACAATAATTGGTAGAGAAATTCACTCGTCAGTAACAGAAGCGGAAGCATATTTAAAGATCCGATTTCCCTTTGAACCGTTACTCACTGTCTTTATATTCTGTATGCATTGTAATTTGATTACAATAGAAGAATGGTCTAGGACTTAATCATCAAACAAGATTTACTCTGTGATCAGCCGTTTAAGAGCAGATAATATTGAAAAGATCAGTCACTTTCTTTCTCCCTTTGGATTTTGATTAAATAATCGACTACAGCATTATAGTTTTTCTCGATGGATTGAAACATCAATAATGGATTCGAGATAGGGCCTATCAAGCTGATCATTGAATATATCATGTGCAAAGCTAAGAAATCAACAAATAGAAAATTTCCATTTTCTATGTTTATGTCAAATATAATCAGGACCAACTGTCATACCTGTTAAACAATAGAATTGAGCTGTTAGACCAGAAAGGTTGAACAATGTTGGACTAAATTTCAAGATAGCGATTTCCCTATCCCTTTCTCAAAAGATTTTCAAGAAAAAAATGACTTGATTTGATTTGTCAGAAGCGACTATTTCTTGAGTCACTTGGAGTTGCTGGGAAAATATAAAATGACAGCGTAATTTGGCGGTGCTAATCTCGGTACTCACTTAAAGTGATCAATTCTGTTCGAGTGATTGATTAAATTATGATATTTCATGGCGAATTTACAATGCATGAAAAATTATTGGCTGAAGCACTTTTATCATTTAAAGCGTAAAGTAAGGTTTAGATTTATGTATGTCATGAAAAAGGGTTAATTTTTTACAAGGTTTAATGGTCAGTTTTTACGATCTAAATCAGGATTTTCAAAAATCTGTTTAATTTTTACTTTCATGTTGAATCCAAGGAAATATTTACGATTTTTAAAAAACTTTCTTTAAGGCGCCACCATTGAAGATACAATAACCTCCATAGCTCGGTGTTTCCCTCTGGTGGAGGTTATAAAAGTTATTTTTTATTTTTTTCTGCTGAATGAATGCTGCTAACTGAATCATTTTTGACATACGACAGCTTTTTTGTTTTAATTCAAATTTTTAATTGTTCTGTGTTTGGACTTGATTCATTTTAGACAAAACTGTTTTTATCAATAATATCATCATTCGACACTTCCTTATCACTTTGATTTTTAAATCAAGTCTTTAGTGTTTACTCTTTACTTTTATTTTGGTGAGTTCCTGTGTCTTTCCATTTTGGTTTAGGATCTCTTCTCACAATCATGGCTGAATTAGAGAATTCATTTGAAAAAATTGAAGATGTTGATCCAGCAGCTGATTTCATTGCTCGTGAACAAAATGTTTTAGCTGAAATCGGCAATGATATTGAATTCAAAAATGAGATGAATCATGTAAATCAAGAGAATGGAGAGAATGGAGAAGACCCTGATCTTGGTTCTACTGCTTTACCTGCCGATATCTCAAACTCTATTCCAGCTAGCAATTCCACCAGTAACGGACTCAGCAACCAAGTTAACGGTGATAAGGAACCTATTAAAGAACCAGAAAAGATCAGAAAATGGAGAGAGGAACAGCAAAATATGTTGAAACAAAAGGATGAAGAGGAGATCAAGAAAAAAAAGGAACTCGCTGAACAAGCAAAGAAGGAATTAGAGGAATGGTACTCTCGTTATGAAGAGCAATTAAATAAATCAAAAGTAATCAATAGGTAAGTCTGGTCAACTCATTTACAAAATATTTATAATTCCCCGGTTTTTGGCAATCATTCGGTTTAACCTAACTAACATTCTAATCTCTCTGTCTGACATCGATTTCTTTCATCTTATGCTGCCTACTTAAGGGAGGCTTGCAAGTAGGTATCCTTTAACATATTAACTTGAAACCATTAATCAATTAGCTTTTATGATTTTTATTAAATACTACTTGACATACAGTTATTTTATTGTTTCTTTACTCTCCTTGGATGATAATAGGAATGCTGAAAAAGAGTGGATCGCTGAAAGAGATGCTGAATCACCTGGACAAGATTGGGAAAAAATTGCTCGGATGTGTGATTTCAATCCCAAAGCATCTCGTAACTCAAAAGATACATCAAGAATGAGATCGATTTTACTTCAATTGAAGCAACAACAAGCTCAAGAAAAATCATCTTGAATCATCTTTCTTTTTATACGTTTATTATTACAATGAGTGATTGATTTGAATCTTCATCATCTTGCTGTGTTTACCTCTAATTTATCACAGACAAAATACCTACCAGAAAGTAAAAACTATATCATTTCAGAGTGTCTTATCTCAAGACCACAGAAGTCTACTAATAGTGTAATACCACAACAATCGACATTTCATCTGATAGAATCACTTGTAACTATAAATCTGTGTTCAACGCATTCCTGCAATTATTTACATCACCATGATTATATCATCATTTTTGGCAGAAACTGGCTAATAAGAAAATGCCATTCTGAATCACCCAACCAACTAATGAACTGAGAAGTTTTGTTTGAGTAAAAAAAACTAGTGGACCTAGTTCATTAACATAAGCAGTATTTCAATTGACGTGAGATGTTTCAGTGAATAGACTACTTTTTACTGTAACTAGGTTTAACCCTCTAAACATCAAATCTTCGTTTTCGCATTTAAACGTTAACTACGATAAAATGTCTTTGATATTTCTAATCAAATTTTTCTTCCTTTCTGATCTGAGATTTTTGCTTTTATGAAAACATTTTGGGTTTATCCTTTTCCAAGATATTGTCAGTAATGTGATACCTCATCACTATGTAAACAGAAGTCATTTAATTGATTGAATAAAACAATGTCAGGAAAAACAGATTTTACATTATTACTGTTAAATATTTATCGTGCTTCATTTTTTGTGTTATCAGATCAGATCATGACATGGATATGTGTCGTTGGAACATTTGTTTTTCATACGATAGTGTCATAAATATTTTAATTAAATGAATACTGATGAATCCCAAATCAATTTATCAAGGTTTCAATGTTAACATTTCACATTTTTATGGTTTGAAATGGTCAATAACCCCACCATGGTCGTTCAATGATACCAGAATGAATCCAGCTTTCAGTTTCAAATGATGTTTTGCTTTCAAGCTTGGACCCGATGAAAGTACAACCGTTGATGTGATCTATTTGATGAATTTGAAAAGGATTATAACAAGTATTTATTTTGAAACAGTTCAAAATGGCGTGTTTGAAAATTTTGAGCATCTCAACAAGAACATGTTAAATGTATTTGTGATTAATTGAAATGGTTAAGATATCAAATTAACCTCCTCTTTGAATGCTCATTGGACCACATGGATTCTGTTGAAACGACAGCCTGAAACCTCTACCAACATTCCGTGCGTCACTGACAAAACGAGCAATGAATGGTCCTGTACCAGTATCTGGTTTGTAAAAAGATAGGTTTCATTAGTACTTCAAGGAAAATAATTTTTATATGATTCAGAAACTGGAAGAAACCAGAGTTATTGAGGTATTAAAGTTACGAGAAGCTAGGATATCTAGCAATGGTAAGAAATTTGTCTCTAATTTAAACCAGTTTGTGGAGGTAATTACGATTATTTAAACTGAATGTGGTGAGAACTCGGTTTAATATAACTTACCGACGACTGGAGCATCTTGATTTGCATTCTGATTGATTCCCAAAAGATTGAGTCGACTTCCACAAAATCTTACTCCATTCAATTGAATGTAATCATACGCACAACGTATCAGTCCAGCTCCAGCAACAGATTGATCAAATGTTGGTGAATTATCTAGAAAAGCAAAAAAATTCATTATTTTTACAATTCTTTTTAAAAAAGTGAATCGGTGAATTTGCTTGAATTTACTGAGATCCAACCACAATTTAATGAACGAAAGTTGATTAAAATTCTGAAAAAACTGACAAACTTACTTGGACCAATATTAACGATCTCAAAAGGTGTGAATGTACTATTGACACTGTACGATTGGGTACAAAAACCATTCTCTTTCCTGAAACAAATGGCATAATCCAGTCCATTTAGATATGTTGCATCAAGAATTCCTTGAGATTGTCCTGAAGATGGGTTTGTACTTGAAAAATCTTGAAATTGTGAGGTTTCATAATTGAAACTGGAGAAGGCGCCGGATGGACCTGTGTAGTATTGTAAGCAATTGGACGGAGCTTTGGAAGGATTTGTACATTCGATTTGAGTAATTTGAATATTCCATCTTCTATAACCAGGACCATTGGTGATGACTCTGAAAATGAATGGACCTTGAGCACCATCAACATCCATGTACACTGAATAAAATAGATTGGAAAAAATAAAATCCAATTTATAAAAAGCGAGTAAACAATACAGAGCAATGGCTCAGCATATCAATGCTAAAACTGAATGATTATTGATGATTGCTGTTTTGTAATCATTGAATCTAATTGATTTAAGAGACTCGATGCTAATGGAATCAGTATCAAATGACTTGATGAAAATTGTCTTAATTAGTTTATTCTAAATAATTCAATCTGTTGAAAGAAAGACCATTGAGTCTCGATATTATTGATGCCGGAATAATGTTTGTGTTTGAAATTTTTGATACTCACTGTGAGTCCCAGAGTTACGGCCACATATTGGAGGTACAAATGAGTTTGAATTCTGTCCTGAAACTACGAATCTATCCACATCACAATTTCCCATGACAGGACGATTAATTTCAAAATCAACAAAATCCAAACGCAATTGACAAATCTTGAAGAGTGATGCTGCTCTATTCACGGTTAAAGTACATGATGTAGTCCCATTATAAGGCGATGGATATGCTGGGTTAGTGAAATAGGTACTGTTCATGGCAGAAACAGCATCACAGGTTCGTGGAACTAAATAGAAAGCAAGTAAAATATGAATATTAAAATCACAATCAGAGTTGATATCATTTTAAAAGCTCATCGTAAAAACTCGTTATACTCACAAACACAGCAAACATTAGAGACACCACATTTTCCGATAGCAACACCACCGAGGGTTCGACATGAAATTGATGAATAACAAGTTCCCATCATAGATGATGTTGTAGCACTTGGTGTACCAGGAATCAGTGAGGTAACTGTACATGCTGGTCCAGCAAAACCAATGAAACACAAGTGAGGCTCTAAAAAATAAACAGTTTAAGAGACATTAATATTCTGGCTTTTAGGTTGAAAATAACAGAATCAACAAATTCATACCAATTTGTATCAATAGGAAAAGAAGAGAATATATATTAATCCGAATCAATGGTGAATTGGTCATATTATAACTCTATTTACTGTCCACTATTAACCCAAAAATAAAATCTGTAAAACTGTTAACACTGGTAAAAGGCCTCAAACATTTTGTTGATTTGGCCTGATGATTGCAAATTTTGAGTTGTACATGAATAAATGAAGATTAATGGTGATAAAGGTGAAGATTGAGATGAATGTCTTTAACTGTTTGGAGTAAGTAAATCGCGAAAATGGATGAATTGGCTTCTAATTTGGTAATACAAGGTGTTAAAGAGCCGTAAGACTTTTCACAATTTTTAGATTATCAAAGGGCATTGACGGATGAAGTGATGAACAGAATCATTTTGCTGGAAATAAGGCCAAAAGTTAGGATGAGTGATAATCATCCTTTCATTGTTACACTTGTTTATGGTGATAATGATGATGAAAATTTAAAGATGAGGAAGATGATAGTTAATTCTGTGGAAACTGGAAAACATAAGAAACAAAAATGTAAAAAAAATCATCAATTGTTACATTTAGTGTAAAAAAGGCGCTTATATATTCATAAACAATGAAGTGATCAACAAAAGGCAATGACATGATTCAAATAGGCTTAGAGAGGTGCAGAAATAGCAGCAGAGTTATTTTTAATGCTAAATGATTTGGTTTGATGAACTAGGATCACGTATTATTATTGACCAAATTGTGTTAAATTTACTGCCATTATTTTTCAAAGATCAACTCCACCGAGACTAATTAGACTTGTAACAACAACTTAATCATTAGCCTAATTCCATAAAAGAGTTTCAATTTTACCCATTTTTTTGTAGCCAAACAAAGTGACCATTTTATTGTTTACCAGTGACGATCAGCTGAAAGCGTAGTCTGAGTCTGTGTTTTATGTTTCCAAAGTTTATCGTCGGTTCTTTGTGGGCAAGCAACAGTCAGTTTATGAAGATGGATATTGTGAACAGAGTTGAGTAGACGGGAATCATTCGAGATATTTGAGCTACAATTTAGATTCGATCACTTGGTGAATGTATTTTCAAGTCAAATCATTTTAAGCATTTAGAGACAAAATCATTGTTTTTGTCTTACCATCAAGTACAGGAGTCAAGTTTTCTGGGTTTGAAATGTATTATTTTTGACTGGAAAATTCAATCTTAAAATGTTCATAGTAATGCTGAGATTCCTTTCAAAGTCAGATTCAACTGAAGCCTTAGAGTGAATCTAAATTTTGATTTTTGAATTTCGAAAACACAGAAAACCCAAATTTGAAAATTTTCAAGAAATCACTATTTTAGCTTATTACATGTCGTATTGCTTCTTGAAAAGTTCATTTTTAGTCGATTCAGACAAATTAAATATTATTTTTTTATTAAATATTTATCGTGCTTCACTTTTTATGTTATCAATTTTAATATTAATAATACATATAATACATTTATAATGTGTATTAATAATTCAATGTGTAGATACAGCAATGTTAAAGCCTTCAAATAGGCTTTAATGTGAAATTATTAGTGTATATCAATTGATGGGCAAAGTAAGACAGTTACATCCCAGTATTAAACAAAACTCCAAAATGTAATTTAACAAAATTCTGATCAAATTATGACATGTTTTGAACATGTAGTTGGAACAATGTTGCAAATTTGTTTTGTATTCGGTAGTGTCGCAAAGTTTTGATGAAATAAACGTGAATCCCAAATCAGTTTATCAATTTATCAAGGTTTCAATGTTAACATTTCACTTTTGTATGGCTTGAAATTAACAATAACCCAGCCATGATCGTTGAAAGATATCAGAATCAATCCAGTCTTCAGTTCCGAATGATGTTTTGCTTTCAATCTCAGGCTTGGATCCGTTGTAAGTATAACCGTTGATGGTCCTCTTTTTGTTTAAGCATGAATCCATAGCCGACCGCTAAGATAATCATTACTAGGTAAATGATGAAGATTGGCGGATTGAATGTTGGACCAAATAGAGATACGAAATTGAGGAACAAAAATATGGTGGCATAAGTATAAAGGCATCGACGATTCTCCATGATTGCACCAATAACACCTAACATATGGAGGGCTATAAACATCATTAGAGTGAAGGCGACCATGTACATCGGCAGTCTTGTGTATAATCGAGTGATCACAGTACCATTGATTGAATATGGTTCCATTTCTTTTTGTCCTTCATCGTAAACATAGAAACCAAAGATAACAGTTCTTTGGATAATCCGTCCAAGATTAAAAACAACTAAACATAATTTAGCTGTGAAATAAGCGTGAGCTGTTTCACCCATTTTAATCAACAAATCTCCGTTATTTTTTATGTTTGATATTCACAAACATATCAAACAGATAGGTTAATACAAATTAACAAGACGAAAAATTTCTCTGGCTTCGAACTTGTTTGTTTTCATTTCAAGCATTGAAATTGCCATAACTTTCTATGAGCATGACTGCTCTGACATTGCCAGTCAAAATTGGAATCACTCAGATGATTCAGGTTGAATAACTTTGGAGACATTTGACAGGTTGAACACATGTAACTATAAGTTGTTATTTGCTCATCATTCAAACTAGAAATTCCTGGTCACTGAGATAATAACAATCAATAGATTTACAATTCCAAAACATGAAAAGCTAATAAAGTTTATTATATCGAGGTCCAGATGTCGCCCCTTTTCACCTTTCATTTCATTTTGCCCTTTATGTCATTTCTAGGATAACAGATGGCGTTTTAAAAGCAAAGTTTGCTCAATTTAATTTGATTGCAACAAAATGATGAGTTTTTGGTCTTGGCAATTAATATTCAAACTAACATCGATGTTACTATTCCTGGTGCTATTTATTTTTAGTGAAGAGTGAAAGAAGCTCTAAACAACAGACAAATAATCAAGAATTGTAAGTTTTACTCGAAGCTGAACTGTTAAATTAATTTCTACCTATTTAATGCATAATAATCACTTACAATCATTTACAATTCAACAACAAAAACAGTTTGAATAACAAACCAACAGTTTAATATTAAGCTAAGCTTTTTTGAGTTGTTTGCTAACAATAACTAACAATTATATTCAATCGTAAACCTTTGAAACTGAAGATTCTTCAAGGTTGAGCCATTTAAAAGAATGAAACCCATAAAACATTTAATGCTTTTCTGGTTAGTTAATGCTAGCGATTAGTTTCAGATGAAAATGGTGATTGTCAGGCAAATTAGTTTAAAAAACGATCAATCATTTTATCCGATGACCGATGATAAACAACAAAAGATTACAGTTAATAAAGAAGTAACGGAAAAGCAAACTAACAGTTAACGTCCATTTTGTGGTGAATTTGCTTCTTTTATTACCAAAAATGACACCCAAAGAAAGGACATTATACTTTAATATAATAAGATCAAATGTATTCACTAGCTAAATCAAAAATGGGTTTAATTGTGGAACAAGAAGATTGATAAAATTTGTCTTTGGGCTTTACAAACAATTGATGTTTGCTTAGTTTGATGGCCCTAAGGATGGTGATTAAAGATGAGTTAATGATGTTTAACAAATAGTAACCAATAGTTGTGATTAATTCCCATTATCCAATGTAACTGTGATTGGATTAGTGAAAATGTAACCATTTAACTTACACATTAACCAAAATCGTCTGCTAAAGTGAACCTTTGCGCAGCAACAAAACAAATCAGGCGAATGGCTCTGAACATGACCAAGCCATGTTTTTAGACTTTTTTTGTCTTCAATTCTATGGATATCCTCATCATCTTTTCCTCTCCGTGTTGTCCTCCTTTCCTTTTCTTCTTGACTCAACATCATCATCATCATCATCCTCATCTTTACTGTTTATTATAAGAAGAGAAAACGAGTGAGAAAAAGGAAGACAGGGAAGAAAGAGAGGAAGAAAAAGGTGAGCAAGATCCTGAGAATGAGTAACACTTCAACCAACAGACAATCAAACACACAACACAGAAGGCATATTGTGATACTCAAATGTTTTCCCTTTTTCTAGTCAACATTTCTAATCATCATCATTATCCAAGTGTTTTACAGTTAATTATTATTTTTTGCTGTCATTCGCTTCTTCTCCCAATTACACTTTGTATTGGGTTAAATGATCAACACTGCTCGAAACAGCTTTCATTCAATTCAACAATGTCACTTTCCTAAAATAACAAAATCATCATTTCTATTTCAACCATCATAACCATCATAATTATCTTCATCATCAACATTACCCTACTCATCAACATAATTATTTGGTAAACAACTATAACAGTTAATGTACCGATCTGGTTTCATCATGTGTTTACTGTCCTATGTTATTTGGTGTCTCTTTTGATCTCTACCTTTTTATACCATTCACCTAATACTTTTCAGTGATTCAATTTTGTTCGTAATGTGATTTTGTAAAATGATGATTGTTAGAAGAACGGAAATGAAAGAATCTTGATTAATTAGTGATTGTAATTGTAAACACCTTTAACTGGCTCTAATCACCAACAACTACCGTGAATACCAACAGTGACCATCAATAGACCTTCAATTTTACTCTATTCCTTTTTATCAACGTTGTCTTCTGTTGTCAACTCAATTGGTGATTAAAATTAAAACTTTGATTGGTCAATTTACTGTGCTACCTCATTAGTTAACCATTTAAACAATTCAATTACAGTTGAAAAGAGTTTATTCAAAAGGTTTACCTATTGCTCTTGGTATACAAGTTACCAGAATGATTTTCAAACCATGAGAGTTTCTTATGGTTTCTTCAAACTGCTCCATTCAATTTTGTGATCATCTTAACTTATCTTCAACTCAATTTAATCTATCTTATAAATCTTCATCATGCATCTTCTTCCTGCTTCTCTGCTTTCATATGGTTACTAATTCATCTGAGAATCTCTTTTGGTTACCCAGATCGATCATTTTTCTGGTTTTATTTCCTCTAAATAATATAAATCAATGAAGTCTCCCAAAGTACATGTTATATAATACGAAAAGTAAAAGCCAAATTTGTTACAACAACCAAAATAGAGTTCCTTCATGTTTGAAATGTTTTGTAAAACAAATTAATGTATATCTAATATGTAAATATTAATAGTGATATTTTTCATATGTGATGCCGGTGTATGCTATTAACCACGATCACAGTCACCATTTTATAAATGCCAGGTATTATTGTGTTCAAAAGACGTTGGAGTATTGGCTCTGATGATCTTATTGTACCTGCTACAGTACTCTTCATTGTACACACTGTTTGGTAAATATTTTAATGTACATCTATCTAAATCAATTGTGTGTAAACAAACAATTGACTAGATATGCAAATGTAAACCATTAACTGTATAATTAATCCATTTTTATCTCTCTTTTTTGTTTCCCTCTTTCCATTTCAATCAGGCTAATCGTTCTCTCATTGATTTTGGTGTCTGGCGAGAAGAAGGAATGGCGATTACAATGTATGATCGATCTCCACGAGCACATAGTTGGCTATGCCATTATCCTAATTGGCTGCCTAATAGTGGAACTATTCATAGCCTGGGTCAGTCTAAGAGGAACCATTTTGGAAACCGAACCAAGATCTTCCATGCAGTATCTACTTTATGTAAGACTGGGTATGACTTTTGACTTTTTACTTTCACATTATTCTGTTCACTCATCTGTTTATTATTTATTTTTTTCCCTTCTACTCTTTTTTTTCACCATTTACCATCCTTGATCCTGGCATTATTTAAAGCTCATAGACTCATGATAGGTTTAATCTGAGTTGCCGGTTTTTTTGTTGCTCCTATCATGCTATTTTCATCTTCTGTCATAACAACCCAAAAGGTGCATCAATTTTGATACTGTTGCTGCTGCTGCTGCTTACAAACTATGATAGTCTCCATTATTTAGTTTACACCAGGATAAAAAAAACTTTACAAGCCATTTAATCCTCTGTGATTATTTTCCAAGTTTTAAATTACATTCTAAATTAAGCCGCTCTTCAACCTTTTCAGCTATCACTGAGAAAGAGTGGCAAAGGAACCATGTCATAAAGATTAAGGTGAAAAACCAAGTGAAGTGCTAATGAACCAGTATACACCTTTTTTCAGGGTTGAATGTTACCTTGCCTGATGAGATCTTGAACATTTTCCTGCCATTTTTACATTTTCTTGTAACCTTAGTTCAATTCAGAATAATTTATGTTTACCAATTAACTAACAATTTGCGCAAATTATTGAACCATTGAATGAAAGTAAATTACTGTTTAGATACATTACTCTTTACCCAAAAAAAGCAATTCTCATTGATTTCGATCAGTTTATCTTCTCATTTTAATCTTGTCATTTTAATTGTTTCTCGAAATGATTAAAATCTATTTGCATCATTTTACTGTTAACTCAAACCCTTTCGTTGAGATAACACTGAAATTGCATCGCTATTCAGTTTGCCATCTTTTGCAACTTCACCAAGGTTATCTAAACTATTGGCAACTATTTTCACCCAATTGCTTAATTATTTTACATTCATTTTACTTTTTCATTTGCATTTCTTTCAATTATCCAGTAAACTAAATCATTCCTGAATCACGATTTAATAAGTTGAATATAACAAAATCTGTTGCTTGTATATTTGAAACCAGAAAAAGCAACAACTCATTAGCAACCAGAAAAAGTAAATTACATTGTTTTTGGTAAACTTACATTCAGTATTTCTGTTCATCTTCTTCCTCTTCTTCTTCTTGACTGATTTGTGCAAAGGTCGACCAGAATTCTAATGAAAACTCTTTTCTCCATGAAAGACAAAAAGACGAGAAGCAAAATCTCTCAGACAATTCAGTCTACCATGAAAATGTTCATGCAATCTAAACACTTCCTATCAACTGTAAAAACAATCTTACCTTCCATTCAATCCACCGATAATGAACAAAAATTGCAATTATTATTACTGACTCAAAAGATCTGAAGAAAAACACAGAATCTTTCAGATTTCTCTATTTACAGATTCTGTCAATAATTTTGCAAACTGATTTCCTTTCCAAATTGCTTACAAAATTACCTGAAAAGTTGCTTAATATGTTGAACAATTATCTTGAAAATTTGCTTTTGTTTTCTTGATAACACTTTGACTCTGTCCAAATGAACCCGGAAATTTGAGTTTCCCCAGAAAAGGTCAAAAGTCAATACTTTTTGCTTATATTATTTGCACTATTGTAGTTACACTTGAGCAAATCTCTTAACTCAACTCATATTATTCCTTTCCATTCTTGTGTAAGCAAAAGTTCCAAGAACAATTCAACTTGAATTGTTGTTGTTTTGTTGATTCAGTTTTTTCTCCATCTTTTCTTCGTTCTTCACTAAAACCTTAAGAAGCAAAATTGATAATAATAAGCATTTTATTCATATTCAGGGTAAAAAAGTGAACAAACAAAACTGTTCCATTATTGACATTTACATTGCATTTCTTGTTCAATTTTGAAATATTTCTTGTTCAACTCTCAATATTTTCCCTGTTGTTATCCTGCAAAAGTTCAATTGAATTGTCATTATTTTGCAACTTGTCATAATCAAATTGATTGGTAACCAAATTTACTAATATTTGTGATCATTAATCATTTGATCATTTCATTGTGCAAACCTATTAGTCTCAACTCTTTGAAACATTGAACTATTTTCAGCTTGACTTTCAGTGATTTGTCATGATTCATAATAATTTTTACTTGACAACCAAACACACAAAACACAACATTTACATTATCACTGATTATTCCAGCGATAATTATCTTTACTCTTAATCAACTGAAATCGTCAATTTGCTCAATTGATTAACATTTCAATTGAAGCTCTGGGTTTGTCTCAAATGGTTACACATTCAACCATAATTGCATCCAAACAGTTAGATTTGAAATTACTAACCATTAAATTGGTTAACATTAGATTTTAAACCCAAATCTTAACATTCATTCAAACTCTTAAACCTCTTTTGATTATAATTATGTAAATAGGTTTGTCTCAATGAAAATGTTGATTGTCATGATTGGTAAACCTATTGAAGTGAAGACTCAACAATTTGTTAATTACATCTCTACAGATGTGATAAGCTTGAACATGATTAATTAATGCTACTTGATTCTGGAAAAGCTGAAACCTGAAGAATAGTGAAAAGTGAAAAATATATTTTCATGTAAACTGGTAAAAAAAGCTGATCAAGGTGAATTTAATGAAAGCCATGAAAAAGGGTTTTACAAATTAAAGAAATGAATCTTTTGGAAGAAAAATTTCCATTGAAATGTTTTCTTAATCATATTGTTGATGGTAAATTGGTTGACAAAATGTTCATTATTCATGGAGTGATCTGATTGTGAACATTTTCATATAAAACCAACAAATAATGATTATTAATAGATTATTAGATTGAGTTATTGTATGCTTTTCATGTTTATCAATTGAATAGCTTTGCCAAGCAAAAAGCAAGTCAACAATTTCCTTATTAACTTTTGATGTATTAATTATTTCCTTGGTTTCTTCCTCTTCCATTTACATACAAATCTAGTAAATTGATTACTTACAATACTGGAATACAAATTGATTGTTGAAAAACTGGTTCAATTGTCCAAACAAATTGCAAGTGTTTTCACTTTTGATTTACTTGCAGAAAATTTGTTTTCTGGTCTTTTATAGTTTTTTCAAACCTTTTTTTTACCAGCCATTCAACTGTTTCTATTTCAGCCAACAATCAATTTTTAGCTATTGTTAACAATTCTTTAGGGTATCATGAATTTATCATGGAATCAGGAAAAATGTTAAAAGTTAAATAGCTTTCAATCTTGTCTATGTTCACTTCTGAAGACAAGATTGACTACAAAAGTGAAATGATGAAAATGAAACTTGACTTGAATACCAGAAAACGTAACCATTCAATAGCAATAGTGATTTGATTGTTATCCATTAACCAACTTAATTGTTTCTTACATTGACATTTAACAGTTTAACCTTTCTTAATTAACTCAATTTAATCTCATATTCATTTTGTAATATCAATTTAATATAATATTACCAAAGGAAACTAGGAAATTGAACAATTTCATCTTTCTCTTTGCTTTACCAGAATCTCAGTTTCCCTGCTGATTCTGGGTTGGAATTTTTTTCCCATCGATTTTTGATTATCAAATTGTAATACTTTCACTTTCAATTTTGTCTACTATTAAAATGGATGCTACAAAAGGTTGAGATAAATGTTGTGTTTATAAATTTCATTGACATTAAAGTTATCTCGATCAATCTTGTAAAACCAAATCCTTAACTCATTCATCTTTTTCATCTTTTTTTCATCTTCTTCTTTACTCAATTCATCTTTTCTCATCTTCATCAACATCTTTCTCCTTCCTTTTCCTATTTCTGAGATTTCCTTCAATCAATTTTTACTCATTCAACTGAATATTCAACTTTTACACTTTTTCATCTCTTCTTTAACCTAAAATTCATAACCTTTTCTGTCAAATTTTATTCATTTTAAAATAATCACTTTCATCATTTTGATCATATTTTTGCAAACTTTCAATATCATCCAAAACATCATCAGTTAAATTGTTCAACTTTAATCTTTAATATCGATTTACTTGATCAAAGACGATAATTTAATCTATTAGATAATTCAGTTGACATTCAATTTTCATTTCTCATTTTATCCAAAATTAATCGTTCTTTCTCAATAAATTGCTAAAAACCAATTCATCAAAAGACTGTCAAATTGTCGTCTCAAAATTCAATGTAAATTGCATTTAAAGATTGAATCAAAATCCTGATTGTTGTCTTATAATTCAACTAATGATTAACTTGATAATAATTTTTCTTTTCTTCATTTTTTAGGAATTCTTGCCGTTGAAATATTCTGGTTAATAATGGGTATCTTCTGGATCCGTAAACATTACGATACTTGTACTCCTGGTTTCCCTCGAGATGCCATTCTGGTCATTATTGTATGCAATTTTTGTATAATTGCGTCCGTTTTTGTTACCATTTGGTGTACCTTTGATACTGCTGGACGTTCCTGGGTTAAGATGCAGCGTTACCAGAATAGCCTGAAAGATGGTCAAAGTAAATATAGGTACAAGCGATCGGGTAACTCTCATCGTAATTGGCGTCACAGGTTGGTCTGTCCATCATCAATTGTAACACTTTTCACAGATTAATCATGATTATTCTACCGATTGCTTTCATTTTTCAAAATCAAATCCAATTGATGGACAGATTCTTAATCATTGATTGCTAATTGAATGACACTTTTCTTTGCTCGTTTAACCCTGATCTTTCCTTGCACTCATTGGAATCCAATTGATTGCCAAGTAAATTAGTTGACATTTTTTGCTCAATCATTTAATTTGTACTAATATTAGATTTTGTCATTGCTATTATAGCTTGCCTTCCTCATTAAGGCTTTAAAGGCTTGAGAAATGCTTGACAATTTAATTTACTTGACTTGATGGAAACCAATTTAACAATAATTAACCAATTCACAATTTCCTTTAACTGCTTTCAACCTTTCAACCCATTATTTTTGCTTGTTTAATTTTTATTTTTTTTACCAAAATTCCAATCATTTTTTTCAGTTCTAGGAATACTCCTGACCTTTTATCAGATTTACGAAGGTATTGATTTTTGTTTCATTTCATTTACTTTTAATTTTCATCTTAATTTGATTGTTTTGCCACCTTTATTATAATCAATTGCTTGTGTTATGAATACCTTGTAGACTGTTGAACAGTAATTTTCAAATCTCTTAGAAGGGTTAAGAATCTATTCATTATTTTATGGCAAAAGATTGACCATCTTTTGTTATTGCACTTTTTATGATAATTATCAAGAGATTAATCAATTAGATTTAATCATGATTATAACAATATGCTTTCCATTAATTAATAATTAAAGGTTGATATTTTGAAACTTTCCCTTGCAGAGTAAATGAAAGTTAAGCCTTTTGTACATCATAATTAGGAAATTAAGTTCTTGTTTCCTCGGCTAAGTAACGTTAGTTTTTTCAATATTACATTTGATTAATAATGTAATTATTATCTTAATAGTTAATTATATGAGCTATCAATTCAGGCATAATTTGCTCTTTAAGCCTTGAACCAATCATTTTAAATGGATTTTTAATTGATTTGCTGAAAGCTTGATTCAGCCATTTATTGATTTTTTTGAAAGGGTTACTGATGTAAATATCACATCTTTTCATACAAATTCAACACTTCTGTTTACCTTCATAATTGAAATGAACAATTAGATAGCAATAATGGAAAGTAATTTCAATTTGAAACTTGAAGGATTGAATCCAATGAACCATCAAAAGTAAACATTAAACAGATACAAGGCTAACCGTTGAAATAAAACAATAGATTTTTAGACTTTTTTCAAGCTGATATTTAAATACTTTCAAGTTGCATTTACAGATTAATCATTTTAAATTGTATTTCAATTACTAATGCTTTGTTTCATCTTTTATTGTTGATCCAGGAAAGCGATGAGACAATATCAGGACAGTTGGAACCGTCGCTGTGAACTTTTATTTTGTTGTCTTGGTAAATCTGATAGGCGTCAGGTAAGAGTTTGATGATTGCCTTTTGAAATTGGTTTTAATGTTTTCTTTTATTTTTACAGAATTCTTTTGCTGAAATTGCCAAATTATTATCAGAATTTTTTCGAGACTTGGATGTGGTGCCTTCTGATGTTATCGCAGGTCTTATATTGACTCGGCGACAGCAAAAAAATCAAAGTTCAATTGTAGTCCGTGAATCTGCCAATAAAACGTACCAATTCCTTTCGGGTTTACCCATTACACCGGAGACTCGATTCCTTGATGTAACCCATTACGCAGTTGTCCAAGACATTAAAACACTAATCCATTATAGTCATTATGCCATAGCAGTATATGGCTGGCCTATTTATCTTATGGAAAACAAGGCAATCGGATGTTTCCAGCTTTGTCCCTATTTAAGATGTTCAACCTGCCTTTCATCATCTTCATCATCATATTCATCTTGCTACAATTGTTTCAACTCATTTTGCTGTTGTCCTTGCCTAAACCGTTGCTCACCATCAAAACCATCAACAGACGCCTTTAATAATCGTAAATCATCAACATCATCAGCAACTCCTCAACCTTCAACTCCACCAATACCTGTTGAACCCATAATCATGGGTGACAACTGCTGTGGGTGTAATTATGCTGCCCTCCAAAGGATCTGTCAAACTCACAATCTTGAAATAATTTATGCCACATATCATGTTGAAATTGCTGAACCTCCCTTTTTCGTGGCTCTTGACTATGATAGACGAACCATTGTAATTGCCATTAGAGGAACTCTTTCCCTTCAAGATGTTATGACTGATTTAAATGCGGAAGGTGATTTACTTCCAACCAATCCAAGTCGCGACAATTGGCTTGGACACAAAGGAATGGTTGAAGCAGCTGTATATATTAAGAAAAAGTTGACCGATGAACGAATACTGGAACAAGCCTTAACCCACAATCCACTGAAAGGCACTCACAATTTTTCTCTAGTCTTGGTGGGTCATTCCCTTGGAGCTGGAACTGCGGCTATTTTGGCCATTCTACTTAAAGAAATTTATCCTGATCTAGTCTGTTATGCATTTTCTCCTCCCGGTGGACTCCTCTCTTTACCCGCCGTTGAATATACCAAGCATTTTATTACCTCAGTAGTATTGGGTAAAGACGTTGTTCCTAGGTTAGGTTTACATCAAATGGAAAGCCTTCGGTTTGATTTGATAAATGCCATTAAACAATCAAAAGATCCAAAATGGAAGACAATTGGTTTAAGCTTTTGCTGTTGCACTATTGATCCAGAAACTGATTCATTAAATAGTAAAGAGTCTGATATTGAATTTGGAAGTAAACAGGAATCGCTTAAATTGGACACTTTATCAATTACAGCCGGTGAAAAGGAACTCTCAGCTCATCCTGACGATTCTTCAATTGCTTTAACTGTTCATCAACCTCTTTATCCTCCTGGAAAAATTATTCATATTGTACGGAATCATCCAAAGAAAAAAGAGTGAGTTTCAATTCCATTCACCTCAACTCTTTTAATAACACTGTTTCCTTCAAAATACATTATCTTTATATTTCCAATAATAATGATAATTCAATGTTTCAATAGATAATTATATTTCTTTTATTTATCGTCTTTTCAGAGCTTCCAAGAACAAAAGTTGGAGGTAAGACAAGAATTATTTTTTCATTTATTTATCACAATAATTTATATTCATCAACATCATTGAAACGTGAGAAAAAGATTGAAAAATTGAACATTCACCTCAAAATCAGCTTGATTATAAAACCATAACATTAAATTAACATACAAAAACACAATATTTAAATGTTCTCAGCAAAATGTGATTACTTTTTAATGAAAAGGTAATGTTTGTGTGAAAAAAGACTAAATTTGTTCATTTAAATTTTAAGAAGATTATTGATCATCTTTTAATAGGATTTTCATCGATTCCAATGACAAACTCACCAAAAACAGAGCAATAATTGAAATAAGAAATACAAATCTTGTGGTTTATTTTCAATAGCTTTTATTAATTTATTTAATCTGAGAAAAAATAACTAATTTTCAAATGCTATTCCCATCAAGATTGATGGTAAAACATGAGAAATCGATGAGAAAACATTGAACATTCTGTCCAACTCACACTGTGATACATTTGATTTCACTTAAACTCGATTATCATTATTCTGATGGAAGTCAAGTGTTAACACAATTAACTTGGAGTAAAAGAATCTATCAATTTATTTAAACTCTGTTTGTTTCCCAAGCTGAACATGTTAGTTGATTAACTATATCATTGTAAAAGATTGAATGGTTGAAAGCGAAAATAATGTCAATTTGATTGAAATTAACTGCTGTTGATCCAATTATCAGCTTCTTAATACCTTGCTCTCAAAGTTAATTGTTTACCCAACAAAAGACTAAAAGCAAATGATATTTCAACTTGATTGACATTGATATAAAGTTAGTTATTTATCTTGACAATCCTGCAAAGTTAATCACATCTATTGACAGATTACGGTTTGATGGAACCAAAAAAAAACAAGAATCAAACACCGAGTGATTAGCCTAAAGCTGAATACTGTTGAAGTTGATTGTTTGTTTCCAATAAATGCGTAAACAGATATCAAAGTAAAGTGAATATGGGATTGGAAAAGGTTGAAATTGAATCTCCATCTATTCTGGGATTAATCTGGTTCACCATTTTTCTATTACAATTTCCATCATTATATCATAATTTGATGAAGTGAAACCAAATGTTTAACAGTTTAATTTGCCTGAATCCAATATATCCCAGAGGGAACAATCAACTTGACTAGGTTTTCAATCAAAGTTAAAAGCTAATTTTGGCGTTTATTAATCTATTCATTAATAAAAAGGTTGACTGATTCAATTTTAATGATATTTTTCCATAAACTCAAAAGCAATTTCACTTCAAGGTATACTTTGGCTTTTTGGTTACATTATAATACATTTACATTATGTATAATAATAATCAAGTGCAACTAATACATTCACAATTAACCTTGGATGCATTCAAGCAGAATCGATTTTTAACCTTTAACCACTCTTTATCCATACTTTATTAGCTATTCCTTGAATCTAAATCACTTTTTCTCTATTTTTATTCAGGAACATTGTTGGTAAAAAGGAAGCCGTTTATCAAGCATTGTGGGTCGATAATACGGAATATGATCAGATAATTATATCGCCAGTAATGATTCAAGATCATATGCCAGACAAAGTGTTGGAAGCACTGGAAAGACTTTTAATCAACACTGGTCCACCCAAGCCGATTCGCCATGTAATGACAAACAATGTTGACTTGATTTCTCGCCCTTTATTAACCTATCCAAGTGGAACCATTACACCTGATTCATTGGATCGAACACCTTCTCATAGATTAGTATTGGAAACATCATTCACCGATTTACAGCCTGTTGGCTTGGACCTTGAAGATCCTAAATTGATTCCTGCCTATTCATGTTCAACTGTTGGTTCCAGTAGATTCACTTCTAGACCCACCCTGTTAACAGCTCTTCGTAAAAGTCGTAAAATTGATTTGATTCGAGACGATTGGATTGGTATGGCTCCTTTAGCGTCACCTGAAGGTCTCAGTGAATCATCCAGTATTTCATCTCGAAGTGCTTTCATTAAAGGTGCAAATGGAGGAGTTGGTGGAACAGATGAAAGGATTAATCTTAATGTTAACTCATTGTCAAATTATTCTGCTCTTGAACGTATTGACCGAGCATCTTTTTACTCTGCTAAACCTTCTGCTTCTTCTGATGGTCAGTCTAATTCAACTAATGGAGAGAAGGAGGTTAAGAAGACCAAGGAAGATGAAAGAAAAGAGGAAAGTAAAGGTTCTCTGGTCTCTTCTTCAGGACCATCAAATGTTTCAAGTGATTGTCAACAAATAACTTCACATACCACTCCATCTACTTCTCCAATTTACATTCCATCACCAACAGGGAGTGGACTTGATCTTGATCCAAATGCTTTGTTTGACTCTTTGATTGCCAAATACGATGACCAGAGAAGACAAAATAAAGCAGAAGATTCTGTTGATCCATCGACAAATGGGTTGGGAGATCATGAAGCTTTCTCATCTGGAGCCTCAGTAAAGTCAACAGATACTGTTGCTTTGAATGACCTTAACCATTCCGAAGGAGATGTGATTCGAGGAGAGGAAAGTGACATAGAAGGTTGCTGTCTGTCTCGAGCTAGTCTTTTAAGTGGCATTCGTGAAACTCGGGTAAACATTGGTGATAATGAAACGTGTTTTTCACCATCAACCAACTATTGTCACAGCTTGAGCAGCATGGATGATTCACAATCATCAAATGAAACTTTACCACCACTGAGACGCTCTCATGAAGAGATAAATTTAAATTGTTTAGAGGATGATGTTCCAGTTTTCCGTCAAGAAATTCGCACTCATTCAGCGACAGCTTCTCTCAAATCCAGTGAAACTGATCTTTCACCCAAATCAAGGCTGCTTTTTCAAAAATTGCGAGCCATTGAATCACCAGCTGATGAACTACCTGCCTGTGATGCCTTCCAAGTTTAACTCTAATTTACTAAATAATTAATCAAAATGTTGGACTAATTCAGGACAAATGTATTTTTCATTATTTTCATGAAGAAAGCTAAAGATCAGGACCAAAGAAAATGAGGCAAAAAATGAAACTCAATTCAAGCTCAGATAATTTATTCGCCTAATTTATATTCCATCAATTATATTGATTAATGGAATAGTTCAGAATAATTCAAGTAATCTCACCAACTATTAATACTGGTAATTTTGTCTATATTTAATCCAAAGGAGCTTAATTGATGAAATGTTGGCATAAACAATCAGTTGAATAGTTTTTGTCTTGAATTTATGCTCAGTTTTTTGCATGTTTTTAACGATTGTTGATTGCCAAATAAAAACTCTGAGAGTTAATAATCGAGTTGATCTTCACCATTCTCATCTTTTACCATAATTTTGATTAACTCAATTGTCTAAAAATAACGTTCAAAATGGAAATGATCTTCAATTTAACTTTCTTTCAAAGAAAACCTTTTCCTCTGAAAATCGGACATTTTGTGATAGTAAACCAATAATCAATGAATAAAATTCTCAATTGACATTATCAAGTAAATCCAATTGATAATTAACTCCAACTGGACCAGCTGATTTGCTTAAACAATTAAAGAAACCAATGTAAATTTTTTTATCCACCAAGTGGATATTTTATCAGCTAACTGTTTCTAGTGAAAGTTAGTTATTAATCAAAATTGATTGCTTATAAAGAAACTAAATTTTCTTCAAATTCAGTTTTTACACCAAACACACTTATAACTAATTAAAGTAATTTTATGTTTTTATTTGCTTTTCTAAAATAATTCAATGCATTCAAATCAAAATCTAGAGCCAATTCAAGTCTTGATTTTTCGATCTCTTCTTTCTCTATCAACCTGAGCAAATTATATGTTTATTAAATCATTTGAAATTCATACTATTGACTATCCTTCAATAAAAAATATAATTTACTATTAGCTATAGAGCTGCAATTAAAGTATAGTAATTAAAGGTATAAATATTAAAATATAATGAAGTGACAAAACTTAGAAGCAAGAAGACATTAAGTGAAAGACATAAAATTATCTTAACGTTCTTTTTCTTTTTGATAATATCAAATATGATTTTCATTACAAAATATGATTTATTCCAAAGTCAACATAATATAAAACAAAATGTCAGCAATCTGTAAATTTAACACAAAATAATAAATACAAAGTAGTTGTTGAGCATTGCACCGCTTTAGGATTTGTTTGTTTGAACTTCAAATTTTGAAGCACGTTAAGTGAAGAGCTGAGGTGAAACAGAATCTTCTAAGAGACCAACTGAAAGAATCGCGGTAACCTCTCTACTAGATTTTTTTGCATTGAAATGGACATCGTAAAACTTGTTGCTTTCTTTGACTTCAGATTTTATGAAATCTAAAATTTTGTCCAATGCAATGAAACATTTTTTCTTATGGGCTGAATAATTTTCGTTGAGTATACTGGCTGGAAAAACATTCAATTCGCGAAGATTATAGTCCTTATCGAGATCTCCACAGATTAGTGTTTCGATGCCACAAACCAAAGCAGATGCCCACCAATACATATGACGATAATGGTCGATATTGAAATCTTTGTTATCTCCTTTGTACATGTTTGGCACGAGTTTCAGAGCTGCAAAGCTGGCTTGATCAATTGGCTTCTCTACATCATCTTTGCTTATAACAAATTCAGAATTACCTAAGTGCATTATACGATGTTGACCAATTTCTGAGCTTGATACAGTACTGAGAACGTCCAATTCAGTGTTTGAGTCTGATTCTCTCTCTGCAACTTGTTTAGTTATCCTCTTGATTACTTTGAATCTTGCATAGGCGCGTTTGTTTTTATCAGTATCATTGGAAGACTCTCTTTCTCTCTTTTTTGATGGATCTTCATCGCTCATAAAGAGGAAGATGGTGCCATTAATTTTGATAGCATTGATGATCCAATCAATTCTAGCGAATGGCGAAAGCAATATGTTTTTCAATACGGAGTTTGAACAGATGAAATCTATCGATGATTTTGGATTGTCCGAAGTTAAGTCATGCATGATTTCCTCATTTGAACGAATCCAGCGAAAGTAATCTGGCCATGTATCTGGAAGTGAACATTTATCAGTTTCAGGATTGAATCCTTCGAGACAATGCATCAGCTCGTTCAATTCAGTCGAGACTAAATATTTCTGTGATGATTTATCAGGTCGATAAACCAGTTGATTCTCTTTGTCATAGAAAGATGAAAAATAACCAATCCTCTTTGGTCCAATAAATTTAACACCACTTTTTGCGGGTAAAAACTCCAAATCCAGAGCATCTTTTCTAATTCGACCCATTTTTCAAGTTGAAAATTGTTCACAAACGGTAAAATATAAATTGAAATCACAAATTGAAAATTAAAATTACAAGTACACAAACTTTTAAGCCAAAATGCATGCAAAAATAAAAGACAAAATTTTTCAACTTGTAGAGACTCTGATTTAACCAGTTGACTAACTGTAGTACAGACTGTAGTGTACACTGTACAATGTACGGTATTTCCTTGCGTTTTTTGCTTTTTTGAAGTGCTGACATCTATGTGAACTACATGATTAAATAATTAAATTTACATTTCAAACAATTAGTCCACTCCAAAGACTGCCTAATGACTGCCCCTGAAGTGGAAAGGGTAGAAAGCAAAGAGATAGCAATTAGCTAATATAAATTAATCAAATGGTTACTCAACTATCCTATGTTTGAATCAAGCAATTCAATAAGCTCAAGATGTGCAAAAATAATTTTAACTTACAGTAATCCCTCAAAGTGCGAAGTTACCGCGGAAACGGTCAATTCATATAGCCGATCTTTTTAAGTTAAAATATTTAGGTATTATTTAACGGGAAAAATTGAAAAAAGACTAAGAAATTTATGAAATCGCGATAAAGCGTGTGAAAAATGGCAGAAATGGCGTCTGAAAAATTTGCTTTGAAAATAGACGAAGCTTTAACCAAAGAGTCGTATTTTGAGATTGATTACTTTATTTCACACAAAATTTTTGCATAAATACCGCATTGCACGTTTATTAAAATAGATTGTAGTGAAAATTATCTTGTCATATTATACTGGCTAAAGGATATGGGTGACCCCTTAACGTTCAATTGATCAGGGCAAATTCATTCCATCTTTCCAATGGTATGAGTTATGAACATGTAAGTAACACTATCGGGTAAAAAAATTTTTCGATTTCAGGAAAAGACCTGCCAATGTCAATTAGAGGTCAAATAAAGAATTGACCTTAAATAACTTTGACCACTCGAACTTATCGTTGTACAATCTGGATAAGCTCATGGTTCAAGAGTGACCGTTCGTGAGTTATGCCTGCATGAAGGCGTAAAAGGAAAAAAACGCCCGGTATATGAAAGACAACAAGCAAATAAGACAAGTATTTCTACTCACCATGTCAGTGCATCTTGAACCTGAGTTTAAGTTATATGAAAAAGAAGATATCGTGAAAAGTCTCAACTGTTATGATATAAAATTTTCACACGGAAATTTCATTGAGAAACTCTTTTGTGTTGATCAAAATTATATGACTTTTGAAGTCAGCAGAGAACAAATGATGAATTTATCATCATTAAAATATAATACATTTGCGCGTTTTGCAGGAGACATAGATTATGTTTTTCTACCAGCGCAAATATCTGAATACACTTTTAAAAAATTTCAATTTCTTTTTTCCAGAAAATTATGTACAGTTAGAAGAAAAAAATTTAGAAAATTCAAGGAGCAGCTAAATTATGCAGGCATTTTAATTGAAATCGCAGAATTTATTGACAACGATCGCGAAAATCAATATAGAATTCTAGCGAGAAAAAGTGGAAAATCTTATTCATATATTTGCAAGTTCAATCCTGGTTTTACTATTAATCCCGATACAGTCACGGATGAACCAATTATGGAAATCACTCCACCATCAGAGAGTGATGAACAGCCAGAAACAGAACTAAAGTCAGAGCCTCCTAGCAAAAGGCGATGTTTAATTTAAATATCTAAAAAGGTAAGTTAATAATTTTCATAAAGCAATTCAGTTACATGTCAATTTGTCATTTTCTCATAATTTCCCTCCCTTATAATCATAATAAAATACTTTATTCTGATATCTTTACATCATTCTCGCTTATATCAATAATTAAAAATGGAAGGTTGATTCTAAAGTTTTAGGATTGATATGTTGATCTCGTAATTACATGAAGATTTATTTAAGCTGTTACCTTCATCAAAAGTCAGAGTAAAACCGCAAAAAGAAACTGTAGTACGAGTAACTGCAGTACAGATACTGTACTCTACAGTATTTCCTTGCGTTTTTTGCTTCTCTGAAGTGCTGACATCTATGTGAACTACAGAGGGAAAATGATTAAATTTACATTTTAAACAATTGTCCACTCTAATGACTGCTCCTGAGGGGAAAAGGGTAGAAAGCAAAGAGATAGCAATTTGTCAATATTAATTAATCAAATGGTTAATCAAATATCAGATGTTTGAATCAACCAATACAATAATCTCTCAAAATGCGGAGTTCCGCAGAAACGGTCAATTCATAGAGCCGAACTTTTTAAGTTAAAATGTTTAAGTATAATTTAACGGCAAAAAAATGAAAAAAGGCTGAGAAATTTATGGAATCGCGATAAAGCGTGTGAAAAATGAAAGAAATAGCGCTTGAAAAGTTTGCTTTGAAAATAGACGAAGCTTTAACCAAAGAGTCGTATTTGGAGATTGATTACTTTATTTCACACAAAATTTTTGCATAAATACCGCATTGCACGTTTATTAAAATAGATTGTAGTGAAAATTATCTTGTCATATTTTTATCATTTGGTATCAGGAAAATCACAGTCAATAGACTGTATTTTCTGGAGTCAGACTATTTAAAATTACGATGATGAGCAAGTGATTTCAGGTTGAAAAGTTATCAAAAATGAATCCAAGTAAAATTGATTAGTTTCAGATGTCACAAGTAAAGTACCATGGTAAGTCGCCATCTCCCTGCAGTTCAAGACTTTTTTCAGTCACAATGATTTCTTGAGGTGCCGCCTCATAAGTAAACTCATACATTTTGTCACTTTCTTTAACATGAGATTTGATGAAATCTAGAGTCTTGTCTAAAGTAATGAAACATCTTCTCTGCTTGTCTAAAGTATCCTTGTTAAGCTTACTGGCTGGAAGCACATCCAGTTTACGAAGAGTGAAATCCTCGTCAAGATCTCCACAGATGAGTGTTTTGACGCCACAAAGTAAAGCAGATGCCCACCAATAAAGATGACGATAAAATGGAATATTGAATTCACCGTTAGGTTCCTTGTACAGATTTTGCATGAGTTTCAAGGCTGAAAAGTTGGCTTGATCAATTGGCTTATCTAAATCATCTTTACTCATAACAAACTCTGTAAAACCAGTGTGCAATATGCGATGTTTGCCAATTTTTGAAAATGAAACAGTGCTCAGTGCATCCATCACAGTGTTAGAGTTAGTTTCACGCTCTTTAACTGCTTTAGTTATCTTTCTAATTATGTTAAATCTTGCATAATTTAGTTTACTGGCTTTTTGTTGACTACAATCAAGTGTGGCTTCCTCTTCCTTGTCTTCCTTGTCATTCACCAACTCATCTTTTTCTTGATCCTCAGGTTTGGATTTCATTTCCTCCGTATTGCCCTTTTTTCCCAAAAATAGGAAAATGGCATTTCTTTTCTTCACTGCACGAATAAGCCAACCACGCTTGTCATAAGTAGAAAGCATTATTTTCTTGAGTTCCATGTTTGAACACAGGAAATCTAACGGTGAATCTTTGCTATTAGAGGACAAGCCATCGATTATTGTTCTATTTTCAGCAACCCAACGAAAAAAATGAGACCAAGAACTCGGCAGCAGAACTTCATCAGTTTCTATGTTGAATCCTTCAAGACAGTTAATTGGCTGGTTTAATTCATTTGAGTCTAAATATCTTTGAGCTGAATTATCGGCTACATATACTTCTTCAGATTCTTTGTCATAATAAGATGAAAAATATCCAATCCTTTTTGGTCCAACAAATTTGACGCCACTTTTGTTTGGTAAAAAATAGAAGTCATAACAATCTTTTCTGATTCCCATTTCCACAGTTGACACTTGTCCACAAACGGTAAAAAATTAATTTAAATGACAAACTGACAATGTTATTAAATGTTAAAATCTAAATGTAAACTTAACTGGCAAAATTTTTTATTTATAAGATGATTTGAACGAGGAATCGATCCAATTGATTGATTTATCTTTTTATCTTTATAATCCCAATACGATCCTGTCCTTCAAGTAATGATTTAAGAATCGATCTTTCGTTATGTCTTTGTAAAATGGGTTGACTTGTAAAAGTGGTGATAAAGTTCTGAATATTGAGTCATTGCATTCTCCTTGAACTTGAATCTTCATCCAACTTGAATGACTTTATAATGCTGATTGAAATTACAATGAGCATCAATCGATGATTCAGCTTGTCTTGAATGATTGAAATTTATGAATATTTTATACAAATAAAAATCTAAATAATTTAAAACTCGGTTGCAATTCGATTTAGCCTTTAAATTAATCATTAAAATCTCAACCTTTCCTCGTTATGATAAAGTCTACAATCTATTGGCTAAATAAATTGTAAACTCAAATGGTTAGGCTTTAGGCGCCAATTGCAAACACTGGTGGTTAATCATTATTAAATTGATTCATTGAGTCTTTGACTCTGGCTAATAAAGTTGTAGTAAGTAATTTAACATTGATTATAAGATCAGTTGAAAATTAGAGTGAAAGATTTGGCCAATCGAGTTAATATAACTACAGATTTGCACCTTCAAACAGACAAACACTTCTTTGAAGTCATCAAAGATAAATACTTTAATCTTTGGTATTCATTGTCTCTCATTCAGATAGGTATCATCCTTAGATTCATCATTTACGTTAAAGCAACACTAATAAAACTTCCAATTTTCTGATTATAATTTTATTAGAGACGTTAATTTACTCTCCTAAAATTTGTAAAATTTTCAAGTTTTGATTCATATTATTCTTGTATTGTGTGTGGATAAGTGTAAATCGTGAAATGGGAAGGATTAGAAAAGATGCTTTGGATCTCGAGTTTTTACCCGAAACATGTAAGGTTAAATTTATTGGACCAGAAAGGATTTCATATTATTCAATTTACTTTGATGAGGAACATAAAGAAGTACATCGCTCTGATAATTCATCGCAAAGATATCTAGATGTGACTAAGTTGGACACACCGATCAACTGTCTTGAAGGATTCAATCCTGAATCTGATTTATGTGTACTTCCA